AATATTTAGGCTTATATTAATAATAAGGGTTATTATAATTTAGCTATTCTAAATAAAGTTTATAAATACTATAAATTAACTCTATAGATAATTCCTTTTATTTTAGAGATATTACCCCTTAAGGGTTTATACCTTAAGGTATTTAAGAAGTTTAATAAGGCTATCTTTATAAAGGTTTTTTATTTATAGAATATATTTATTAGGAATATAATAGTTTAATAGATAGAGGAGTTTGATATTTTAAAAGTAATTAAAAGATTTAAATTAAATCTTCTAAAGTATATATAGTTAATTAATAGAAAATATTTCCTTATAAATTAAAGTATAATTAAATTATAATAATTAAATTATAATTATCAATTTTAGTTATAATACTTCTTTAGTTTAAATAGTTTATTTATAACTTTATTCTCTTACTTAACTACTATAAGAGATTAATATCCTTTTTCTATAATATAACCCTCTTGTATAGATTATATATAGATTTATATCTAATTAGGTTTAATTTAAATAAAAAGTCTATAAAGTTAAACTTATTCTTAAGGATTATAATAAAAAAGAATTCTATTATATTTTAAAGTACCTTAAGTATTAGTAACTAAAACCTTAAGTTTAGTTATATAATAAGAGTAATTTCTTAAATAAAGTAGCTAAATAATACTTTTTTAATTACCTATTTAGTTAACTTTTATTCTTTTTATATCTTATAAAATAAAACTACTTAGAATTATTAGTAATTATTCTCTTTTTCTTTCTTTTTTTTTAATATATACTTTTAAATTAAAATCTCTTTATCTTTTTTTTTCTTATTATAATATATTAAACTTATAGTATTTTCTATATTATTTACTTTTATAGCTTAAGCTTATAGCTAGAGTTTATCCTCTATATTAATTTTATTATTAATATCTTAAAGTTTAGTTTTAAAAGTAATAGAAGTTTTAAGCTTAATAGGGTAAGTAATTATTAATCTTAACTAATTAAAAAGACTAGCTATTTCTAAAGACCTTATAGAGTTTTAAATATCTTATTATTATAACTTTATTTTAATAATTATAAAGTTAAAAGTATACTTTTAAAGAATAATAATAGTATTTTAAATAGTAATATATAAAATATAAAGTTTAATTTAAGCTTTTTTTTTTATAATAAATTCTATAATAATAATATATTAATTAGTTATACTTTTTAATAAGCTAATTATATTATAATAAATAAGATTTATTTACTCTACTATATATTTATATTAAATTTTTATAATAATATATTTTAATTCTATTTTCCTTTCTTTATATTAGTCTCTCTTAATATCTTTACTATAGCTTTTTCTTTTTAAGCTTTTAATAATAATACTATTCTTAAAAATCCTTTTCTTAAACTTTAGCTATCTCTTTTTAATATAGAACTCCTTTATAATAGTATAATTATTCCCTTTACTAACTTCTTTAACTTTTATAACTAATAGTATATTATAAAGTAATATATATAAAATATTATATATAGTATTAAGGATAGCTAATAGAATATTATATAAAATAGATATCTTAAGATAGCTATAAAGCTCTTTTTTTACTCCTCTTAAAGGTTAGCTATATAGAATAGGTTTATTAAAGGTATAAACTACTTTAATAATAACTTAAAGCTTATTTATAAAGCTTATTTAGTTATACTTAAGTACTTAATACTAAAAAGTTTAGAAACTTTATTAATAAGAAATTATTTTAATTTAAATACTTATAAAAAGAAATAAAACTAAAGCTAAAATAATAATCTTAATAGTAATAATAGCTTTTTATTTTAGCTACTTTATAATATATATTTTAGATTTATTATTTATAATAATTATTTATATTAATCTCTATTAATATTATTTTTAAAGTTTCCCTAATAAGTAGATTATAAAAGTATTAATTTACTTTTTTATTAAAATATAACTATCTTTCTATATAGTCTAAATGATAAGCTTTAAGTTACTTTTTAAAAAGCTTAATAAGGTATATAGTACTCTTTTAGTAAGCTAACTTTTAACTTTACTTTAAAATAAAGCTATTACTCTATATATCTAAATCCTTTAGGAGATTATTTCTAGCTTATAAGTATTACTTATTATTAATATTTAGATAATACTAAATTAAAAGTATATTCTTCTTAATATTATAAATTACTTTATTATAAAGAACTAAACTTAGAGGGCTATTCTTTTAGGAACCCTAGGTATTATAAGGAACTATATATAAGTAGTAATTATAGAATATATAGTCTAAATGCTCTAGGGGCTTAAGCTTAATAGCTAAAATTATATTTATTTTAATATTATTACTATAAATAATATTAATAACTTTAACTTATTAATATTCTCTTAATAGTATACTTTAGTATTTAATATCCCTTAATAATAAGTAATTTATATTTACTATTTAGCTTATATTTTTAACTTTACTACTTATAAGCTCTTTTATACTCTTAAGGTTATAGATCTACTTCTAATTATAGTTACTTATAATTTATAGCTTTAAAATACTAAAGAGGATAACTTTAAAATAAAAGAGTAAGTTATTAACTTTAACCTCTTATTTACTTTTAGTAAATCTTTTTAAGTAAATAAAGATTATAATAAAATATTACTTAAAGATCTAAATAATTTTAAATTTAAAATTTAAGCTTTTATACTAATTACTATCTCTTAGTTAATTATAAAGGTTTATTTAAGTTTATTTTATTTAAAGTAATTATTTATATTAATTAATATTTAGATTTATTAACTTATAGTACTACTTAAATATAGTTTAATAAAGCTTATAAGCTTTTTTAAGCTTTAGAAAAACTTAAATTTTTTATTTTTATTTTATTAATTAATTTTTAATATTAAGATATATTAAAACTCTATAACTCTTATATATTTATATATAGTTAAGCTTAAAAGTCTATTAATATATAGTTTATTAATAATTCTATTAATAATAAGTATTAACTTTTAGAAGATAAATAGTCTTAACTTAAATATATTTTAAATATAGCTAAAGTTTTCTTATTAGCTATAAATATATTTAACTAAGACTTTATTAATATCTTTTAGTTTATTACTATTAATAAGGTTATAGTATTTTATCTTATTACTTATTAAGAAGTAATAGATTTAAAGATTTATAAGGGAAACTCCTTTTAGATATAGCCTCTCTCTTTAGCTATTAAAGCTATATAATATAAAATAGCTAAATATATTTAACTCTAAAGTAGTATTATAGATATCTATAGGGTATCTTTATTTTTAATCCCTTTAGATAAGAGAGATTTTAATAATTTTAATTTCTACTTCCTTAAGGTTTCTATTATATACCTTAAGGTTAATTATAAAGATATTTATATTTAATTTAGAAATATTTATTAAGATATCTATTATTATACTATTTAGAAATAAACTCCTTATTTTAATATTAAAAATAATATCTCTTTTTATACTTTATTTATAGCTATATTTAATAGCTTTAAGAAGTAAGTTAGTCTTTAATTATATTTAAAGTAATCTTTTATATTAATTTTAATTTTTAGTATTCTTCCTCTATATTTAATATTAATATTATTTTTATCTCTTTCTACTATAAATATATATTTTTATAATTTATATTATTTCTTATCTATTTAATTCCTTTAAAGTAAATAAGATTTTAAAACCCTCTTAAGGTTTTAATATTATCTTTTATTTATTTTTTAATATATTAGGTTTTACTAAATAGCTTATAACTACTTTAATATAATATTAATTTTAATATTATTTAAATATATATTTAGCTTTAGCTACTATATATACTATTATATATACTTTAACTTTTCTCTAGAAACTATTTATAGTTAGTTTATACTAATTATAAAGTAAAATTAATAAGACTAATTATTTTTTAGTTAACTTAAGCTATTTATTTTAAAATAGTTTAATATTTTAGAGATTATAAGGAAATAAAACTATATATTAAAGTATATTTTTAACTATATTAACTTAATTAAGGGGAATACTTTTAAAGTAATATATTTTCTAACTTATAATATTATTTTAAATAATATTACTATTTTTAGCCCTATTAAATCTTAATCTATTATAATTTAAAAACCTAAAGCTAAATATCTATAAGTTAGAATTTAAAGCTCTCTTTAAGTTAATTCTTTTAATCTATTTTTCTTATAATTAGCCTCTTAATAGCTATTTTAATAATTCTCTTAAAATATAATAAGTTTATTATTTTTTTTAACTTATTTATTTCTTTTAAATAGTTAGTAATAAGAATAAGAAATTAAGTCTTAATATTTAGATATCTAAAAGGTTTAAAGTAATAGAGGATTATTAATAAAATAATAAAAGCTTAATTAGAAATAAAGTTAGAGGTTAAAGCTATAATTATAGCTTTATAAAAGTTTTTAAATTTAAATTATTAAATTAAAGTTATTAAATTAAAGTTATTAAATTAAAGTTATTTAATTAAAATAGCCAAATTAAAGTTATAAAATTAAAATAATTAAATTAAAATAATTAATACTTTTTAAAATAATTAATCTTTATTTCTATAACTATTTAACTATAAAACTTATATAGTTATTACCTATTTAATTAGAATCTATATCTTTTAATATAACTATAATCTATAGGTATTTAGACTCTATATAGTTACTTATAAGAAACCCCTAGGTACTAATAGTTTCTAACTATATAGGTATCTATAGGTTATATACAGCCTAGATAAGGGGGCTCCCTTAATAGGCTGTAGGTCTAGGGTTGAGCAAATAAAACCCTAGTTCTCATTCTGAGATACATGCGGATTTATAAAATTTAAGTTAGCAATGCTATGGGTGATGCTGTCGAGGTTTCCTGCAAATGGCTGCCCGAACTTTTCGATTGGCATAACAGCTAAGGCTTGGGAGATAGATCCGATAACATTGACGAGGAAGCGGCTTTGGGGTACTCCAAAGTCGCGGACTGGCGAAATTTCGATCTTGACGGTTTGTCCCTGCTAAAGAAGTTGTGAAATAGTCGCAGAAAACCTGCCAAGAGCAGAGGGATGAAGCACTGCGGGCGACATCTGTAGCACTGTGAAGTCAGGGTTGATCTCGGAAGCTGCAACGGACTCAACGATGTCTAGAGGCGCGAAGAATGACTCTTTGGAAGGCATTTTCGTGTTTTCGGCACTCAATCGGAAGGTTGAGTTCTCACCAGCTACCAAAGCAACGAGGGCGGAACCTTCTGGTGGCCAACTTGGAGCAACGAGTCTGCCCAAGTTGAAGTCGTCAATGACGGTCTTGAGTGACCCGTCAAAGACAGCACATTGGGGGTTTTGAATCTAAGATCACTGTCAGTAAACCATGTGTTCAATTTCATGGATATCTTTCGTAATTTGGGCGTACCCTCCAAGTCATGTGACGACTCTCGTCAAAACCAGCTCCGGCCAAGACCTTAAAGCCCATTTCAGTGAAGCCTTCCAGTGGACCGAGAACGTTGGGAGTCAGATCGCAAACAGAAAGCTCAGATGATTCGGAAAACATTTTTTCCTCCCGGAATTTGTTCCCTGACAGAAGATGTGACATGATTGGCATGACCGTGACCGTGTTACCTTGGACACATCGACCAAACCGACAGATATTTCCAGGGAGTTCAGCGTAACCTATCATAAGAGTAAGCAAGTTTCAAACATCATAAGTTCGATGAATTCTTGCCTGAAAACTTGGCATAATTGATGCAAAACTCTGCCGAAGCAGGCCGGACCACCGTGATATCGTCAATCTCAATCACCTCGGCATCAGCCAGTTGCCCCATATGATGCAGGGACGAAAAGTGCAGTAGCATCTCTTCTGACTCTACGTCGATGTCCGAAGTTTCGGTCATTCCGGATGTCTCGGCCTCCCAAAGGAGTGTATCTGACCGGCACGACGAGTACTTAGTGATGGTCAAGTGCGGCTTGTTGATACAATTTTCACTCTCAGCGTGAACCTCATGCACCCACGCAACGTATTCATGAAAAGCCATGGTACGGTCCCGCATCACAATCCACTGGTTCTTCTCGAAAGTGAAGTCCAAACGCTCGTCGTCGTAGTGTGTATCATCAAATGAGGTTTCCGGGTACATTGCCTAAATTGGCATTGGCGTTAGTAATTCGGAGCTTCTGTTGGCGAGTATTCCCTTACATCGCATGAGCATCTGGTGCGCATTATCAAACCTCGGGTCAATGTTGTGGTCAGTTCCGTCTCCTGATAGCTGTTCCATTCCTGTTCGTCCTTGTTCCACGCATCCATGAGCTGTCTGGTAACATCCTCACCACCACCCACCGGACTTTCACTTTTCAACATGGGTAGCGACTGGTCGTCCATATCCATGATGTCACTGTCATCGACGTCGTTGCCATTGTCGTCGTTGGCTGGGTCCACGTAAGGCAGGGGTGAGGAAGCAGGCCCTTCTTGTGGGGTTGAAGAGATGCCACTTGCTGTTTCGTAAGAAGACGAACTAAAGCGTCTAGTTCGAGGGAATGCAGCTGCCCTAGAAGTACGGACGCTGTTGGTTGGTCTGATGGTCGGAGGTCGTGGTGCCAAAGCTGGGGTGGGTGAACCGTAAAATGCAGAGGGTGCATCTCGACATACCAACGCGAAGTATGTTTCTGCGGGGTCGAGATCGTGGAAAGTTGCAGAACTTTCAGAAAGGCCGACCTTTCGGTGTTCACACCGGCAAGATGCCTCTGAAGCAGCAACATCTAGGCATTGCGTTAAGATCGATCGTTCTACGAAATGGGGATCGATTGACTTACTCGTGGATTTGACGAGCTCTTCTCTCCGATTCTCACATGAGCTCATTGCGTGGAGAGCGACGATGCAGAAAATTCGATCCTCGTAGTATTTGGATGCAACACCTGATGAAGTCCCGATCCACGTTACTTGGAGAGCGTTACCTCCAGAGTAATTCGCTATTTGAACATCTCTTGGAGTCTGATGAAGGCGTTCTCTTGCTTCACGTCGGAGGTCGATCGCTTCCATTGGGCTGATTTGGAGATGGCCCCTAAGATCGTTGACGGCCAGCTCGAAGAGGTCTTCGACGACATGATCGCAAGCGAAGGCGCTGGCTTCTTGGCCCCCTTCCAATGTGGTAAGTTTGGAAAACTCACATGCACTGTTCTCGTGAGCTTTGCCAAAATCAAGCCATTTCCGGTGAATGAGTAGAGCTTTCTGCTCTTTCTTGTAGTGAAGGTTTATGCCGATGTTTCCGCCGTTGACGAAGACCGGTGTCACGCTACGCAGCCTTGGGTCCATCGACAAGACTGTTCTCAACATCCTCTCAACACCAGCAGCAAAAGGACTCGAGATAGGTGGAATAGGGCTGGAAGATTCAAAAAGATGAAGCCGCTGTTCTTCTGGCGTGCGAGCCAGCGAAAACCTTCTGAGAACCTTCCAAAGTCTGTTCGGGAGTTTCCTTGGTTGTTTCTTGATGTCGTTTGTGATGATATCGGCCTGTCGGTCAGTCTTCATCTAATCAGTACGCATGTTTTCGCATACCTGAGGTGCATACTCAGTAGTTGTCTCAGGATCTTCCGAGTAGAAAAACTCGCCCGGCGCATCCGTTCTCAACCGCCTCCAGATGAGCCTAGCAGTGTGTTCTGAAATTGCGTCCTCAACCCCAAAAACATCTCCATAATCCGAATTGCCGAACAACGCAATGTACTTGGGCACGAGATCGCCCCCGTGTTCTTCGTGCTGCATGGCGGCTCCCCAAATATCAGCTAACATCAAGGCCTTTTCCTTGCTGTTAGTTAACTGTTCTCGATCGCGGCTGATTTCTCCCTCGGCAAAGTTATAGCCGTAGTGGTATCTCTTGCCTCCGGCTCCGTTGTGTTTGACTCGTAGACTTTTCAGGTAGATGCGGCCAGCAAAACGCTCATCCAGAAGGAGATCTCCGTATTCAGTTCGAATCATGGCGTCCGGAGGAGGGCCCTTGATGTCGAGAGACACAGCTATCCAGTCGTTGAACTGGTCCTCGGTGATTCTGTCGCAGATGTCACTAGGCCTGTTGTAAATCTTCACAACGACATCTTGATGAATGTAGGCCTTGAGAGAAGCCCTGGGCTTGTTCGTCGTTTCTCTTTCCAAGGCGGCCTTGTCATTCTCGACCTTTCTGTCGGTCGCGGGTCCAATACTGCATGTAAATCGGTCTTGATAGACACCTTTGAAGGAGAAATTCCATGACGCAGAACTTGATTTGATCTGAAAGCGTCGGTTGTTGCGTAGCATTACCAGAGCGGCAAGCTTGAAGCCTTCTCCATGAGTTCCTACGAACTTGTCATCACCGTGCTTTGTCGTGCCGCCAAGGCTCAGATTCTGCATCGTGAGAGCGGCGTTGAAGTTGGCCAGTTCAATGCTTCCTTGTTTTCTCTTGAATCGAATGAAGCCTAGCAATTCACCTTCTGGGCGTATCTGGCGGCGAGTTCTGGAAGTCTCAGGACTGGGCGCATTGGGGGTTGGGCGATGAACGGTGATCTGGATTTCGTTTTTCGTTTCGTGCAAATGCGTTACGAACGAGCGGGGATCCAAGCCATAGGACTCAACGATACCATCCTTCCTGCTTTCCGTTAGCATTTTATTTGACAGAGGCAGGTCTTCCACAGTATTACCAGTTCTGTATGATCTCCCGCAAGCTGTCTGCGCAATTCCACTTCGGAATGTAGCTCCTGCTGAGGCCTAGCGGATGGCTGCCTTTCCGGATCTTGTCGGCGTCATCTTCATCTTCCGGGAAGAGTTCCTCGAATTCGTAATCATCAATTACAGAGCTAGAGTCAGAGTCGTCGTCCATTTCTCTGGGAGGTGCAGGTCACGCTGTTACAAATAAGAGAGCATCGGCGTAAAAAAGCTGCTTAGTTTGGGGACAAACAGCAACCAGGCTGGAATTCGTCACAACCTACGAGCCAATGCAGTCCTTCGCAAGCACAGATTCATAGAAACTCCACGAGGAAATGAAGGAAAGATCCTCAGAAAGTCAGGCAAAAGGGTGGAAAGATGGAAAAGATGGCTGAGAATGAACAAGGGTTGCGGTGCGGCGGAAATGGAGGGCAGGTTGGATAGCAGGATTTTGCTTTACCTTCAAGTCTACATGTGAAGACTTGTGCCCATTCTTCTCGTTCGTTTTCACAGTGTGCCATCGGCGTAAATTAAGGGTCAATACATGTAGCTGGTGGATCCAGGAACTAGCTGAACACCAACCAACACGCAATAGGAACAAATAAGAATCCTTATATTACTCAGGGGTCCCCTGTCATTTCTCTCAAAAGGGGCTTACTTCAGTTGGAACCAGTTTGGAGTCAGTTTGTGATTATAAATAGGTAGATTTCATAGTGACATGCTATAGAAACCTACATAGTTAATATAAAATCCGCACCCTTTTGTAATTCCGTTCAGTTCTGGGCGGGATTGGAGCAAAGACATGGCTTTATGCCAGTAGATATATTTAAGACTAGGGGCTATAAGGATTCTATTAAGTCCGACTTTCTACTATACTTGCCAGCTCTTAGCTGACAGGGCGGAATCTGCGCCTAACACTGTGTGGAAGATAGATATGATCTTGCGTCTAGGATAATCAAAAAGATGCACATAAAGAGGTATTGAGAAGTGTTGTAGGGATCTCACAGTTCTCGGACTTGTATAGCACTGTCCATGGTCAACTTCTGATCACATTGTTCTACTTTTGGTTTACCCTTGCGTACCTCTGTAGTAACCGTTAGTCTTTGGCTGCACTTCTGCTACATTGTATCAAATTGGCATATCGAGGAGTATGTTTAGAAAAGGGGAATTTAAGCAATAGTTGATATCAAAACAACGGAACGGGTGCATCTCCACCGGACCACCAGGACCTTTGTTTTCCAGCCTATGTTGCAACAACAGGCCAACGCCTCGAGCTTGTTTGTGAAATTACTTCGATTTCCACGATAAAGCTCACATCTGTATATCATATTTGTGAGTGCTAGCTGAGCAAGGATTTCACTACTGTGATGATTACTGTGATGCCGCCACAAGCGGGCATTGATGTTGCGGGAATGAGACCTCACTAGGAAAACATCGAAAAATTGACAGGAAAACGATATCTCGGGCGCGGTATCATGTCGCGTGGTCTTCGAGTGAGTGCATCATCCGATCTGCAAGCAACGCTCGGAACAAGAATGACTGGCTTCAGGTTTCATCTGTCATAAAAGCCACTGAAGAGAACCGAGATAGAAGAAGATAGTCAAATTCTTAGCAGACTCAAGAAAAAAGAAGTATGTCCGTGAAGTGTGAAGTTAAACCAAGATAAACCCATCCAAAAACTCCAAGCCATATCCCCCATAAAACCCGCCTGGTATCTATTTCTTGACCTTGAGGTCGAAGCGGTCAAGGTTCATGACCTTGTCCCAAGCAGCGACGAAGTCCTTGACGAACTTCTCCTTTGCGTCGGAGCTGGCGTACACCTCAGCGATGGCACGGAGCTCGGCGTGAGAGCCGAAGACCAGGTCGGCGCGGGTGGCGGACCACCTCTGCTCCTTGGTCTTGCGGTCGGTGCCGACCCAGGCCTCGCCGTCGTCGCCGCTCTTGGCCCAGACGGTGGAGATGTCGAGGAGGCTGATGAAGAAGTTGTTGTTCAGCTGGCCCTTGGTGGAGGTCAGGACGCCGGTGTTGGAGCCGTCGAAGACGGCACCCAGGGCGCGGAGACCACCGACGAGGACGGTAAGCTCAGGGGCGGAGAGGGTCAGCTGGGCGGCCTTGTCGACGAGGATCTGCTCGGTGCGAGCGCGAGCGGTGCCGCGACCGTAGTTGCGGAAGCCGTCGGCCTGGGGCTCGAGGTAGCCGAAGGCGCGGACGTCGGTCTGCTCCTGGGTGGCATCGACGCGACCAGCGGTGAAAGGAACAGTGACCTCGACACCGGCATCCTTGGCAGCCTTCTCGACGGCAGCAGCACCACCGAGGACGATCAAGTCAGCGAGGGAAACCTTCTTAGAGCCGGTGTTGAAGCCCTCCTGGATCTTCTTCAAAGCAGCGAGAACCTCCTTGAGCTGGGTAGGGTTGTTAGAGACCCAGTTGACCTGGGGCTCGAGAGCAATGCGAGCACCGTTGGCACCACCACGCTTGTCGGAGTTGCGGTAGGTAGAAGCAGAAGCCCAGGCGACGGAGGTAAGCTTGGAGACATCAAGGCCGGGGGCAGCGAGGATATCGGACTTGAGCTTGGAGATGTCGGCATCATCGATCAGGTCACCCTCACGAGCAGGAAGGGGATCCTGCCAGCCGAAGGTCTCCTTGGGGATCTCAGGGCCGAGGTAGCGAGAAACGGGGCCAAGGTCACGGTGGAGGAGCTTGAACCAAGCCTTGGCGAAGGCATCAGCGAGCTCTTCCGGGTGGTCAAGCCAGCGCTTGGAGATGTTCAGGTAGGAGGGGTCGTTGATGAGAGCCAGGTCGGAGGTGAGCATAGTCGCCTTGCGGAACTTGGTAGAGTCGAAGGGATCGGGGTAGTCGAGGGTGCCGTTCGCAGCCTCCCATTGGTGAGCACCTGCAGGAGACTCGACAAGGACCCATTTGTTGTGCAGGAGGGATTCGAGGTAACCGTTGGACCATCTGCAGGTACAGGGGTTAGCGTTGATGTATCACTGCATAATCACCCGATGGGTAAAAATAGATTTTCACATCTTTTGCCTCCTGCAGTCTCTCTCAACGTCTTTTTAAGACCTTCTCATATGGGCGAGGACGGCATATGAGAAAAAGCCTCAAGTATTGAAGCCAAGACGAGACCGACATGGAGGGATATGCAGAGGTCATCTCATTCATCACTTACTTGGTAGGGGTCTTGGTCCAGACGACCTCGAGACCACTGGTCATCTGGTTGGGGCCGTTGCCCTCACCAACGCTGTTGTGCCAGCCGAGACCCATCTCGCCGATGTCAGCAGCTTCCGGCTCCTTTCCGATGTTTTCTGTTGCATTACAAAGTTAGCAGATGTTCGGCAATAAGCGGTGAAAGAGGTGGAACAGCATGTCACTAGCTCCGGAAACCAAACGGAAAAGCACTCACCACTCTTGACGGCGCCATGCGTCTTGCCGAAGGCGTGTCCACCGGCAATGAGAGCGACGGTCTCCTCATCGTTCATTCCCATGCGATCGAAGGCCACGCGGATGTCCTTGGCCGAGGCGGCGGGGTCCGAGCTGCCGTCGGGACCCTCAGGGTTGACGTAGATCAAGCCCATGTGGGTGGCACCCAGAGGCTTCTCGAGCTTGTCGGCGCGCTCGTTGATATTGGTGCTGCCGTTGTAACGGACATCGTTGCCCTTGGGGACGAAGGTCGTCTCGCCACCCCAGTAGACGGACTCATCGGCCTGCCAGGTGTCAGGGCGGCCGCCGGCAAAGCCAGCGGGCTTGAAGCCCATGGACTCGAGGGCGACGTTGCCGGTCAGGAGATACAAGTCCGCCCATGAGATCTTGTTTCCGTACTTCTGCTTGATGGGCCCTGTAGACGAGAGGATGTTAGTCTCCGCAACACCGCACGCGAGATCAATAGGCTAAGCAGAAATTCTCCACCAGCGAGACATCCCGTCCCTCCACATTCAATGTCCCAGCCACCGAGCCGTGAGGTGGCTAATGAGTCGATGATGTGAAGGGACAGGGATGAAAAGCCGCCTCTAGCCATTGAGATCGAAGGAGTTGCAACATGACTTACACAGCAGGCGACGAGCCTTGTCGAGGTTCTGGTTGTCAGGCCAGGAGTTGAGTGGAGCGAACCGTTGCTGGCCCTGCAAGAGTCCAAGATTAGTAAACGCCAATCCATAAGACGAATAAAAGTGATGCAGCGTGATAAGATGCAAACGACGCTGGGTCCATAATTGTGTGCGTGTGGAGAAAGGAGATGCTTTAGCAGCTCTTGGCTCTGGACCGGGGATAGGACAAAATACTCCGCCTGACCAATTGATCTCCCACGCGAGGCGGGAAAAAGGAAGGAAAAAATTCGTGTGAAGTGATAAAGATGGAGATGCAAAGAAAACAAGACAGGGGATAAGGAGAATTTGGAATCATCGGAGGGGAGTCGGAGGCCCGGAGAGCGGGGGCAAACCGAAGAGGTGACGAAAGGACAATAACGGCTTACCATTCCACCGCCACCTCGGCCGTCGATGGCGCGATAAGTGCCGGCGCTATGCCACGCCATGCGGATGAAGAGGCCGCCGTAGTGGCCAAAGTCGGCCGGCCACCAATCCTGGGAGTCGGTCATCAGATCGTGAAGATCCTTCTTGAGAGCCTCATCTGTGATTTGTTAGTGTGGTGTTTTCCACGTGAACATCGGGTTGAAACTCACAGTCGAGGGAGTTGAAAGCAGCCGTGTAGTCAAAGTCGCTGTCGTACGGGTTTGTGGCCGCCTGGAACTGACGGAGAACGTCAAGTCTAAGCTGGCAAGGCCACCAGTCGTGGCTGCGAGTGCCGCCGCCGGCCTGGTTGCTGATGGTCGAGCATCTTCCGAAGCCCTCGGCGGTTTCTCTCTTGGGAAGAGAGCTGCTGACGCCGCCATCGCGTTTGGCGAAAGGGCATCCTTCAGCGGTGACGACCGGCAGCAGAGCTGATGCCGTCAACAGCAGGTTTGACAGTTTGGCGTGCATGGTGGTGATGAAGAATTGGACTGGTAGTCCAAAAAAGAAAAGACAGGTGAACCCCGAGATCAAGTAGTCGACTCGAGGACAATGATCGAGATGAGTTGGTCCGGGAGATTGCTCAGAAACAAGAGTCTAGAAGATGGGACGAACCCAGGCATATGTATGAAACCCGGCCGCCACAACTCTCGTCGACCAGACCAGAACCTGTAATACACACCGACCAGGACCCTTTGTCACTCACGTGGGAAGGGAAATATTTTGGTTCCAGCGTGAGATCCACGATTAGTAACAAGTGGTACCAAGGCCAAGTCTGATGAGGCCGATTTCTTGTCCTTCCCAAAAGCTCATGTACCTCTCTCCCAGGCTGACGGGGGCTTGGTAATAAGCTTCCTACAACGGCAGTCATGTCGGTATTGCCCTCTGCAACCCCAATCACAAAAGGCGAACCAGACAAAGTGTTTAGTGGTACCTAGACGAGTCTTTGCCAAGTTGAAAAGGAACCCCTGCAAGGGCGAGGGCGTGCAGAGGCTCGCTCGCAAGGAAATGCAAGGTTTCGATCCAAAATAAGCGCTTGACTTGTACTGCATTGTACAATCTCCTTTGATTGGGATGAGCGTTTACAAGTCAGCGTACAAAAAGGCCCCCGGTCTTGTTTACCCGCTTTAAACACTTTTTGGGAGGGGATTGTCGCTAGCCGAAGGGCCATCTGGATGAAACCCCACGCCCATCTTCTATGGAGTTGGACGAGGATTTGCTCAGAGCAGCCGGGATGACCTTGGGAGAGCTGGGATGAGCTGGGATCGGCCTGTCCACCGGTCCGTAACAGGCATAACGTCACAAATCCGGGGAGCTATCGTGACTGTTGGATGCGGGCCGGTGCCAAGTCACTGGAAGAGTAAGGTGGTACTCGAACCAATGGCGACCAATTGTGTCATGACAGTTTCCAAGCTGCAGAATCCACTCTGAATATAATAAACTTCGCCCCCCTTTGCTCTGTATCCATTCTTGTACACATCATTGCTGTCTAGAGACAGCTAGAGATGCCGTAGTCGGATCATTTCACCGGCTGGCGGAGGAACCCGCGCGCTGCGGCCTAATTGAAACCTCCGTCGACGTCGACTACAGATCCATACGCCGCATACTATGGCAGTACTTCTGTAGCATTCAAGAGGAGAACCCTGTTAGCCACGCCGAAAACCTGCCAATCCAGGCACATGTTGCTATGGGGAGTTGCACAAGCTAAAGTTCCCAACCCAAATCGAATGATGCCGCACATGGGACGAAGGAAGCTTTTCATCAATCGTGCATTGACTCAGCCCTATATCCTTTCTGCCCGTACTTTGTGGTGTACACTACTCCTTACTCTTTACTGGATGTACTGTACGTAGTTTCGGGGGGAACGTCGTTGGGGAAAACTTGGAGGTTCTGCTGAGGATCTGGACCCCCGCGCCGCCCGCTCATCCGTCGGACTTGGGCGCCGTTGACAGGTGCAGAACTGTTTGATGTTTGGGTTTCCCAGCCACGAAGCCATCCCCGACTGGGAAGCTAGATTCTTGACATGCAGGACCACCGATGCACTGGACCTGTCGGCCGAGAATCCTGCGACCCCGGGAATGCCCGGGTTAAGCGACCCTGTGTGCAGCGTTACAGTAGGCAAATGAGTGTTGTGATAGAGAAGAGTACGTAGTCGCGAATAATAGTCCGTACAGCCACGACAGCTATAGCTGCCAAGAGCTCTTGGCGGGTGGCTTCTCATCACATGCAGAGTGAGCATGAGTCTCTCATGAGCAAGGTGAGCAAGGTGAGCATCTGAAATCTGACGTTGGTTAGTGGCTGCAAGCCTGCAAAGGATGTGATCGCTTGCGCGTTACCGCCATGTTCGAGCTCACTATTTCTCTGGGCAAGTTGAATTTTTGGAACTGCGCAACGTGCACCCCTGCATCGTCATCTTGGACCTTGGAGTCTCGGCCGACACCCACTTGCCGACGTTCCAATGGCATCGGACCACCTTGGTCTCGGCATTCGAAAGTCACGGAAACAATGCCTGCTTTAGTTCGTCCCAGTCCCAGGCGCCCGCGGACAGCTTGTTGACATAACAAGCACTACAAATTGAGCAGTTCGGCTAGCTTGGAAGTTCGCGGTCCTCTTGTGGCCCGGTCAATAGCAAAGTTTCCGTAAGATATGGTATCGAATTCTGAAATGAGGGGGAAATTCTGCGTTTGGTAATTTCACTTCATCTCACACCACCATATGGTTGAACTTACCAATGATGAATCATACAACCGTGCCCCTCTGCACTATCATTGACGCAAACCTTCAGACGATTATTGCTTGTAAACCACCATCTTTCTACTGGATGCTGATGGTGTTCCGAGCCATTTGCTCCGGGCGGAAATGAATCAAGCATTCCTAATTGACTTCAGTTCTGCAGCGAAGGATCGGTGATTCCCGGCATGCTGTTGAGGACGGTCCAGGTATGGGCATGTGATGAGACGGCTTCGTTCTCGTTGACTCTAATTCACATTCTTATTCGGCTCCGAAACTCTGTTCAACTATCACTGACTAGAACCATAGAATGAAACGCATCGGCCGAGGTTACTTTGGAAGCACATTGCATCCGATACCTGAGCGAACCACAGTCGTGGCAGTGAGAACGATGTTCTGCCCATTGGGAAATCAGTTCGCTGCTTTGAAGAAGCTGGTGCATCCGGAGTTGAGCGTTCGGATCTCCGAACACTCCTTGGTACAAGATCTGTTTTGTGAATTATTGTTCAGTTTACCTAATCAAAGACCTTCAGTAAGAGGTCATTACACCATCTCCTTATGATGCCCTACAAGAGACACTATTCGAAACAGCAGACCAGCTCGACATTGCGAAACCGAACATATGCACTTCCAAGCCTTCACACCCTATGTTGATACATGCATTTCGCAGTGGCTGCCAGGAGGAAAATGGGCCATTCTGCGGTCTGAGTACTGCCTCGTCGCCTCCCGAACGGGAGCCGGACACGTCGTTCAAATCGCTCAATGTGACCTGTAGGTCACCATCATCAGCACACTGCATGAACATTATGTCTCGAAACGACTACACACCATAATTAGAGCCTCATCTAGCATTTTCTGAACACCATCCAGCGAATCGGCAGTGTCCATTATCTCACATCCAACGTGCACGATATGGTACGGCTGACTTCCAATTGGTTCACCAACTCAGCCATCTGTGTGACGTCAGCGTGAGCAGCCATGCCTCTCGTTTCGCATCTGTAAAGTCAACTGTATACTTCTGCATACTCATATTGGGATTTCTTCTATTTAGAGATAGCCTACCTCAGGAGACATTCTCTGTAGAGCCGCGTTGACGTTTCAACTGTTTAGCTCGTGTCTGTAGTTACTCAGACATCTAACCCTCAAAAAAAGGAAACGCTGCATCTTGCGACAGTCTTGAGTCTCAAGTGAACGAGTATAATTGTTTGTATCACCTTCCTTCATGTGACGAGTCCAGAATCGTTTCTGTTGAGGTTCTGTAGTAAGCACGCCGACTTTCTTCCACTATCAAGTGAACTTTGTGTGGCATTCTTTGTAGGCTTCATATGGGTTGATGTCCAAAATCATCTGTTTTAGTCATGTCAGACCGAAAGATGAGCCCGATACCTCGAAGTAACTCCGCAAATAACTAACAAGCAATTGGGAATTGGTAATCAGAATCCTCCGCCTACCTACCATGGCGCAGCAGACTCTAGCGGCGTACTAGGATTGCGGGGTCCTCGGCCAGCTCCTCGACCATAAGAGCGCCAAGTGAGGCTAGTACCAGCAGTGTAAGACAGGCCTCAATCTCACCGCGTCTTTAGGATTCCGAAGGATGAGGCTAGGCCGGCAGGACGGCTGTCAGCTGGATAACTCCGGCCGCCCACCGGCGCCCCACATTTACTCCGGAGCCGATTAAACGAAAAAGAAAAAGTCCGTCCGTCCGTGTTCCCGGCCCGGCGCGCTGGGAAGGCCGGGCTAGTTTAGATCCAAAGTTTCGAGTCATGTGCCTGGCCCGCCAAACCAACAAAGCGGGCCGAGAAGCCCCTTAAACAATGCAAGAAGAACGCTGTTTCTATCTTAATAGCAACTACCAACTCGTTTCATCCGAATGAATTCTTAGGTCAATTACTTCGAAACTGGGCACAAATCGATATGGGATGACTCGGTGCCCGTCCTTGGCGCGTGCTCAGGGGCATTCTTTCAGCCTTACTTTCAACCGTGATGGGTCATGGAAGCATCGCGTATTTTTTCCCATGATAGAAGTGCCAAGCAACATAGCCATGATTTGTCAGTGGCCTCTATTTCTGTCCAAGAGTAGCATTGAAGACTATTGTTGCCGATTAAATCATCTTCTCTTGGAACTTGTTTTACAAATATCACCGGTTACCCTCATTCAACTCCCGTTTGTCCCCTGAGCGCAGGCCGCGTTCTAGACCGTCAATCAACTCTCGTGCTACCCGCGCGGGCTCTCCTGTTCGACCGCTGGTGGTCTCCTCCTCGAAGCTGCAACGGCGGGTCCACCAGTCCAGCCACGTGTCCGCCCTTGCGCCTTCTTTGGCCCGTAGCAACCCAACGCTGACGTCGATGACGTCAGGTCGCCATTTGTCGTGCCAGAAGACCGTCGCGCCGCATGTACCACAAAACTCACGATGTACGCCGGGGGAAGATTCGTAGGTTTGCAGAATGCCAGACGGAAGTGTCCCAAAGTCAAGAGGCGTGATCGTCTGTTCCCCGTTGGAAGCAGCGACGTGAAAGAAGATGTTGCTTCGAGGGACGAAGGTCCAGGTCTGGATTTCGAAGCCGGAGATGAGTCGACAAGAGCGGCATGCGCATGTTCCTGCGAGGTACTTTGTGCCATTTGCGCGAATCCACCACTTATCGCGGTTTGGATTGGCCATAAACTCCGAGGAATGCGAACATGCAGCGTACTGCAGATCCGGGTAGCCGGAATGAGGGATGTAACTTTCTTCATTCGGGCGGGTGATGTGAAAGCTGACGGTCCCACACGCGCATGTGGCTGGCAGGGCGTCCGGAGGCGCAAGCGGTGACACTTCTGGTAGCACCTCTCTTGCTGTGACTTTTTGGAATCCATCAGCCAAAGACTGGTTGACGGTTTCCATTGTTCGGTTGCCGATTTTCGGGAGCCATAGGGAGATGCCGCCGTCATTGGTGTCACCCACTGAGATGTGCCTAGCGTAGCGTGTGTCGGTGTCAGACATATCGCTAGCAGCTTCGTTGATTACACCGGTTGCCGCTTCCCATTGTTCCTCTGCGCCCTGGGTCTGGCTTCGAAAGGTATGGCAGCCGCAGGCTGAGCAGAAGTATCTCGTGCGACCATCGGCACCTCCGTGAGCTGTAGTGCCACGAGAAACATCCGGCCGTGCGATTGGATAGTAAGATGTGCACAGAACCCCGCTTGAGTGCCGTTCTATGTCGCTGTGGTCGAGTGACAACTCCAAAGCACCGGACTCGGGGCGCCGCAGCTCAACTTCCTGGGAAGTCGCCCCGCACAAGCAGGAGACATGCATCTTCAAGGCAATGCGAAGATGGGTGGTGACAAGAAAGAACGGTGAGTCGGGTGGGAAAAGAAAGACGCAGGAACCGAGTAAATAGTGGAAGGCATCACGATAACGATTCGGCGTACAACGTCGTCATTTGTCCTTTCGTCGCATCCCCGCACGTAAGATCCGGGCCAACCGGAGCCGGATGGTCCAGCCGGAAGTGGAGAATCCGCCGAAGTTTCGGCGAAAGTTTCCATATTTCTCGGGTCCGCCCCGCTCTAGGTTGCTCTGCCGGGTATTCGGCCCTCGCGCCGGTGTACCGGCATCTAGCCAATGAAAGTACAGGTTGAAATTTGAAGTTCCGATGTGAGGAGACCTTGCCGTGGCGAAGTTCATGTACCTTACAGGCATCATGGAGAATAGCCTCAATTGCTCTTCGCTGTGGCTGGTGATTAAATAATGAGGCGGTCGAGGAAAAGCTTTACCGACGGTGCAAGAGCATGCGATGTCAGTTATCCCCTGACCGGATATGTTAACGCGAACCGACAATCCATCAGCTACCAGATCAGCGAAAGAATATGGCAGCGAATGCAAGTTTAGATATTTTTAATCATACACTTCCCCGGCTATAGGCTGCGTTTTTGCATATAACCATCTTTTGATCTTGCCTCATGAATTAAAAGTATGTCTGACGATTGAGCTCGCGTTGGAAAAATTAAACACACGAAACATGGCGGTAATATCCTCGGAGCATGACTCTGGCAGTTCTCTGGCCCACGCGCTTGTATGCGTATGTGTCGTTGGCGTGAGTGAAACCTACCAGATGTTGCAATCACGGCCACAGGAAGTAGAAAGCTAACAGGAGATTGAAGGCTCTCATATGGAGCTTGTGGACTGTGGTCTACAACCTGTATTTCCATCCGCTTGCTCGATTTCCAGGACCGATTCTTGCTCGGGTGTCACCAATCCCATACGTCATTGCTCTCGTCAGAGGACGCATTCCCTTCTGGGTAAAGGCGTGTCACGATCAGTACGGTCCCATCGTCCGCGTGTCTCCAAACGAGCTATCTTTCGACAATGAAGTCGCATGGAAGGACATCTACGGCAGTCGGCCCGGTCACAAGAACTTCCACAAAGACCCGATTCATGTGGGCAGCATACAATCGGTACCCGGCGTCTCAACGATAACGATGGCCAACGATGCAGACCATGCACGGCAACGACGAGCGCTGTCACATGCATTCTCTACAAAAGCTCTGCTGGAGCAGGAATACATCGTCAAGTCGTACATCGATGTGTTCTCACGGAAGATGCAGGAGTTCGCCAAGCTGGGAAAACCGGTGAATGTGGTTGATTGGTTTGCGTACACCACCTTTGACATCATCGGCGATATGGCTTTGGGAGAACCGTTTGGCTGCCTGACTAATGGTAAGCTAAACTCAAGACCAATAACTTTCGGGGAAACAGACAATTGACAGTACTATGCAGAGGACTTCCATTTTTGGGTGCCGATGATCAGCTCATCGATCAAGGCTGGCGCTTTTGAACAAGCCACAAGGCGACTCGCAGAGGCCGATGGTTTCATGCAAAAGCAGTTACTGAAGCTGATTCCTCAACGCATCCGCACTACCAGGATTCAACATTTAGAGTATAGCAGAGAGAAGATCTTGAAGTAAGCCATCATTATCCTATGAAACATTGGTCCTGAGTGCGCTGACACAATTGCAGACGTATGGCACAGTCTAGCTCAGATCACAAGGACTTTCTCTACTATCTTCTTAAGCAACAAGAGAGCGGATCCATTAATCAAAACGAAGTCATCGTGAATGGAGCGCTGTTCATGTAGGTTCCACGATGGATGACTGCAAAAGTGTGTGCCTGACACGTTCAAATGTAGCATTGCCGGGACAGAAACAACAGCTGGTTTTCTTGCCGGGCTTTTCAATCAACTTCTTCGGCACCCAAGAGTGTTGAACAAGCTTACAGAAGAGATCCGGTCAAACTTCTCATCCGATGCTGACATCAACTTCGAAGACCTGGTCAAGCTACCATACCTCAGTGCCGTTATCGACGAAGGCCTGCGAATCTTCCCCTCTGCGCCAATTGGCTTCGTCAGAACCGTGCCTCAGGGCGGTGATACCGTGGATGGAGAATTCATACCGGAAGGTGTACGTGACCTTTTGGGCCCAAACGGTAAATCGAGATTCTGGCTGACATTTTGGACAGACCACCGTTTCGGTGCCCATGTGGGGTGCTACTCATAGCGAGAGGAACTTCAAAGATCCATATACCTTTCTCCCGGAACGTTGGTTGAACAGGGAAGGAAGTTCCGACAAGTTTGGGGCTTCGAATGCTTTCTCTCTCGGACCAAGAGGATGCATTGGGCGCAAGTATGTTTCCAGATGCGAAGACGATGATAACCAGACTAACTTTAGACGTAGCTTATCTTACATGGAGATGCGCCTGATCATTGGCAAGCTCCTGTGGCATAACGACTTGCAGTTCCATGGAGATAACGATGCTTGGGATCCTGAGAAAGACTATCCTGGACTTACGGTCTACAACAACTGGATGAAGCCAGGATTGTGGGTGAAATTGACGCCAAGGAGCGGTTGATGATTTCGAGTTGGCAATATCTAGCAGTAAGGCGCCTTATTCGCCCTACAGTGACCGCATCTATCTGTTTCAAGGATGTGAGCCAGGGAAGATATCACGCTCAAATGGAAACCCTACTTTATTCTCATAATTGCTTCAAGAAAGTTTGGAGTGATTCTGACTCCAACGCAGCTAAGTTACTGCAGTATGCCGAAGGGCCGGAGGGCGTCGGTAAAAGACCGAGAATGTGGGGCCGGAGACCGAAAGTACGACCTGTGGCTGACTTGCACCATCGACTCGACGATGACGTGCTTGACCAAAGGACGATAATCGTCAGACTCTCGCTCATGATACGTCCATCGTAGGCGGAGCTTCCGCCTATTATCGGTAATGGGTGGATGCTACCGTAGGAAAGGCTCTGAAATTTTCACCTTGGCGAACGATTTTGGGAAGTCTCGCCAAAATCACCGGTGCTGGGTGCTCGAGAGTTGGAGATGATGTGCTCGACGCGACGGGCCCTGTCATGCAGCATGATTCGATTGATAAACGTCAAATCCCCATCGTTCATCCATGAAGACACGTCCGTGAATACTCCCACTTTTTAAACAATTCCGACATTATGACCAACGTCAACGAGAAAGGGGCTGTGGAGGCCCCTACGACAGACATTTCGCCTAGTGCAGAGAAGAGGCCCGCCTCGATCACTTCCGCTCCGGCTGTTTCAGATCCGGACAACACCGCGAAGCATCAGCCCAAGTCCGGCGCCGATGCCGCTCTCGAATTGCTCAACGAGACCGGCCCTCTGGGCCATGCCGTGGACCCGGAACTCAACCGAAGACTGAAGCGCCGCATCGACACTCACATCATGCCCCTGATCTGCATCGTCTACTTCTTGCAGTACATCGATAAGACAGCAATCTCATACGCCAGTGTCACCGGCATTCAGCAGGACACGGGCCTACATGGGAATCAGTTCAACTGGGTGGCTTCCATCTTTTTCTTCGGCCAACTGGCGTTTGAATTCCCCACCATTCGCCTCATCCAACTCTTTCCATTGGCGAAGTACACCTCGGTTAACATTATGCTCTGGGGTCTGGTCTTGGCCTGTCTCGCGGCTTGCAAAAACTACGCCGGTCTCCTCGTTTGCCGTTTTCTCCTTGGTGTCTTCGAAGCTGCAGTCGTGCCTGCTTGGGTCCTTTTCACATCACAGTGGTACACCAAGCAGGAACAGGCCTTCCGTGTCGGCATCTGGTTCTCCGTTTGCGGCGCTGCCCAGATGTTTGGTGGCTTTTTCGCATACGGTGTAGCCGTACACGTTGGGAAGGACCCAAACGCGCTTCTCCGCGGGTGGCAGGTCATCTTCTTGTTCCTCGGTCTCCTTACTGCTGTGGTGGGCATCGTGTTCTGGTTCATCATGCCCGACTCTCCGGCCTCGGCCGCCTTCTTATCTCAAGAAGAAAAGGCTGCTCACCTGGAGCGAATCCGTGACAACGAGCAAGGTATCGGGTCTCAGCAGTTCAAATGGTCGCATGTCAAGGAGGCTTTGACGGATACCATGACCTGGCTCTACGCGTTCTGGATCTTTGCCGCCAACATCCCCAACTCGATCGCCACCAGTTTCGGAAACATCCTCGTAAAAGGCATGGGGTACTCGAGCGAAGAGTCGCTGCTCCTGGTCACACCTCTTGGCGCGTATGAGATTGTTGCATTGGTCGGCCTCACGTGGCTTGCCATGAAAACCAGACAACGGCTGTACTGGTGCATCGCCGGCCATATCCCCGCCATTGTAGGTGCCATTCTGATGGCAACAACTTCCAAGGTACCCGCACTGATCGGATACTACACTTCGGGAGGTATTCCGATCGGATGGACGACGATCTTGGGTCTCCAGTCCTCCAACGTCGCGGGTTCCACCAAGAAGGTAACTGTGGCATGTATCGGTACGATCGCGTACACCGTGGGGAACATCATCTCGCCCCAGACTTTTCAGGCGCGAGATGCGCCCAGATATCTGCCCGCAAAGATCTCAATCTGCATCATCTATGTCTTGGTTACCGTGGACCTGTTCGTGATGCGCTGGGTACTGGACAGGAGGAACAAGAAGAGAGATGCTGAGAAGGCGGCGTTAGGGGACGCCCACCATGCTGAGCTTAACCATGAGTTCTGGGACTTGACGGACTTGGAAAACAAAGAGTTCAGATACGAGTTGTAACTTGTTCTATAACACTAATACTATTGTTGAGACTGTCTGCTTTAGAGCACTGAGCCACTCATTCGTGCACGACATAGTCATCTTTCATTACTTGCTTGCACATACTTTTATGCACATACTTCGACCATCCCGCTTTCTTCATCTCTCGTTGGGGGTATCATTATTATCATAAATCGTTGACTGGAGCGGGAGTCTCCGTCGTGCTTTTGTTGGTATGCACACAGTATGTACACTGAAATTGTTTGCTCGAGTGCTTCTCAGACATGTTCGACGCTGCTGTTAAGTCAGGAGAGCTGAATTTGCAGCAATTTTCAGAACAGGTCTTACTATGATCTGTTGCTTTTCGTCGACACTGTACGATATGAAAATGCGAGTTTGGAGCCGCACATGTCCCGTAGTATGCTCGACGGTAACATCGGACGTGTTTGTTAACTTTTCCGGACCGGTTCTTGAACGCCTGGGTGCCCCCTCTATCAAATCTGATGCAGTGGCGTTGCCTCGTGGGATATCGTTCATACTGGGTCTGTAACTGGTTCTGTAACGAGGCTTGTGTTTAGTGTCGACGGTTTCGTTTGAGCGGCTGCTGGTAGATCCTCAAGTCGTTGACAGTTACAAGATGACATCCGTGTAAAGGCCAGGAGCTTGTTGAGCACCGCGAACTCAACCTTAAGCTTGATTCCATAAACTAGCGGTTTACTCGTTGTTTGAAACACGAAGTAGTCCATGTATTCCAGAACGCATAAGGAAATGTCGAGTAGGAAGACGAGCACAAACATGCTGATTAAGTATGCCAGCAAAGTCTTGGCTTCCCTTCCTTTGAACTCGAATAAAGATTTGAAGTTGTGAAATCCCATGCGAACGAAAATGCCGGTGATGATGGTTTCCTGTACTGTGAAGACCATCAGGGAGACTTTCTCGAAAATACTGAATCGCTTGGTCCACAGTGGTGTGTCGATTCCGGACCAGACTAGTGAAAATAATACCGTTTGCGGAATATGGACGAGACAAACGGTGGTGATTATCATAGCGAGAACCAGCTTGATCGTAAGTCGGTTGAAGACAACGAGATGTAGCCTGGAGTACATGACAACGGACTGCCCGGTCACCATCATGTACCATCCGACGTGCGCAAACGAACCAGGTATAGGCGTTCGTTGTGCTTGAAGATATCGGCCCAATCCCCCGCAGGCGTGGAAGAGGATGCCCGTATTGGCAACCAACATGCTCCAGAAGTATCGGCCGCGTCGGCGTCGGAACGTGGTGAAGATGAGAACGTATATTTCGATCGCATTGTACATGCCCGCCGTGGCGAGGGCCGTAAGGGCGATCTTGTCAGCCTCCGACAGCTTCTCGCCAATTGCCCCTTGAACCTGCGCCATGGTTCGAGTCGAATGGCGATGGGGCGGTCATCCGGAACGGCGCGACAGCCGCAGTGGATACTCGGAGGACTTCCGCGGGATGTCGCCCCGTCTGTTCTAGTCGATATTCGATGTTAACGATCGAGAATTATTGCCCCAGTCAAGAGATCTAAGTCCGAAACTGGGACGGCGGGGCCGTTAGAATACATGTAGAAGAGTTGTCGGACCGCTTTGACAGCGTGCGCGGGTTTCAGCCGAGAACCCTTCTTCCATTATTGTTCTTCCCTTCCGAACCACCGCATAAGGTTTGACAAGGCGAGTCATTGAAACAGTCCGCCACATGCGCCAAGTAAGTTAGAACTGCTCGGTATCGCTCTCACGTGGCTGACCGAGGGCAGACTTGGTGTGCTGTAGTGTCTGTGCTGGTGAGGGGACTGACCGCGCTAGGTCTGGGCGGTCGAGATGCTGCATGTTGTACCAGGCTTTGCCCTGCTCGATTTGCCTGTGCTTGCCCATCAAACCTGTTGATGTAGACTTCATCCTGGTTCTCATAGTGAAATTTGCCGGGCCGGTGGACTCCCGCGCGTGCCGTTGTTTTGTCGTCCGAGTTGATGGTGGACTCAGGAACGGATAGACTGGGTCGCAAATGTGACATCACCAATTCAGGCGGAGACTACGGAATACTCTGTCCAAATTTCTGTGAGATAGTTTACTTTTGGCTCAATTAGCTTTTGAAGCAGAATATCTGAGCATCTTCTTTATCCCCATTAGGTTCTTCCATGCTTGCAGCTTAGGATGAAGTATCCAATCATCATGTTGTGAAAAGGATCATACCTCTATGACTTACATACCTCTGTTTTGGAATATTCCAAGTCATAAAATGGTCAATGGCTGAGACCTCTGCAGGTAGTTACTCGGTCTAGATTGGACATTGATGAGCTACGGTGAAATTTTATCTTGGGCTCAAAGACAGGCCTTGACGTTGAGCCAGTATTCATTCTTAAGTTGGTAGTTTTTGATGATATTGAGCTGCGACTTTCACCTAGACCTTGGAAGTTACTCATAAAAGGGCTAACGATACCACATTCGCAGGTTCACTACCCGCAGAGCAAGAGTCCAATATGAGGTGGGAGTATCGTCCGGCTCTGAGTTAGCTTATAGCAGTTTACCAATGCGAGTTCTTCTGTACTTTAACACAATTCTACCACTTCAGCCCGTACTATCCCTCAATGCAGCAAATGGATACAAACAACAGTCGTAAGAGTCCAATACAACATGCTAAAGAAGACTTTTGTTCGAGTAGAGGAACCAGAAGGGTATAAATAGCCCTGGTTTCGTCTTAATCGCCAATTGGGATCCTACAAATGACTTGTCAAAGGTTTATAGAGGGCCCAACATGGAGTTCAGCGGAAGCCCAATCTTCGTGGCCTGCAGCGCCGGGGGTGCCAAGCAGCCTGTCCGTTAAATTGCAGATGAATTTTATCCGTAGCCTCTCATAAGAAGCAGAAATGATAGGCAAACAAGCGCATCTTCTGTTTGTGCCGGTTGTCAGGAGTTCAACTTCATCCAGAGCGAGATGCCACGTATGATCTCCAGTCATCTCTGTCTGGTGCTTTCTGTGAGTGTGGTCGATAGCAGCGACAAGAAAAGTATCAACTGCTTCGAACAGAATCACGTCATGGTTTCAATTTTAACATATCTTTGCTTGTCTTGAGTCCATTGTCAGACCCGAGCTACGAACCTTTGCCGAGGTCATATTTGTACATGCGCACCAATGGAGTGTGGAGGCTCGTCAGGAAATGAAGGCTTCAAGCCATTTCAGTCATAGTTAAACATGTCGTCGAAGCAACTGAATTAGGCTACGTTATGACGGATATGAATCTCAGAGAAAAGTTCTTAACGAGAATCCGAGGAAGCTCACGTACTGAGTATCTTAGAGAGTGTAGAAGCGGGATGCATTCACAAAATCAATGCGAAAGAGCGTTCGCTCGCTCCGGAGTAGATACTTCTCTAGTGAAGTCTGAACGAACTTGGTGGAACAGGTCGTCGCCATTGATGACTATGAATAGTTCCATTTTGATCGAGTCTATACCGATGTTGAATTGGATGTGTTCATTGTCCCCGGATTGGGCTTTTCACGGTGGCCTTCTAGTGACTCTCCTCCGTTGCGATATGTCATCGATAGGGAAGTCATCCCATTGTCACAAACTCACTCCTAGTGACCATATATGTAGTAAGATCTGTAAATATAGTGGACTTTGGAAAGCTACGATCGAGAAGGCCTAGCCATCATCTAGACTTGACGTAGATACCTCGTAATAGATATTTCCCCTGACTAGCTGCTAAATCCTCGAACTTGGAACTGTCTCGGTCAAATCTCGATTTCTCAGAATGTCTCTTAGAGCCCGAGCATTCCAAATTCTACAGCGATAGCCATGTGATCTTTTGACTTCCAGCGTTTTGTAGTAATGTGCGTCTGTGGCACGCTCTTCGATGCCGAGGCTACTGTAATTAGACTGGAAACCCTGCAAAATTCATGACGTTCTGTTGAAATACTGATAAACGTTCAGAGATGGGAGGACGAAACAATGATACCGGTTTCCTAGGTCGACCTCCACCCACACTTTAGCATCAGAGTCTTCCGCAAACCGGAAACCGAACGCTTGAGCAGAACAACACGTCACAGCGGGACCCGTGTGGCACCTCTCCAAGACATTATAATCAACATTTATAAGCGCCATGGCCGTGATTCCGCGTACTTCTTGGCTAGAGTTGGAGAGGTAACTTTTCTTTGACGTTTTCGAATGGCTTGGTCACAAAATCAAGTAAATCTTGGCCAAATTCGCAGCAATTCATCTCGACATTTCTAAGCACCGTGGCCATCGTCTCCAGCTCAAATCCTTAGCCAGAGTTGGAGACGTAGCGTCTTCAGGTCAATTCCTTGGCCAAAGTTGGAGACGTAGCGTCTCCTTACGTTAAATGTGACAGATCTAATGTCGATCAAAATAGTGGAAAGTTAACGTCGTATATCGATATAAGACGTCGTCCGAATCTTAAATCCTACATCTCGTTTCTTCATGCAACCGAGTCACCATCAACGGCAAGAAAGAAGACCAACCCAAATCCCAATCTTCTCTCACCCTCCAACTCCAAGCGAACATAAACTACCAACATGGCGCCTCCTACTACCACCCGTGGCTGGCGGATTAAAGGCACCGCTCCCGACGACGGCTCCGCGGCCCTGTCCTGGGAGGACTCTCAGCAGCTCAAGACGCCGTCCGAGCACGACGTCGTCGTCAAGTTCCGCGCCTGGTCGCTCAACTACCCCGAGATAGCCAGTAAGTAACACACACAAAGACACACCCACCGACCCCGAGATTCTGACCCCAGCCAAGTCGCGACGGGCATCTACCCCTGGAAACCCGACAACCCAGCCGACATCCCCGGCTCCGATGCCGCCGGCGAGGTCGTCCACGTAGGCAGCGGCGTCGAGTCCCTCGCCGTCGGAGACCGCGTGATCCCCGTCTACTACCCGCGTTTCGACTCCGGGCCCGCCCCGACGGAGGAGACCGGCGTCGGCATCTGCGGCCTCGACGCCCCCGGCGTCTTCCGCGAGCACGCCGTCTTCCACGAGCGCGCGCTGGCCAGGGCGCCCGCGAACCTCTCCTACGAGGAATCCGCGACCCTCCCCTGCTCGGCACTCACCGCGTGGAACGCGCTGTACGGCTACGCCCCCATCAAGCCCGACTCCTGGGTCCTCGTCCAGGGCACGGGCGGAGTATCGGTCTTCGCGATCCGCTTCGCCCTCGCCGCGGGCGCTACCGTCATCGCGACCACCTCGTCCGACGCCAAGGCCGCCGTCCTCCGGGCGATGGGCGTCCAGCACGTCATCAACTACGAGCGCGACCGGGAATGGGGCAAGATGGCACGCGCGCTGACGCCCAGGGGCCTTGGCTGCGACCACGTCATCGAGGTCGCCGGGCCCGCGACGATGCGGCAGTCCTTCCGGTGCGTCGCGCGCGGGGGCGTCATCGACGTCATCGGGTTTCTCGCCGGACAGACTCAGGCGCCTGAGGATCCGACGTTCCTCGAGCCGCTGGTGCGGGCTTGCATTGTGCGCGGCGTGGAGGTCGGGAGCCGGGAGCAGCTGCAGGATATGATCAAGGCCATCGAGGCGCGGGATATCAAGCCGGTTCTGGATGATGCCAGGTTCTCGCTGAAGGAGCTGAAGCAGGTGTACAAGAGAGTCTGGAACCGGGAGCACTTTGGAAAGGTTGCCATTTCCGGCATTTAGATCTTTCGTTTTTTCATGTCTCTAATAAAAGGCCATTATTGAACTTTTCATCGGGTGCGTTTTGTGTGCAACTTCAATAGTATGAGAGCCAACGTCTCCAAGAGGTGGTCTCCAAATCGCGGGTCCAGGAGCAGTGTCTCCAACTTCCGCTTTCAACCCCCTACCCACAAATAAGACGCCGCGTCATTAATGGGGAAGGCTTTTTCTTTCTTATCAATTATCAAAGTAACATTTGTAGAGTTTCTATCTTTTACTAGGTATTAAAAGTAACTAATATGTTACAGCGCCGGGTAGAGGAACCATCAGTCACGCGCCGCTACACGTAACCCCATCTTATTAGCAAAACGTACTGCTATTGAGTGGAGTAAGGCAAGATAGCTGCAGCTTGAGATAACTACTTGGCATGCGGGGTTGAAGTCGATGGGTAGGATTCTGTGGTCAAGTCATGTTCAAAAAGTGATTGGTTCGCGGGTCTACTATCCTGTAAGAGCCCAGTTGGGTATTGTTTTCCTACAGCCGTTGATTAGTGATAGGGAAATCCATTTTCAAAGTCAAGCTCGGTTGCTGTAGTCTTCATCTGTTCTCATTACTTCACAATGTTTTCTCGCATCTGTCCTCGAACTCGAGGCAATGGAAATATTGTAAATATGTCGTCTTTAACGAGGCAGTCATATGCAAATCTACTAGATCACTGCCATGCCTCTTAGCAATGGACAATACAAATACCAAGGCCCTACCTACTGCGAACTTGCCCAGATATTTTCACGTATTGGAGGAAACGAGGCGACTGCACCAGTTCTCTGGCAAGCTACCTAGATGGCGCACGTTCACACCCAATTCGACAAATTTTCTGCCATCTCATTACGGCATTTTCGGACATGCGGACAAGTCCATCGTTTTCTCGGGCTACTCCGAGATCTCAGTGCTCGAATGACAGGCTTTAGCGATTCCTCATTTGTAAACAGATGCAACGTGACGCACGAATGGGCCGGTAATTTCGGAGCATGTGAGTCGGATCGAGGCTTAGGATCGTCGTATTGCACTGACTTCCCCGCTCTTCTCCCCTTTGCAGTACCTGCATCGAATGTGCAAACTAGATCAAACATCAGAGACGGCGTTCTGGTGGTGGGAAATCTCACTCTTAACAGAAAGGCTCGCGTCATGAAAGCGCGAAACAGCCCTCTTTCTACATGGACGTCGAGCTCGCTTAAGACTTATCTTGTGTGCTATGTTTTTAATCCACTAGTCATACCAAATGCATTCGCAGTATCCTTGAAGACTTCCTGTTCACTGAGTGGTCTTCTCTCAAAGACAGTACGATGATAATGGCTTTCCACATAACCCTTCTGTTGTGGTTTCTCGTTGAACTTGCAGCTGCCCGAACTTGGCCTAGACAGAGTGTTCCTCGTAATGCTTCTTCTCCTACCACCCGCGAAAGAATTCGATTGCATGACGGCTGGCGTTTTCTACGTTCAGAAACCATTCCTGATGGCATTATCTACGAGCGTCGATCGGACGCAAACAGTTCCGACTTGGTCGAGTTGAAGCCATGGATCATGCCAACGGCGAACGACTTCATCAACGATCCTGCGAAGCATTACCAGCGACCTGAGGCCGAACCTGAAGTGGACATCAGCTTCGCATCTCCATCTTTTGACGATGGTGACTGGGAAACCGTCACTGTCCCTCACGACTGGGCCATCAAGCTACCGTTTCTGGAGGGCAGCAAGCCCATCATCCCAGCGGCTATGGGGCAGCTCCCGGTCCATGGAGTTGGCTGGTACCGTCAGACACTTCTCGTCGATGGATTCTCGAACGACACTATCCACTATGTCGACGTGGATGGTGGAATGTCATACCCCATGGTTTGGGTGAATGGTCACTTGGTTGGAGGTTGGCCATTCGGGTATAACTCATTCCGTCTCGACATATCACCTTACTTGGTGAGCGGCAACAATACACTTGCGATACGCACAGATAATCCTGCAGGACAATCATCACGATGGTATCCAGGCGCTGGTCTCTACCGGAATGTCTGGCTTACCAAAGTCTCGGCCGTGCATGTATCTCACTGGGGCACCGTCGTCACAACCAAAGAGGTTTCCAAGGAGGCGGCGACAATTGACCTCTCCACTCAAATTTCAGACGCAAGAACTCAGAAAGAAGACAGTTTGGATGTCACCATTGTCAGCGAAGTCTTCGAAGTCAATCGAGACACCGGTCTTAGACAACAATCGCCGGCAGTGAGGTTTCCTCAACAGACCGTCGAGCTGTCATCCGGCGATAGAACGCAGAGCAACAACTCGGTCGTCATCAACAACCCGAAGCTCTGGGGACCACCTCCTGCTCAAACTCCGAATCTCTATGTCATTGTGACGAGCTTGTATTCCGGCGGAAAGCCTGACGAATCGCAACTCCTTGACACATATGAGACTCAATTTGGCATCCGTTCTCTGGAGTTTGATCCAAACCGGGGGGTGGTTCTGAACGGCGAGCTTGTGTACCTGCAAGGCGTGAATCAGCACCATGACTTGGGAGCTCTTGGAGCGGCATACAATCATCGAGCGGCTCAGAGACAACTTGAAATACTTCAGGAAATGGGCGCCAACGCGATTCGCATGTCTCATAACCCTCCCGCCCCCGAGCTTCTCGATATGACTGATCGAATGGGGTTCGTGGTGATGAACGAAATTTTCGATAGCTGGAGTGATGGGAAATCAGCATTGGACTTCCATCTCGTCTTCGACGACTGGCGGGAACCGGACTTGCGCTCCCTCATCCGTCGCGATCGAAACCACCCTTCGGTCATCATGTGGAGTTACGGGAATGAAGTCAAGGAACAAGTCAGCAGCGATCAGCTTGCAGCAGAAATCTCGATTTACTTACGGGGCATATGCCGTGAAGAGGATCCCACTCGACTGAGCACGGCAGCCATCAACAGATCTACCCCAAACTCTTCCCTGGCCGATTCGTTGGAGGTCATCAGTCTGAATTACCAAGGCGAAGGAATCCGGTATGGCCCCGCGTACGAATACCTCACCGGGAATAAAAAGACTCCGCAGTACGACGCATTTCACGAAGCTTACCCTGGAAAGGTGATCACCAGTTCTGAGTACGCATCGCAACTCAGTCTTCGTGGCTCTTTCTCCTTTCCGGTGACGCCATATAACAGCGCACCCGTGAATGAAACAGATGGCAGTATTCTCGAGGAATATGGTGTCAGTGCGTATGAGCTGTATTCAGCAGAGGCGGGCTCCTCTCCAGATCGAGTGTTTCTTGCCCAAGATGAGCATCCGTTCGTTTCTGGTGGATTCGTTTGGACAGGTTGGGATTACATTGGAGAGCCGTACTACTACGACAACATCAGAAGCGGGTATTGGGGAATTGTCGATCTAGCCGGCTTCAAAAAAGAGCGATTCTGGCTCTACCAGTCGCGATGGAGACAAGACTTTCCCATGGCACATATCGTCCCGCACTGGAATTGGCCAAACCGGACGGGAGAGATTACGCCGGTCCATGTGTTTTCGTCCGGAGATGAGGCCGAACTCTTCATCAACGGAGAATCATTCGGTCGACGGGAACAAGAGAGAGATGCAGGCTTCTACCGCTTCAAATGGGACGACGTCAAATACGAACCCGGAGAAGTACATGTGGTGACGTACAAGAATGGAAAGGAATGGGCAAACGACACTGTCAGAACCACGGGCGATGCCACCGGGCTTCGTCTCAAAGCCGACCGGACGAGTATTGCAGCAGATGGCGAAGATCTTTCGTTTGTCACGGTGGAAATTGTGGATAGCGATGGCAACGTTGTCCATTTGGCAAACAACAAAATATCGGTGTCGGTTACAGCTGGGTCTGGACAGATTTTGGCTACTGACAATGGCCACCCTGCGGATTACACAATTTTCACGTCTCTGGAGAGAAGTGCGTTTCATGGTTTGCTCTTGACGATTGTCAGTGCCAACGGCGCTGGCAACGTTGTTATCATGGCACAGAGTGATGGCCTTGGTTCAGCAGAAGTTGCGTTGGAAGGGTTTTGATTCTTCACGATATACGGTCTGCATAGGTCAGCGGCCGTATCAGATTTGATCGGGGTATTTTTTCTCGTCCACTATCTAGGAGACTTCAACATTGATCGATGCCTCTGCCTTCTCTTCCCCCCTCGTTATCGTCTCTAGTGTGCCCGGTTACCGCCAGGTTATACTCGATAACAGCCTAGAGGACTTCGTACCAATCTGACGTGAAATTCTAAGACCCTAGTTGTATAAATACCATCAAAACCGCAGCATACCTACAATCAGGTTAGTTGGAATCTGGCAAAGTTATTGGCCAAATACCTACGCTGCTGTAGCTCCAAGGGCCTCAAACGGCTTGGTCACCATAGCCAACGACATGACGAGTAGGAATACGAAGATGAATACCGTAATGACAGCAAGCTTTTCCTTCAAGTCATCCATTCTCTGCAAAACCCAAATTGGAGTAATGAGCATGGTGACACCAATAGCAATGATCATTGCCGAGGCGAATGCGTTCATTCTCTTGTCCGAGTAGTATGATACCTCTTTGGAGTCGTAGGTTGGGGCTACATTGTCCTTGTGTCTCCAAATGGATAGTGTCCTCAGTCGCAGGGAGCTGTCAATGACCTCTCGAAGAGGGGTTTTCTCTTTGAATGCTACGGGCACCAGATCGTCGCGATCAAGATACCGTTGTTCTTCATGATGGATTGCCTTATAATCATGGTTAAAATGCCAGTTTTTCAAGCTTCTTCTGTCTCGCTTTGGTGCCTTCGGGTACTTCCTGAGGACGGTTTGTTGGATGAGAAATTCGTCTGTGTGATGTGAGCATTGAATCAAGAACAGCTTATGTGCCGTAGGTGAGTTTACTAACTATAATTTTTCAACTTTCTGGTGATTTCACTAAGCAAAGCTGACCGATCAGCTTCGTCACCCCTCATCGTGCCGTTGTTGTAGTGTGACCCATTTACTCGGCGCATTTCCTGGTCAAGGTTTTCGAGCTGCTGCTCAAGTTGGGAGATCTCATCTTGAAGAGCTAGTGTCGCCCGTATGTTCAGAGTATCGAATCTGCGAAGGAGGTAAAAGTCGTCCTCGGACGAGATGAACTCGGCGTAGCCTTTGTAGCCGATATATTTCCAAGGTCTCTCGTGAACTTGCTCATCAGTGGGCTTTTCGTTCTCTGTCCCTGATGAATGCCGACTCGGTGACCTGCGGGAGCTTGCCGATCTCGTAGTGCCAGAGCCTGTTGACTGTCTGACGGACATGGCTTCTGCGAATTCTCGTAGAAATGTTGCTTCATTGCCATCGATCACCAAACAACGCCGCTGCTTATTGAATTATCGCAAGTCGAGCTGAGTAGCGTTCAAATGTGGCGAGGGGATCGTATTTGCCTTACCAAATATGCACGTCAGCAAGGCAGATTCAGGCAGCTGGTTTACGTGGCATGCCGACATAAGAATGATTGGGCACGACTGTGCCACTTTATACCTGCATCTGCATGCTAAGCCCCAGAAGTGCCAGATCATTGGTTTTATCGACGTTCTAATACAGCCACACGCGCAGAGCAATGCGAACAAGTTGAAAGCCTGTAGTCGATCTGGAAGGCGTTAAATACCGGCTCAAGTTGTAAGCCCGCCTTCACCCCATTCCCACGAGTGCTAGAGGGCATCAACGACAGCATCAGCTGATATTCATCCCACATCCAGTATACCCTATTTCTTGAACTGAACTTCGGGTGTGAATACACAATGGGCAACATTTGCGAGCTGTGTTGGGTTGAGGACAACGTCATCCAAGCATACGGACTTGAATCGATGGTCGACAATGGCGGCATTGTACGCACAGTATGTTTGGAACACCAATTCCGCGTAGCTGGCAACGTGGAAAAAAAGACCGATCCAAAACCTCGGGCGAAAAATCCACCAAAGAAACAGCCGAGCGCAGGGGGAAGTCGTGGGCACCAGAGCAATAAACCAGCAACCATCTCGGGCGGGACTTCAGGTGGAACAGGAACGCCAAAAAGGAGGTGACAACACAGAAAGAGAAAGCAAAGAACTCGGATTTTCAGTAGGTCAGAAAGTTTTCTGATTATGTTGAACCCGATGATAACATTGCCCACTAGTCTAACGTCGCGAATTTCTTGTCGTGACACTCCGACGATCTTTTGGGGCAAAACATTACAGTCACTACCGTAGCCTGCACGAGAGCCGAGGCATTGAAGAAGTTCTACTTGGATATACACTTGGCTTGGAAAGACGAACGGATTTAAGAGTCATTTTGTTCTGAAACATACTCTGGCGTTTTCCAAATTTAACCTCTCTATTCTAGGTAGTCGAAGATGTGAATTAATTCAAAAGTTGGCTCTGTGAGATAATTCGTTAGGCTGTCGACGTGGAAGCTGAACAAGCGTGTGGAAGTAAACTGTCAGTTTGCCAGGGCATCAAAGCCTCAACTATTAAACAAAAGCGGTACCTTAGTATCTTCTCACGTTCCTGCTGATGATGATCTGGTGTGTCTTATGACCAGATACGTGACGCATCTGGTTGGCGCTGAAGAGTGCTGGATCGCTGTTCGCTCCTTGCTCCTCGCCCGTTGCCTGATTATGCATGCGTTGGCAAGGCAGACAGCTGCCTTATCACGCCTAGTTGACTCACAAATATCTGAGAGATCTTTGTAACTCACATTTGCTTTCCTAAGTCCTCGCGTTTTCAGTTATTTGCCTTTGATGTCTTGGACACCTCATTAGGAATCATAGGCATCATCACGATTATTGCTCATCTCTAGCCTCATATCATCACTATCTGGTTCAGTTTCTCGCTTCATCTGTTCAGCACACTTTTACACATCAACACCAGCCCATGGCAAAATGTCGATTCCAGTGACGACTGTTGGAAGCACATCTATTATCGCGGCCAAAAAAGCGGCACTCAAGTCTTGTTCAAATCCTGTGGCAGACAACCACATAATAGATGCATCGCATGATAGACTTTCCATAGAAGAGGCGCTTATTATTCCGACTCCTGGTCACCGAGAGGTTTCTGGAAACGTTCGGCGAAAAGCAAGTTCGGTGTCGAAAGCTCACCCACCGCCCTCCAGGCAACCCCAGGCGGTTCTTCCATTCCGAGGTCGGCGAGACCGCCAACCTAGACGTAGTACGGGATCAGGAGACAACGACGACGATGACTCTGACTCAGATGCAGACTCAAATCGTGGTCGCCTGGAGGACGGTGACTCCGTTGTTCGTCGCCGCAAAAGGGACACCAGCGACCTCCTCTCCTTACCCGACTTGACTCAAACACAAAGAACCCGTCTCGAAAAGGAAGAACGAGAAAGAACGCAGCAGCTCCGTTATCTGAGAGACGTTGGGGAGAAATGGAACGATGTCCGGCACCTAAGGGGAGACCACCACAGGGCTGGACTCTCAAGAAGACAAGCCCTCTCACGCCATCACGATCAGGTTCGGCGAGAAAGACATGCCGATCTGCTGACCCGCACTGGCGGATTCCAACAGGAATCTGGGGAACTCAAACTTGACATCGACGGCCCGGCATGGCTGTGCAACAAGGAGGTAGAACTCACCGAGTTCGAGGCCAAACGGCAGGTTTATCTCGACCTCGTGCTGTACGGGAATATAGAAGAGCAGCGCATGGACGATCTACCCGCCCGGACGCCTTCTGTCAGCCTCGAGGAGCTTCTGCTGAATATTGAGAGAGGTGTTGTCGACCGTTGTATTCTGGGCCGTCATACCGAGGGACCTCTGCAAAGGGATTACTATAGACCACGCAACTTGACCAGCGGTGGCACATTCAATATGAAGAACCGGGAAAATTTCAACGTTGAACGAAAGTTGCTCCTCGCAATACTGGAAATCTACCAGGATCTATGGAACTCGTGCTACTCGGACACGCCTGCGTCCATGGATCAGAATGACACCGTCAATGACGCAGCCGACTTCGTCAAGACATACTTCAACGAAGGAGCGACTTTCAATTGGGTGGCTAACCCGTTGATTGATCACTACATAACAAGACTCGGCCAAGATCTTGCGGATGCCGCTGCCAAGAGAGTTGATCCCGAACAAATTACCCAGGGAGAACTACCTATCGTCTCGATTCTCAGCACCTCCTCCCTCGGCGGGCACCTTTCTCAGGCATATTCGAACTGGATGTGCTTGGGATTTCCACCGCATAGACTTGCTGAGCTCGGTGTCACGTGGGATCGTATTCGAAAGAAAGAGAAGTGCAACGAATACCGAAAGACAATGGCGAGCGCGAACATCCGGCAAGAGTTTTGCTTCGGCATACATACACCCGGAGTCGTCTCGGTCGTTCTTTTCAAAGGGGATTTACCATCAACAATCACCGACGTCGATCCGAGCGTACTGGAGAGGATTGGGTGGTTTCCAGTATCGTCGATCGATGAAAGCCTTGGGTACTGGCAGTATGATTATTGCAGCCCGTACTCTCTGGCTAACAAACAGGCGGAAAAGGCGCTTTTCCGCGTCACGATGGATAGCGAAGTCCTCGGGATGTACCTTCCTAATGGTGAATGGCTTGCTTGGGAGGAAGAAATGGGAATCAGCACTCATCGCACGGGAGCCCTCGTGTAAACGGGCCGGTACGAGTTTCATGGCATCTTAATACCAATCGTCAAGTTGTTCATGATGTTCGAAGCAGTGAAAGTCAGAGTTCGTTGTGCTTCGGGTCTCACTCGACCTCGTCAGCAAGTGTCATCCCACATGGACAGTCGACTGCTTGATTTGAGTTTTCGCCGTATGAGTTTAAGGCGGGCAATAACCACAAATAAGCCACAACAACATGGACAGTCGACGGTGAAGAACAAGGAGTTAGAAATTATACGTGTCCCTGCACGTTGAGCTACAAGTACATTCCTTCCATTAGGCGCCGGTTCCGTTCGTAAGTCATAACCGTATCCTGTTCGTTTAGACAGTCCCTTTCCGCCTTCTGATCTCGATCTTTGCGTCCACCGGAGGGACAACAGTGACGCCGACCCACTGCGGCTTCGGTCTTTCGGACAATGTCTTGAGTTCATAGTTCAGGAGCAGGTTTGCTACAACCATCTTGAGCTCATGAGCCACGAAAAACCGGCCGGGACTAGCATGAGTTAGCATAAACCTGATTTGACCGATTCGACTTGAGTGTTCACTCACCATGCATGCCTGCCATGACCGAAAGGTAGATGCGCATCGCTTGTTGTCACCATGCCCAAGTTCTTCAACCTCAGTCCCTCTTCCAAGTCTCTCTCCGATTGCGGCTTCGCCTCATATGCTTCCCTCTCGCGACTCGTCCTGAAAGCATCGTATTCCAGGGCGTTGGATGTGATCTCGTCATCGTGGTGGAGACCCTCGAGGTTCACGGTAAGGAACGTGCCCTTTGGCAAGTGCCAGCCCTCCTGTTCATTCGTGATACCTTCCGCGGCAACCACCTTGCGCTCCATGAGGGTACAGCTGAAGTTGCTGAGCCTCTGGCTTTCGCGGATGGCGCTGTCCAGCCGGTACAACCTGGACAAGCCATTCTTGGTCCAGCGACCGCCCTCCTCCCTGAGCACTCGCGCCGCCTCCTCCCTGATGCCCTCGATGTATCCCTTCTCAGGATCGGAGCTTAGCAGATCTAGAACAATGCTGTGTCCGGTGATTACTGTCGTGTGAATCGCCGCAAATTGAATCGGCAACAATCGCTTCGAAATGACGTATGGGTCGAGCTCGAAGTGATTCCTCTCCGCCTTAGCCATGCGGATGTCCCAAGTAACAAAGTCCTCCGGTGCAGTCCAGCTGTCGTATTCCGGATCTCCCGCTTCCTTCTTCTGCATATCTTCGAGTCTTTTCCTAATGACCGGGAGGCTGTGCTTTGCCGCTTTGCGCCATAGCCACCAGTTGGGCAGGGTAATCAAGGGCCCAAAGATGGGGAGCATGATCTGCGGGACCATGTGCAGCGCGAAGCAGTTCAGAATGACCTGGTCCACGAACGAGACCATGGCCTTGCAGAACTCCTTGTTCCGGCATATCGTATCGCCAACCAGCATGCGGTTCGTAACAGGTGGGACAATAGTCAACCAAGCATCCCACAAGGTCAATGTCTTCCAGTTTTCCGTGTCGGTACCGAATGCCTCGTCGACAGCTACGCCAACCTCTTCTTCGATACCAGGGACCAGAGTACTGAGGTGCCGAGCCAGGCTCTTGTGGATAACGCGGGTATGCCACACATCGTCGGCGTAGACCTTTCCCAAGAAATTGTAGTCGCTATACAGCACGTCGTTGTGTGCTTCGTGGGCGGAGACAACGGAATCGGGGTGTTCGAGTAGCCATTTCGTGAGGGATCGGGGGAGAATGATATCGGGAGCTCTGCTCGCGGCGGCGGGGACAACGAAGGCGCGGTTCTGTTTGTTGTACTACCCTCCATGTCAGCAATCCCTTGTTGTACAGAAGTTGGCGGTATCCAGGGCATGGCTTACCTTCTGGTACCCCTCCTTGACCCAATCCCGGTACCGAAAGACGTAGTGATAGAAGTTCTTGAGGCGGGCAATGGTACCTTTGCCGTGGCCGACGACGGGGATATTATTCGGATAGGTCGGCTTCCATGTGTGGTCGAGGATAAGGAGTGTGACAAAGACAAAGAACAGGGAGGCGAAGACGCGCCCGGGAGTCAAGGACTCGGTGATGTAGGCGTGGAGGCTTCCCGCCATGGTGGGCAGTCGATTAGGAGTACAGCAAGCAGCTCGTTGCTTAGGGTGTTCGTTACTCAAGTGATCGTGGGCATGGTCATCTGAAAAGTGCCAGTGGGATGGTGGAGGTTATGTTGCATTATCGGAGTTTAGTAGGAGGCCGTTCAGGAGTGAGGAATTGGTAATGGAAGAAACAGCAGCCTATTCGGGGGGTTTTGGCTTCAGGTCATGACGCTTTGGCGCTGTCAAGCTGCATTCCCGTTCCGCGCTAAAAGTTAATGTACGTGCCATGTTCGATCCCCTTGCAACGTTCCCCGGTACCGATTGCCGCTTCTGATTGGAAGCGAGGTGTTTAAGCGAGACGTGCTGAGACCTGTTTCAGGTTCGCTGACCCCGGATAACGTGGGATGTAGGCGCCCGCTGCTCTTAACACAGTCTCACTAAAAATGTCATTCAAACTGTTAGGGCGGACAGGAGTCTGGGGTACACCAATGATATTGCGAGTGACGGACAAAATATTCTGGCCAGGATGTTCAGTCGAGACTCTTTCAATTGCATATCAAATCCATGGTATTTGCTACAAGTAAAGGCCTGGCAGGCTTTGCTCCGAGATCTTGCTCCACTATTACCGATAGACCGGCGCCGGCTGGCTGATCGGCGCAAGGTGGGGCAATATGCCGGGCGGACCTTCCACTTAAAGCCAACTTCATGTAACGTAGATCTACTCCTCCCCAATGTCCCCAGTTGCCGCAATAAAGTCGATTTCGTCCATTGCTGACTGAGTAATCGCTCTCGCCTAGTTCGCATTCGCAGCGTGGGAAGTCCCCCCGGCCTTGGACACAGCCTGAGAGGATGGCTCGGAGGTTCGGCTGCCTTTCGTCGCTGTAACGCTCCAAGATTGGGGACTGTGCAGCCTCCCAGACTGAGTAACTGCACGGCTGGTGCTCTCATACCTCAGTCCGTTCCAGGGCTCGTCCTTTGGGGCTTGATTGAACCACGACTCCAGCGCGCTTGAAGTGACCACACGTGTCGATCCATCTGCTCCTTGGGGTTTAATCAGGACTCTGTATTGCGTTAGAAGGCTACAACCGCAGTTTTTCCGTGTATTTTACTTGCCTGTCGACCTTTTGGGCTTGAAATCCAGAAGCGTGGCCCTGACTTGAAGGCATTTTGGGCGATTGACCTGATGCTGCAGTGCTTGACTTTCATTTAAGGGAAGCATTTGGTCTCTTTCCCTCGAGGCTCTTCCATGACTTATATGTTCGAGTCTCAAAACTGGCCCCAGGTGGTTGAAGATTGATTCAAAGTCCTGGGGCCAGTTTCGTATCTGGCCCCAAGGGTTTAATCATGCGGATTACAGCCTTGTTGACGGTATCACTGGGGCCACTTTCTGAGCCAGATCTTGGCGAAAAATGTGTGATTCGCATAGTAAGCCTTATCTCAACAGACCTGACAACCGAAGACATGAAAATGGCTCCAGGGGCTACTTCTTCACGGTACCCAGAGGTTTACATAGTACACTATCCACCATTAGGGTTTGGAGCAGCCACTAATCACCTGTGACAATCTTTAGTACAATGACTTGCAGAAAGAAACTATTTTCGCTTTCAGTTCTGTTGCATTGACGCGTTTTAGAAGGGACTGTTCTAGCATTCAGAAGTTTTCATATAGTTTTCATGAAAAGAAGGTCATCGTCCTATTTTGCTCTTGATTCTCTCTAGCCGAGAGTTTTGGCTTTTCTTTCATTTTCTAGTGTTTTTTTTCTTGGTTTTAGTTATGTTTCCTTCCATTCTTAGGTTTCCTTACATTCAATATTTCTCCCGCTGGGAGTTGGGCCCACACTACATCGGAGATGACATAGAGGGTACAGGTCTTCCAAGTCCGCTTGCGGGCTGGGTGATTCCAGTAAGATACTTGCCGTAGCACTTGCCACACAGCTTGATCACACATCCGTACAAAGAAAAGAGAAAATCCTTCAGACTAAACTAAAAACACTCTCAGTAGGCACAACCTATGAGATAAAACCAACCATATTCTCTATACAGATCATGCAAGTCAACAGAGCAAGGGCGGCTCCATCCAAAATATCCGGAAGCCTTGGAACCAGATTCCCGTATCCCCCACAACCTCATATTCGAATGCTTCACTTGTAGAATGAAGTGTCTACACCATCAGTTCGTTGAATACTGCTCAGTTACGACTTTTTGAGACTCTCGTTGTTTTTTCGGTCTGCCGGAGCGTCCTTGACCCACGACGCAGGCATCAATATGTAGCAAGTGTTGTTGATGGTCGGGTTGCGTGTTGAACTCTTGGCATATGCATTGAAAAAATTGAAACTCGAAATCGCAAGAACGTGTGGGTTGTATGTTTCTCAGGTGGCGTCGATAATGGTCTTTTCGTTTCGTCGAATAGCCACAACGACATCGATATGCCGAGGTCGTTGACTGGGAATGCATCTCCGAATTGTAGTGACGACGGAGGTCCTTCGGGCTAGCAAAAGTGCTTGTGCAACCTCGTTCACAATTCAGACGACGTTTGTTTTCCTTGCGTTTGGTTCGCGCATTCCCATCGCCTAGACATGGCGAATTGGTGTCCGAAGTCGCAGATGTTGAACAAGACGTTAAGCCCGCGGTCATTGGCTGGGAAATCGGTGGCGAATATGATGTTTGTCTGGATCCAACAAGGGAACCAGTCTCCGAAATCGCCGTTGGTATGGTTTCCAGGTCCTTGTGGGTTTGCGAAGACGTCGACGTCGGGTGAGAAACAGGTTGCAGCGGAATGTCCCGGCTGGTGAATGGAGTTTCTTGCGTTACTGAGTTTGATACTGCGGCGTGCCAATTTGGTGTGACGATGTGGCTTGCCGGGTTTGGTGAATGTAGACTTTTTGGCATAATGAGATTGGGGCTTCCTTGGAGACCTGGGCTAACCTCTTGATCTAGTAATTGCCTTGGTTCCAAACACTGCAAAACTGGGAGCTCGCTCGAATGATCATCTCTTCCAGCAGAGAAGCCAATGATTGACAGGTTGTTGAGCGTTTCAGACCAGAGTTCGAGCGAGGCTTCATTCTGCAGGGTACTTGAGGCAACACTTTCCCAAAAGGTCCACCACCAGGGATCTTCAGGCGGAAACGATGTTGAAAACTCGGAATCGAAGTTGATGTCAAGCCTTCCGGTACTTTGGAGAGATCCAGTCCCTTGTCGTATTACGTGATGATCATAATGGTCGTCCTGAATGTGGGCAGCGCGGGGTCAAGATGCCCCGCGTGCCACGAAATAAATTCTTCGAGTTCAATGGCTGAATGATGAAAATCGGGAAGCTGCCTGAAGGCCCCTTGGCAGACACTGACAGGAAGCCCATTGGGGGAACCAGCGTCTTTTAATGCCACAGCAGGCCCGGCCGACCTCGGTCGCCCGATTGTGTGAGGAGAGGAACTGGCCCCAAGAAACTGGCCCCAAGAAACTGGCCCCAAGAAAACTGGCCCCAAGAAAACTGGCCCCATGAAAACTGGCCCCAAGAACGACCTAAAGGGTTGTCCGACATGCCAGAATACATCCTCGTACAAAACGATACTTACCAGAATCACAACCCCGGTAGCGACACATGACGTTCAGAAGCTACGATGAGTCGGCAACATGTATCATCAACCAAGTTCTAAGGGCATTGGTTCGCTTGCATGTCTTTGGATGTAAGTATCATGTAGTATCGGTACACCCTAAGCCTTGCGAAGGCAACGAGGCAACCTGCAAGCTGCATTGATGCCTGACGTTACACTGTATTAGAACCTATCCTAGTTAACCACGATTCCAAGTCTGATTGAGTGGTATGCTGAGATCTGGATCGGCGAACAAGTGGTGGCACGTGGAGACAGTGCGGCTGTGTCATTTCTATGTATAAGAAATGAGGGCTTCGCCGTCCCGAATTTACAATTCAACAGATTGCCAAGAAACAACTCTTCGTGCAACAATCAGGCTTCTACTCTAATGTATCTTTTTTCTTTATCCCAAAGACTTTTGCAGAATGTTGGATAAGGGCAGCAGCGTTCTCAACGACTCGCATCTCAACGCAACTGCATCTCCGCTTCACCCAGAACACCTCGTTGGAAGGCTAATAGACAACCGTTTTCGAATCCTTCATTTCGTCAGAAGAGACAACCATGCAAACATCTATCTGGCGCATTGTCTCGAAAACGACTTTCTAATACTCGAAGCCAAAGTCTACGCTCGACATGGTCAGGGTCGTTCCCTCTGGAGATCACAAAAGCGGGACTTCAAGAGAATCCTCTCGAAAGCGTCAACCGTCATTCGTCAAGATTACATGCTTTTTGTTTTCTTGAGTCCCACGCTTCCAGCCTCAGAGACTGCGCACACGGAAGATTCCGCGCAAATGCTGCTTCAAAACTCTGCCATTCCTCCTCTTCTGCGAACAACAGCATATGAGCTAGAAGTTGGACAAAAGGCCGCTGAACAAATATTAGCGGATTTCTTCCAGCCCGTTCAACTTCAATGGGTCAATCTGTTCGACAGTCTAAAACTTCTGATCGCGACCACGAATAGTGTGATTCTGGGGGAGGAACTCAAATCAGTGTCCGGTGATGCGACAAATCCAACTACATCCATTCAACTAGAGAATAGACTGCGAGAAGCTCGAGTATCGGTTTCCAAAGTTCTTGACGAGTTTCAGCATGTTGGGTTCAGACCGACTGATCAGCTTGAAAGACTGCGACTTTGGGATTCAACAGATGCCAAATATCGCAATATGCTTCATCAATTTGGCGAGATCCAGCCTTACGGGCGAGAAATCCAAAGACTTGTGGAAGAATCGGGATCCTTCTTGGATTTCAAAATTTTGGAACAACTGCGCTTGGTGCGGTGGGAAAACTTCATTGCATCGTTGGCCTTGGGTCCTTCCCACTTAACAACACCAGCACTGGTATCCGTCCTCGAACCATCGAAGCAATTAAGGAACACGACATTTTTGCAGGACTGCGAGCAGAATATTGGGCAATGTATGAGTCACGACATGGTTTTGGATCCCCTGGGGAAGACAGAGAAACAGCGGAGGAAACGGCAGCGCAGGAGGGAAAGACATCATGAGCTAGTGGTCGGGCAGCCGTCACCATGACTATAACTTCAAGCTTTCGCGGCGTCATTCTGAATCTTATTTAGCACGATAGAAAAGGTCAACGATTGACGCCATCTTTTCATTAAACATAGATAAGTGCTCCTGCCCACCTGCCCACGTTGATTTACAACAGTCAAGTAACGCGCAAGTCACTTCTACTCAGTCTCAAGAAAATGCGCGTAGGCATATACACTATGTCTCAATAGTTATCGTTCGTACCATCGCGATGGCAGGCTCAAACAGCACTTACAACCCGCCTAAATCTCGTGGAAGGCGCCGCATTCGGCTCAAAATCAGGCAACTCCAGATCCGGAAACACCTTCTGGACCTTTCGCGCGAGATACTGCGACCAAGTCCCCTTCACCTCGCGGAACGTAGTCTCCTTCCAACGCTGGCTCGCCTGTGCCTTTTGATCTGCCGTCATGGGAGGAAGATGGCCAAGTGGAAGACGCTCCATCCGACAGTCCCATGCGAAGTCGAAGAAGAGCGGGAATGAAAATCTAGGCGGCGAGTCTGGACTAGGTCGTTGCACCCTATGCGGCCGGGAAAGAAGGCGGCCATCCGTCATTCGATCCAGCATGTCACCCACTACGGTCCAAATTAGAAACGCAGAAGAAGTTATCGTGCAGCACAAGGACTCACCATTGACAACGAATCCGTCTTCCAGGACTGGCACGTTAACCCATGTGTCCGACGGCGACAGAATCTAGAAATCAGTCAGAGATTCAGCGCCCATTCAGTCTCTAGTCTGTCTGGGAGCTCACTTGAAGTCCAGGGGAATCAGCCTTCAAAATCGTCAAGTACCCAAAATCGGTGTGATCACCAATACCAAAGCCCCGCGGCTGGCCCTCAATCAGCTCAGACTCCGGGGCATACTTGAAGCACCGGAAGAGCACAATCGGCTCCGGACTAATCAACTTCTCCCGAAGCATGCCCTTCTCAAGTCCCAGACCGCAGGACAGAACATCCGTCAACGTCTTGCCCAGCTCAGTCACCTCGTCGACGTATTCCATGACGTCCTTCCGCATGCTGGGGAGCGCCGCATCAGGAAACCGATTCCCTCCGTGCAGCGGCATTCCCGTAAGCGGATGATCTGCCGGGTGCTCCGGTCCCACGTAAAGACCCTCCTTCCAGTCCTGCCCGCCATGGGTGAACTCTCCTCCCATGGGCATGTACCCGCGCCATCGTACGCCGCCGGTTGCGACGTCCAACGCCATCTTCTCCTCCAGTGGCAGATCGAAGAAGGACTTCGCCGACTTCAACAGGGCTGTCTGCTGCGCATCCGTGACTGGGGTGCCTTTCAACAGAAAGAAGCCCCAGGTCGAGACCGCATCGTATACAGCTTTGATGACATCGCGAGCGGCCTCGGATGAGTTGTCGACGAGGTAAGGGGATATGTCAATAACGGGGATAGTCTCGGTGACTGCCATGACGGTTGTTTTGGATATCTGGAGAGCTCGCCTTGCTTCAGAAAGAAGGGAATGCGGGGTGACAAAAAGGTATCGGGAAAGGTTTACAGAGTATCAGCAGAGTTCAGAGCCTGCAGGCTTCAAGATTGTTCAGGCCCTGTTTCGTGGGCGATGAAAAGCCTGCGTTGTACTACAACAGCTGCGGGGTTGCGTTCAAAGGTAGATACCACAGGCGAGGGCAAGGGGGTAATTGTGCGTGGGTGTCGTGTGTGACCGCTGTTGCTAGGAATTTCTTGGTATTTACTTTTCTTCGACTCGGCATACATTGGTCGTAAGATGGCCGCGGCCCGTCCGTTGATGGTGATAGGCAAACTCCCTAATTCGGAGCAGCATGTCCTTCAACAACGAACCCAATCCGCTGACGATCACTGCAGAAACGGGCCACCGTCTTATCCGCCAGCTTTTCAATCTCGGCGAGCTGCAGCAGAGGAATACCCTCATCGACCGGAGTATCATGCCGCAGGTCCTGGGCTTCGTCCCTCGAAATCCCGTAGAACAGCAAAGGCAGGATCCTCGACTTCCACACGGGCCGTTTCCCTCTATCTCGGCAACTCTGCACCACCGCGGTGGCGAGCAGGGTCGAAGTAAGAGCCAGCAGGCCTGCAGGATAGAGTAGCCATGGCCAGTCCATCCGTATGCAAACCGACGTGCGGCTGCTTGAACCTTCGGCGTAGCTTCGGGACGCCTGCGCCCAGGTTTGTCCGTAGGTGCGCATGCGGTTGGTGATGGCGGTCGCCATGTCGTCGAAAGCTGTGGAAATGATGTCGAAGGTTGCATTCCCTCCATTGTGAAGTGTTTCAACCCACCAACCCCCAGTACAGCCCAGCAGATCCGGTGCGACTGTTGTGATGGACCCTTCCCCTAGAATTATAGCCTGGCAATGACCAACCATTTCGTTGAAGAGAAAGCTTTGAAGGCCGAAGAAAACCTGTGCGTCCAGGTATCTCAAACATGAGGTAGGTGCTTCGTAGGATACGTTGCGTGAAGTCCATGAGGCCCAGTCAATGCCGTTCCGGGGTGCTTGACTGATATTAGACGAATAATACCAGATATTATCAACGATACACGGCTCCATTATGGCAACGTATTGGTTTGGCTTCAACCTCTTTGTGAGCCTGGCTGCTTGCGACATGTTGGCTCGCATCATTGGACTGGTCGTCAATAAGATCTCTTGGAGAACGCCATTCTGAATGGAACCCCGGTAATGTCGAAGACAGGGATGCAAGCTACAGTTCGCAGCGACGATATCCACCCCCAAATGCAATGCCGGTGTATTGTCGTAGCGTTTTGGACACATACGATTTGGTAACCCGTCCTGGAGTAAGCTACCGTTGCCTCGCAGGCTGCAGCCGGCGGTTGACAGAGTCAAAATCGAAGTCTTGGGGGTGCCGGACTTGAAATCGAATGTCCAAGTGTCGTAGTCGTCGGTCTTTTGGGTTTCCATATTCAGAGCCTTTGGTCGGTAACGGGAGTTAATCGAAAATCCCGAATCGTTATGGAACTTGTAGACAGAGCCATTGTTGTCCACAATGCCCATGCCGTACTCTGTCAGGTCCCATAGGTCCGGGTACTCCTGCAACTCTGATCTCACGTCTAAGCACTTGCTGCAGATGCCAACTGAAGAGTGCGTGACGTTCATGGTCTCTCGGAAAGTGCAATTGCTGGAGTCGCATTGGAACAGATCTTGAGGACTGTTCTGGGAGCTTCCCAGCAAGCCGTTGATTGCGATCGTGCGCATCGTTGGACTGAGCCACGAATAGCTCATCGTTCGTGTACCAACTGGCTCATTACTGTCAACTTGGCCGACCCAGTCGGCGACTGAAATGCGTGCGACACCTGCCGAGGGTATCTCACAGGCAAACGTCTTGACGGCCTGTTGAGCAAAAGGCCCGACCGCATAGGACGTGACGACGATGAGGGCACCAAGTACGGTCAAGACCCTTGGGGACACATCAGCAAATCAACTTCTCTGGTACATATCGGGGCAATACTAACGGCTTCCAAGTGAGGAACAGGAACCTGATTGACCCCAGGGCACCTCTTCCAGCGTTGTCGAAGTATTCGATGTGCCGTAGTGGCCGCGGCGTTGACATCCATAACCACTTCGCTTGTCCAATGACTAGAACTTTTTAGCTTGCTTGGAATGGCGCGATTCATTGTAAGATAGTCGCCCTACCCTCAGCTATAATGAAAAGCATCGCAGCCCTTAGAAGCATGGTGAAAATGGCGACAAGGGTGTTGACGTTGATGGTGTCCCATTCGGGTTGTGGTTTGCCATCGCGAGTCCTCAAGAAGATGATCATAGCTAGGAAAGCAAGTATCGATGCGCAAAGTGCCGAGACTTCGGACCTCCATTGCCACAAAATGGAGAATTTGCTTGGAAAATTGTAATGTGTACGACCTGTCGGGGTCTCGCAGAGATGCGTCGCAGTCACACGTTGTTGCTGACTGGGCCGATGTCCGTCAGGCTTTTCCCCGGCCGATTCTTGTGTAGGGACGATGGCGTACTCGCCCTTAGACCGTGTTGTGGCTGGGCGATGGAAAGTGCCGTGCTTGGGGTCTTCCGATGGACCTGCATTCAACTCCTCGCTGGTTTTGGAAACTGTCGATGGAGACGAGGGTCTCAAGGTGGATGTAGGATTAGGCGTTATGTCAAGAGGTGGAATTTCTTGTGATGCCATCTTGTTCCGACCGATTGGCCCTCAAACCAGACATAGTTGACCATATCGTCCGGGAGGAAACCACTGGGTTTACATACCATTTTCAGCACTATCCCTGCCGTCCGGCCCTTCGATAAGACTTTTCGAAGTTTTGTATGGATGCACACTTGTAGCGCTTCAAAGAATGGTGGTTGGCTGCCCTGGTAGCACATGGTCTCAGATATGCTATCGAGTTTGCAGCTAACGTTGCGAAATGTGCTATTCCGGGCGTGAGGCTGGCAGAAATGGTGTAAGACGGACCAACAAACATCCCGCAATAGGTCAACCTGCCACTCACGAGATCGCGATCGTCTGCACAACGTAGAATCAGGGGTATCATTTTTGTATCTCGTTAACTCAGCCACTTTTCGGCCTTGTTGGGTATCAATCTCCTCAGCACATCAATCTGTCGGGCTTGCGCCTTGTGCTTCAAGTCTGCGACTCCTCGTCGATCGGTCCGCCTCTGGCCATTCGCGTACACCACGGTGAAGTCTGGGACCTTTTCGCCAGGCTTGATGGTCGTAAGGGGTGATATCGTGCAGTTCTACAGTCGTCAGTCTTGGCCTTGCTATCGAAGAAAAGTGACACCAACCTTGCCGATGACAGCTCCGTGTCCGATCCGAGATCGGACTCCAATCACCGAGTCCGGTCCGATCTCTGTGTTTCCCGCCTCGATGATGGCGCCGACTTCCACCGTCACGTAATCTCCGAGCACGATGCCTCCGCTGACCTCTTCGTTTCCCACGACGCCGATGTGTACTCGTTCGTGAACAATGCAGCGGCGGCCCATGAGGATGCTGCCATTCGTAGACTCGAGCTTCGACCGGGGGTGCAATACGCTTTCGGATTGTATCGTAATCGAGTGGGTTCCGACCAGAATCGCGCTGTCCGAGACTGTGAGGGAGGAGGAAAAGTTGACTGGTGGTTTTGGGCCGGTGTTGGAGACGGCGGGCAGCATAGAACGCCGCTTGTTAGACGACATTTTGACGAGTGCGCTGGTGGCTCCGACCCAGTTGAATTCTATCGAGTCATTGATAAAATACGCATTCTTCGTCCGCCGCGACGGTAGCTGGTTTCTGGAAATTGCCCGGCCTTGACGCGTCGCCGGTTAGTGATCAGAAGGCAGTGACTGGCTGCCGTGGAGCATCACGGCGATATTCCCCAGAAAGCTGCCCCAGTGCATAACCCCGGTTAATGCATCGAACGACTTCACGTGACTGCATAGCTGACTAACCGGCCCGCATTGGCCAATCAACGCTAACAGGAAATAAGCATCATCGACCCGGTCCCAGCAGAGCTTCGTTTCCCACGTCGACGAATTCCTCCGACCGAACACCCTCCACTCCCCATCCACCCGACTCCTCCCCTCCAAACGCCCACGATGGCCACTCCGAAGCGCTTGCCCGCGCAGGCCGCGCAGGCCGCACGAAACTTCGCGACAGTACGAACCTATGGCGGACTCAAGGACCAGGACCGTATTTTCCAGAATCTGTACGGCCGGATGCCCCCGTCCCTGGCCTCGGCGAAGAAGATGGGCGATTGGCACAAGACGAAGGAAATCATTCTGAAGGGACACGACTGGATCATCAGCGAGGTCAAGGCCTCTGGTCTGAGAGGACGTGGAGGTGCCGGTTTCCCCTCGGGATTGAAATGGGTAGGTCGCCACCTGTGCGGTTTGCGAATATTATTTGCCGCGGCAATCAAGGGACGAGGATTCGAGGGCAACAATCGAGGCTGACAATGCGGCAAAACAGTCGTTCATGAACTTCAAGGACTGGGACAAGGACAACAAGCCGAGATACCTGGTCGTCAACGCCGATGAGGGTGAGCCCGGAACGTGCAAGGACCGCGAGATCATGCGAAAGGACCCCCACAAGCTCATCGAGGGCTGCCTCGTCGCCGGCAGAGCCATGAACGCCACCGCTGCCTACATCTACATCCGCGGAGAGTTCGTCCACGAGGCCGCCGTCCTCCAGAACGCCATCAACGAGGCCTACGCCGACGGCCTGATCGGCAAGAACGCATGCAATTCCGGCTACGACTTCGACGTCTTTATCCACCGCGGAGCCGGTGCCTACGTGTGCGGAGAGGAGACCTCCCTTATCGAGTCCCTCGAGGGCAAGCCCGGAAAGCCCCGTCTTAAGCCTCCCTTCCCCGCCGCCGTCGGTCTGTTCGGATGCCCGTCTACCGTCGCCAACGTCGAGACTATTGCCGTCGCCCCCACCATTTGCAGACGTGGTGGCAGCTGGTTTGCCGGCTTTGGCCGTGAGCGTAACCAGGGCACCAAGCTCTTCTGTATTTCCGGTCACGTCAACAACCCCGTCACCGTCGAGGAGGAGATGTCGATACCTCTGCGCGAGCTTATCGACAAGCACTGCGGTGGTGTCCGCGGCGGCTGGGACAACCTGCTCGCCGTCATCCCCGGCGGTTCCTCTACTCCTATTCTCCCTAAGACCGTCTGTGACAACCAGCTCATGGACTTCGACGCCCTAAAGGACAGCCAGTCCGGTCTCGGTACCGCCGCCGTTATCGTCATGGACAAGAGCACCGACGTTGTCCGCGCCATCAGCCGTCTCTCCCACTTCTACGCCCACGAGTCCTGCGGCCAGTGCACACCCTGCAGAGAGGGCAGCAAGTGGACCGATCAGATCATGAAGCGCTTCGAGAAGGGCCGCGGCCGCCCACGCGAGATCGACATGCTTCAGGAGCTTACCAAGCAGGTCGAGGGCCACACTATTTGCGGTATGTTTGACTCGCCTCCATGACGTCAATGATGTCAACGACTTGAATGAGCACAACACTAACGTGACCAACAGCTCTTGGCGAGGCTTTCGCCTGGCCCCTTCAGGGTCTCATTAGGCATTTCCGCCCCGAGCTCGAGAAGAGAATGGAGGAGTTCGCCCAGCAGAACGGCGGTGCTAACGCTCTGGCCGGCGGCTGGGACCCCGATACGCGGGCTCAGGGCAAGTTGGTTGCACCGGGACAGTAAAATGCTAAGGTTTCGCATGGTGGTAGACTCGCGCGAGGGCTTGTATATATTAGTATCGTACATTGTGATAGAGCCCGAACGCGCCGGAGTTCCTTTTGTTCAGACCGGGTTTGTACTCTATCAGCAATGTGATTTCAATTTGTTAAACTACAATGATGTTCGTCAACCCTGTGACATAACTGCAGCATGAATGAACATGGTGACTGCATAATCTTCATGTCCCTCAGCATTGAACTTCATTCTTCAAGCCTCCCTGTCGGCGTTAGGCTAACGATCTACCGCCCAATGAGGTGGTCGGATTTCTCAGCGCCGCATCCGCTACAGCCAGGATCTCTTCGGCCCACATTGCCGGAGACCGCACATCCCGTCTCAAACCCGGCTCAACCCGGTCCAAAAGACCCTCCGACCACGGCGGGGCGCTCTTTGTTGTTCAACGACACATCGGACTTTGAGATATTTCGGCTGACCGCCTCTCATTCTTCAGCAAGTCCGATTGAAGCGTTGTCTGGCGAATTGAGTCGCCTGGTGATCTAAGTGATTATTATCGCTCATTTTCACTCATGTGCTGGGGTCTCAAAGATGACATCGTTCAAATACGACCAGTTCGTTGCGTTCGGGGCGGATAGCGGTGAGTCCCTCAATCTCAAACTCATTCAAAACATTTCTTCTCTTCATTTTCATCTTCGGAGCATGAAGGCTGGCGTTGGTTTCTTTTGGTCTCAACGCCGACTTTGACCGCTTGGCGTTGAATTCAGGGAACTCCTTCTCACTCAAACCCTTCTCACCCATCATGCTCACTCTCACTCCCGCTCACAACTAACAACCCCAGCCGGCCTCGAACGCATCCTCCGCGGCCTCCAAGCCCTAACCGCAATCGTCTCCTCAACACCCGCCCTCCTCGCCCTCGTCCTCTCAACCCCAGACCCCGTCCTCGACGCCCTGGGCCCCCTCCGCGGCCACCTCAACCTGACCAGGCGCTTCATCCGCTTCTTCTGGTTCCTCAACTCCTTCGGCACCTCGTACAACCTCTACACCTCCATCTCACCGCCCTCCACGGCTCCCGGTCAGAAATCCAGCGGTGGCGCAGGACTCGAGACGTGGCTCGACATTCTCAAATTCACCCTCCTCGGCCTCTACGGCGGCCTCGAGTCCCTCACCCTCCCGGACCTCCTCGGCGTCCCGCAGATCCAGTTCTTCGGCCCCGAGCGCACGAGGGCGCTGAACGTCGAGGCCCAGCGGTTCTGGTTCCTCGCGCTCTTCCTCGGAATCGTGGGCAACGTCATTCGCATCACGAAGTCCTTCGCCTACGCCCCCGTCCCGCAGCACGGTGCGGGGTACGGCACCGGAGAGAAGCCGAACGGGACTGCTGCTGCGGGAGATGAGAAGGCTGCGGAAAAGACAGAGGTCGTTGAGGAGACGAAGGCCGAGGTAGAGGATGAGAAGCTGGATCTGAACGCCGAGCGCGCGCGGCTCAAGGCTCTCGTCGTCAAGAGGCGGGAGGGCATGAGGAAGTGGCGGAGGCAGGTCGCGTTCAAGGTCAAGAGCCTCGGGCGCAAGGTCATCTCGGACTCGCTGGATTGCATCATTCCAGGTGTTATCCTGGGCTGGGTTAACATCGGACCCGGCGCGGTCGGGGTTGCGATGTTCATCACGACTGTCTTGACGAGCAGGGATATTTGGGAGAGGTGCGGTGCTGGTGTCGCCGCGAAAAGGGGCGTTGCTTAGAGGAATCCCGGGGATAAAGCGTTCATTGCATGATTTCGCTCTAGAGCCTTAAAGATAGATATGTAAACGAGATAACGCCCTGCGTGATGCCAATACTCAAAATCACAATCTCATACAAACGCGTAGCAACCTTTATGATCGTTCTCATCGTCAACTCGTCCCCGCCTGAATCACGATTCTCAACTCCACTATTTGCCGAGTAGCATTTTCACACATGACAGCGTCGCCGCACTTCAATGTAAGTATGACCGGATGCCTCAAGTTCAGATGGCCGTGTGGGCATAAACAGAAATGGGCGCCTGTCCCCTCTCAGGGCTCTGCGGCAGGCGGATGCGGTACTTGTGAGAGCCGAGACCATCCTCGCTCTCGTCCTCGTCATACGAGATCTGGATCCTGGCCCGCTTCAAAATGGTGAAATGCTGCGCAAACGCAATGATGATCTCGAGTCCCCTATACCTCCGTCAGCAACAACCACATCACAAAGAGACACACAGACGGCCAAACTTACGCAATAACGAACGCGACGACATAGATGCCGGAACCCCAGGACCAATGCCAGCCCCCCTTCACAACCATGCCGACCGTGAACGTGATCGTCGCAAACACCAGATCCGTCGCCGTCGTGAACAGCACCGCCTTCTTCAACTTCTTGCCAGAGTCTCCCGGGACCCAGCCCAGCAGCATCTCCCCGGCGTCCTCGTCCTCGTGGCCGCGCCGGCCAAAGATGCACTTGACGAAGCCCAGGTCCACGGTGAACCCCTTGTTCCTGCCGCCGCTCCCGCCACGGCCGAGGTCCCGCAGGACCGCGAAGACGAGCCAGAAGAGCTGGAAGAAGGCCAGGACGACGGGGAAGGGGCCGATGCCGTGGTAGCGCCCCGTCCGTTCGAACTCGAGGACGATGAGGGTGATGGCGAGGGCGATGGCCACGACGCGCAGCACGATGACGGTGGGGAAGATGAAGGAGACCGCCCTCTTCGGGCCCCGTCCGTCGTCGGAGTGGTGGTGCGAGGGGGGCGTGGCGGGGCGGAAGACGTTCGGGTTGAGGGTCTTGGGCGCCTCGGCCGGCGGCGGCGGCGGCGTGGTGGGAGCTGCCGCCGCGGGAGAGGATGGGGTGGGCGAGGCCATGGTTTTATACGTTCCGAGACACTTTGTCGAAGAAAGGTCCCGCGTGATGATGTCGTCGAGCGTGGAAATGTCCTGACGAGACGAGAGGACTTGGGTGTCTAGCGAGGGCATCGAGAGAGAACCATCTGGTAGGGGGTGAGGGTGAGTTACTCGTTATATAGATCTTCCCATCTCATAATGAGGCTTGGTTTTGTTTCAAGAAGTGAGTGAAAACCAAAGTTCCCTGGCTGCGCGCGACAGGACGAAGGAAGCTTTGCATCGCCCGGCCGGCAAAAACATCCCAATGCCAACGTCAATGGCCCTGCCCCCCAATTGCCCCTCCTGAATGTTGACAAGGGGGTACAGAGCCGCAGATGTCAACATTTCGCCCGGCTTTGCTAGACCATCGATCGCGGAGTCGACGCCCAGAGTTTCGAGCCGGCCAGTGATGTGCTTCGGAATTCGGGTGCCTGGAGTTCCCACTTGGCTGCGTTTGTCGCTAAGACACCATCCCTTGCCGGGATGTCATTGGACGCGGGGATGATGAGTGCGGAGTCCGCGGCGGTGCATGGGAGGGCGCGTTGTGGTTTCGCGACGAGGATAGATGTTGGCTGGTGGTGGCCGTGTATGTTTCGGTCGGGTATGGTGTGGTTGTGGTTGACTTCGGATTTGGTGATGGTGCGGTTGATCGACGACCAAAGTCCCTGTCCTGCCACGTTCTTGCTGGTAAGATGGGTGAGAGTCGTACGCGGACTCTGGAGGATTTAGGCTTTTAGAGTCATTCGGTCGAGGTGAGGATTCCTCGAGGTATTTGGACAGGCAATGCAAGGCTGAAAATGCGGCGATCGTTTGACATCAATATGGATGCTAACTGTAACCCTGCAACGTATCAACGTCGCGTTGTTGTCTCTATCCACAGAATCCTCTGCGAATAGAATACAGGGCGTCTAGCCAAAAGAAAAAGACGATGCCCTCCCACGTCTCTTGGTATATTTATCGTTAATGTATATCATCCAAGTCGTCTTCCAGCCGTCGCGCTCCAGTGGTATCTTCAACAATGGCCACAAGTCGTTTCATCATGTCCATAACACCCGCTCTTTTAACCGATTGCCCAATGGCATATATCTTGGCTCCCGAACACGAAGCATACGTTCAACGCATTTAATGCTGCTGCCTGCCGCCAAAAGTCTCCGAATTCCCAGGCGGCTGGGGTGACGCAAGCACCTGTACAACCACGTAATCAATCATCAACGTCGTCCCGTCACCCGGTAGCTTCCCGTCCCGACCGAGACCTTCCAACCGTCGTTGACTAGGGCGGCGATAACACCCTGTCTCAAGCGCGAGACGCCTCCAGCACTATGGAGACCCCGGCCCGTGACAATCGTGAAGCCTTCCTGTGCTTTCCTCGAGCGGTACTCGCCCAAGTTGTTCCACCAGTCCCAGACGCGCTCTCGCGTGATACGAACGCCGTCGGCGACCTCGACACCGTGGAGATCGATCTCATTAGACGTACTAGTGCTGGCGACGTGTATGTCGGCGGCCACGCTCTTGGCCTTGGCGAACCCGCGAGCCTCCTCCCGACCGCGGTCTGCAAAGAATCCTGCTGCCTGTCTGTACAAGTGGCCCTTCTTGTAGACTTGGCCGGCGGTATTGAACGAATGACTGCTCGCCTCGCGATACACTCCGGCGGTGTCCATAGCTTGCTTGTAAGTGCGGGGCGCATACGTCGGGCTGTTCAGAGTTGGACTGTTCAGCGGCCGCACAATCGGGGACATGCCCGGCGTCTTTGGTGACGCCACCTTTTGCCAACCCTCTGACGAGCCTTCAACCTCTTCGGTTGTCAGGGGTGCCAGCTTGTAGTCGATCTTCAGGCGCTGAGCGGGAAGTTTGCCGAAGTAACGATTCAGCAAGGTGGCAACCTCCTCCGTCCATTTGTGATCGCTCCGAGTGACTTCGACCAGAGGCGACAGCAGCTGCTCGGGTATGTGTCGATACTGTTTCTTCAGCTCATGCAGATGCTGCTTTCCATATGGACTGTCGCTGTTCTCGACTACAACGCCTTGCTTGGTGTATCTTTCTAGAAACTCAATAACGGTACGTTCCACTGATCCTTTGTGAGAGTCAAATACGGTAGAGACCTCCTCAAATGGCAGGTCGAGTTTCTCTGCAATGAATAGGATCTTCTCAACTTCTACGGCAAGTCAACTTGATGCCTCTTAGTCCAAGGTTACCAGGCTCGACTTACTTTCATTGTCTTCAGTAACTGGCGATGTGTCGCTGATGCTGCTGGAGCTCGACGACAGATCTGTAAGCAAGCCCTTCCGCTTCTTTCCCTTGCCCTTCTTCTTTCCGGAGGGTTTCGATTGCTTCTCTGGCTGGAAGAAGCCATCAATGCCCTTGGGTCTCTCTCCGATGGATTCAAGGAACTGTATGTTCAGTAATGTCTCCAGTGCCATCTGAAAGTCTCCCTGTGCCTTTTTGAGAGCAAAGCTGACGTCATGCGATTTCAGATCAGAAAACATCTCTTGGAGCTGGTGCAGCTTCTCCTGCTCCGAGTCCCCGTCGAAAGACTCAATGCGGGGGACGTCGTACTCGAGCTCATCGGGAGGAGGCGGGCTCGTGACTCTGCTAACGATAGAGTCGGAGTCCCTAAGCTGAAAGCCATCAGATACGTTGGTAGAGCCGTCCCGGGTGTCTGTTCCCGTATCGTTGGAACTGACGGCATCGGGAACGCCACTGGCATTGAATCCGCTTGCCTCTTCAACTAATACATCCTGAGCAAGGCTCTGGAGCATGGTTCGGACGTCATTGAACTGGCTAGCATCGCCGAGGTCCAGCTCACTTGCGATTGCGATGACGACTGTGGGGTCAAGGAGAGGAAACTCCGCCTGGGTCGCCGTTAGCTGTGCTCAGGGTGGGAGTTGGGCAGGATTGTGCGCCAGAATGCGCCAGAACGCGCCCAGAGACCGAGTACTCACCACCAAGTCGTCGAGTTTAGAAGATGCCATTGGACGAGTTCAAGCTTCAGGGTTCGAGGTATTGTCGCGTAATCCAGAGAAGCTCAATAGTCATGCTGAAAAGAACGAGGGATGAAAATATTTCGCTGGGCACTGGGTGCAACTACAGCCACAACCAATGAGAACGGGTATGTGCAGGTCTACGAGTGTAGCACGCGCGAAGCAGGCAAATGCGACAAGTGGTCGTAGATGCGGAAAAGTTGTGTGGGGGAATAAAGTCAATGGCGATAACGACGCGCTGCGGGGCAGTGTTGTCGCAAAGGCGTCGTCGAGATTTGAAGGGTCCAAGACACTGGGTTATTCAAACGCGCGCTCCAGGGAGTTTTTGATGATTCATTATGCAGTCGAAGTCGAGGTGCATATTTCCTGGTCCGATTCCAGTTTATGAAGAGAAGAAAGCACCCAAGTCAATGACTCTTGCGCTGGTGATTCCGGAGATTGGGTCACGCCGTCATTCGCCTCGACTAGTAGGTGCCGGAGAAAAAAGCGCCATTCGACCAGGTCTGCGGTCATCATTGGCACGTGCGTTGTGGCTGGTAATCCGAGGCTGAGGAGGAGTAAAGTGTGGCTGATGCGAAGAATTTTGTCCAATCACAAGTCGTCAATATGCCCCCTCCGTGGCGCGACGTCAGTGGCCCGCCTTTGTGGAGACTCTTCCTGATTCAGCTTAGCGCGTCGTTTCCACGTTCCGGGTCTCTTCCCGAGGCACCACTTGTGATCGTCTTGTCACCCAAAGAAATCACTTGCACTTGTATCCGTCGCTGCAGCATCCAGTGTCTGTCACTCCAAACAGCTGGGATGACTGGGATCAACCTCGAGAAGCAACAAACAGCGACGATTATGGCTCTGCGACAGGGAAGTCCTCTTTCAAGTTATGCGCTGGCGACTATTTTGGCCCGCTGCCAATGCGATGCGATGCTCCATGTTCGTTTCACTGCCCACCGAGGCGACTAAGACACATCCTACGCTTCTATTTCTCGACTCGCCAACTACTATGATGGGTGCTTACCGTTCATTTGCTGCAGGATGTGGGCAGCTAGTCACCGGACGGAAACCTGCTGAGATGCGTCCCCCCGCGTGTTGTCCCCAAGTGAGACATTCGAGCCGCCCAGCCTAGCATCGGCGGGCATTCGTCAGCGGGAGAGCCAAAACGGAATAAGCTCATCATCCCGCCCACCCGTCACCTTACCTCAACTCATGGATAACTCATATCCCTTGCATGAGCAGCCAGACACGGATACTTTGCCGTGGACAGAGAGGCTCAGTCGACTCACCTCTTCACCCAGCGCTTCCGGGTTGCGGAGCCAGTCTAACACAGAAGGACAGGGATGGATGAATCGGCCGGCCGAGGATCCCGGTGGACAGCATCAAAAAGCCAGCCTGACGCGGCCAGCTTCGCACCGACTGCATCAGCATTGGAACACCCAGCTTGAGCTTCTACTTCTAGTTCAGACAGATGAGGCCTTGGCTTTCGACGGACGACGCGAGATTCAAATCACGTACCAACGGCATCTGCTGACCGACCTACCCGGACTCCAACGCCGGGCTCACCACCGCAACCCGACCTCGCACCCTCGACAGCTCCGTCCGACTCCTTCACCGCGATTGGACGCCTAAGTTCAGACGGACTCGCCCGTTTGCCAGAACTTCCCCTGTCCATCCGGCCCTCCCCTCCCACCCGACCCTCGTTGGTTCGTGGCGAGCATCACACGGCCCAGGCGCAAACCTGGTGCATGGTCGAGCCCGGTCCTTCACACGAGGGAGGTCCCGGCGGAAGCATCCCAGCGCCAGACGCATCAACCTTAGTTTTTTTTTTCCGTTTCGACACATACTCATAAGGTAGCTCGGCTACGTATATAAGCTTGTCCCAGTCACCCGCCCGCCCCCTTCGTATCGGACGGCGTCAGCCTCATCTCAGTTACTATGCCAAGTGCGACGGCACTCGACCTCGAATCACAGCGACAACAACCTCAAGAACCCGGAGCCGACGTTGGTGATACTTCGCCGCCCAGTCACGCCCGTAGGCGGCCCATCATGAGCTCCGACACCCGCAAAAAGTTCATCAACTATCCCGTCCCTGTGGCAGGGTAAGTCGTTTCGTTCCGTTCCGTTTCGCAACAAGCTTCACCCGACATGACCACGCGTTCGTTGCGATGCACAAACCACCGTTCGCGTCGATATGCTTCGATTACACGATGACTGACTCACTCATCCAGACCACTCGTCCCTTACAAAAATGAGCGAGGAAGCAACCCGCCGCTGAAAGGCTGGCTTTTGGTGGTGGCAGCATGGGTGTAAGTTATCCAGGCGGCACAACGAGACGAGGTCGCTAACAGTCGCAGCATGGAATGTCTGTCCTTCGTTCGCGCATTCATCTGGAGCAATGCCGGTTTTGGAAGCGTGCGCAAGATTCGCAAATACATAGAGGATGTCGAGCCACGCTACGATCCAACCGTCCTTCCCTTCCCTCTCGAGGAGGCCAAGGATCCAGCTGTACTTCATCGCGAGAGTAACGTGAAGTCGCTGCTGAAGCCGCGCCCGTTCAAGTACTACTCCGTTTCCGACTACCACGAGATGTATCTGTCAGGCGAAGTCACGCCACTGGCCGTCGCTCGCGCCATCTTGCCCCTGATCCGTCGCGACACCGCTCCGCAGGGCGAGCACTCGATCGCGTGGTTCGACACCAAGGTCACCCAGGTCTTGATCGCTGCAGAGGCGTCCACAAAGCGGTACAAGGAGGGCCGTCCGCTGGGTATGTTGGACGGCGTGCCCACCGCTGTCAAGGACGAGTACGAGATCGACGGCTACCGGACGTGCCTCGGCTCGAGGAACGACTACACCACCGAAGTCGAGCCCGGACAGTCCATCAACAGTTGGTGCGTGAAGAAGCTAGAAGCAGCGGGCGCCGTTATCCTGGGAAAACTCTCGATGCATGAATTTGGACTTGGTAGGTTCAATCCTTTGAAAACCTCCGCACATCTAACAATATCCAGACACTACCGGTAACAACCCGATCTACGGTACTCCTCGAAACCCATACAATCGCGGCTATTACACGGGCGGCTCCTCCTCGGGCGCAGGCTACGCCGTCGCAACCGGCCTTGTCCCAGTAGCCCTCGGCAGTGACGGCGGCGGCAGCATCCGCATCCCCTCCTCCCTCTGCGGCGTCTACGGCCTCAAGCCAACCCACGGCCGCGTCTCCTTCCACCCCTGCCCGAACCACAGCAACTCCTGCGCCGTCAACGGGCCGATCGCCGCAGACATCGAGTCCCTGGCAACCTGCTTCGAGGCCATCGGCGCACCGCACGCGAACTCAAACTTCATCCAAGCCTCCCCGTTCATCCTTTCCCCGAGCGAGAAGCGCGGCAAGATCCTGGGCATCCCGGAGTCGTGGTTCGCGCAGGCAGACCCGGTCATCCAGCGCCTGTGCCGCCACATGATCGCTCGCCTGGTGACGCACCACGGCTACACCACCGTCCCCATCGAGATCCCCTTCCTCACCGAGGGCCAGTCGGCCCACGCCATGACGGTCCTCACGGACGGCGCGACCCTCCTCCCCGAGACGAAGAACCTTACCCACGGGAACCGCATCCTCCTGGCCATCGGCCGCGTCACCTCGGCCGTGGACTACCTCCTCGCCCAGAAGCTCCGCGGCCTCCTGATGCAGCACCTCTCGCACCTCTGGGCCACCTACCCGGGCATGATCATCGTCACCCCCACGACCTCCTGCGCGGGCTGGCCCATCATGTCGGAAAGCGAGCTCGCCTATGGTGTCAGCGACGGCGACCGCACGATCCGCTCCATGGAGTACGTCTGGATGGGCAACTTCTGCGGCCTCCCGGGCGTCACCGTCCCCACGGGCTACGTCGTCCCTCACGACCAGCCCGGCGCGGGCACCGAGGCCGGCCCCGACACCGCGGGCAAGGTGCCCGTCGGGCTGATGGGCATGGGCGAGTGGACGGATGAGCACAGCCTCCTCGAGTTCGGGCTCGACGCCGAGGAGCTGTTCGCGAAGGAGCGGTGCCGGCCGCCCACCTGGGTCGACGTCATCCAGCGGGCCAAGGACGAGATGGCCAAGGACGGAGAAGCCGCGTTGATAGACATTTAGAGCTTTGATATCCACTGATCTACCGGCGTAACTTCATGCGTAAATGCTTCAACACCTTACCTTTCTTTTCCCGCAAATCATGTGTACGTATATCGCGTGAAGTTGTGTGGCTTGGCTTGGTTAGCCCACTTCGTGCTCCGCTGCCGGGTTCGTTGTCACTGATGCGAGGCAAGGATTCCCTGGCTGTGATTTTCAAGGTGGTCTACCGGCCGCGCCACCGTTCCCCTGCGCAGATCAATGCGGGCTTAAGAAATGCGGGATTACGTGCCGAAATGCGCATTTTCCCGTCTTCTGAGCTCCAGGCACCTCGCCTCGCGGACGTGGGCTCCGACGGGAGGACTAGAACTCGAACAGACAGCCGCCGCCGCCGCCGCGCATAGTCATCCCAGGAAGACAAACCTCACGGGCGCGATGATGCCCTGACCGGCACCAGAGGAGGATTCTCTCCGCAGCTCAGACAGTAGACTCGACATATCATGTCGTGAACACTCAGACGTGGTATGCGCGTAAGCTATATCCTCCAGTCTGATGTATAAAATTGATGATATGCAGCGCCGAAGCTCTGCCATGCGCATGTTGTGGTCAAGGTTTTTGGTGCTTACACGTCGAGGATGGGATGGAACGCAGTCTGGGCCCCCCGACCCGTCGAAGAAGCTTATGCGTTCGACCGTGCCGTCGGTGTTTAAGCAATGCTCGTCCCGCGCGTGGAACGGGGCATTCAGTTGGAGGCGGGACGGATGGAGGATGGATGCATGTGAATACCGATGGCCCGACTGCTCTGGTGAGGCGGGGATTTGTGTGGTTATCGATCCTTCCGGGAGTTTCTCTGCGCAGCTGGATGTATGTCTATCTATAAATTATCCATATTGGCATCGGCTTTTATGTCGCCAGTCCCTTGACACTATTTTAGGCTTGAACTGAATTGTCCATCGTTGAACATGATTCTCAAAACAACGTTGTGTTATGCTGGCTATTTTTATGTCCTTCATCTTTTCTAAGGAAGGCTTCTTTCAATGAGATTTCCACGATGACGCAACTAAATGAGTGATGTCCAGTATGATAGTGCTATTCACAACGCACCTTGGCGCCTTGAGAGGAGAATCTTCTATATTCTGGTCTTTTGAGTGCTGGCGCAGTAGGAAACATGCAGCCAGAAGGACTTATTGCCATTTCCCGCCGTATTTATGTAAAGGGAATTCAAGAGAGACCGGTGTCTTGCTCTGGTCCCTGTTGATGTGCATCCAGCAACAACTGAAGAGTGCCCTAATTCGACTGAGTGATACAGATGAGAGATTGCATCAAATGCTTGAGTGCTATAGGTGGTAGAAAATAACTGCCTGAGTTCTCGTCAGGCAGATCTCCGCCGCCGGCGCGAATCAAACGACGACGAATGATTGAGTGGAAAGGCTTTGCAAATAGCACGTTATAATTTCATCATGTCATTATATTGAAGTACTTAGAGCAGTCAGCACTGAATCGAATTTGTGTCGAACGTATTGCAAATCTCTGGCCGATCGCCTGAAGCCGTCGATCCCGGTTCTTTCGACGGCCCCACTTGAACCGGACGGAGCGGGATCGGGGCCGATCCGCCGCCCCTCAGTTGCGGGACCCCGTCATCAGGATACAGAGTTTTCAGCAATAGTTTTACGTCTTAATATATACGATTGATAATGATCAGTTGTCAGGGAGAGAAGGATAGGCTTCGATGTCATGATGATCACCCTGATTGGAGGACGCAGGAGATGCGCAGGTCCGAGATATCTTCTACTCCGCGCCCAGCTGAAGAAAGTGCGCAGAACCTCTTCCCTCTGCATCTTCCGATTGGCAAGTGAGGTCACCTAGCGTTCGTTTCCAGAAACGATTCCAAGCCAATAGCCTTAGTAAGAAAGAACACGCCAAGTCCTAGCCTCAAGACCGTTGCTCTCCCGCCCAGGCCCAGGCACGCAGGTCTGACGTACTAATGACCTCGCGGCGTGATTCTGCAGGCAGGCGCAGGATCTAGCAAAAGGCACCGGCTGAAGAACAATGACAGCACAGATGGGGAAAAAGAGACGGGCGTCGTCCAATCAAGTGCGGGGTCGAGTCCAGACACGGCAGACGATGGTCCAGAGCTGCGTCTCTGTGCGCCCGAGGAATTTGTCTCTTCGAAGCCGGTATATCGGTCCATCGGACATGCGGAAGCGGGAGGTGGTCGCGAGATCTTTTCGGGATAATGGGAATTGTCTGCCTGATTGGGTGACGTGGGTAGCACAGTTGTTGAACGGCGACGTCAAGTCAAGTCTGCGACGTCCCAACAAAATGCATGAAGAGCAACGGTTGAGAATGAGGGGTACTGCGCAAGGTACGGCTCGTAGGCTCAAGCAGGCATTGTGTCTCCAATTCGTGCTGCAGTCGGCCGATAGTTTGTGCCTCTCGCCCGGTGTACTCTGTAATCGTGCGTAGTGCGTGTGGTTATGCTTCCTTGCTCTGGGTTGAGGCGAACTAAAAATACGGAGAAGCTCCCCCGCATTGTTCAGCGCGCCGGGCTGGATGAGACGATCTGGAGTCTGCAGCGTCAAGCCTCTGGAGATGGCGTTTATGTTTCGAACGGAGGTTTCTATTTGTGCTGCTGTTTATGAGGTGAAAATAGGAAATTCGTCAAGAAGAAAGAAGAATACACGGGTGGATGTCTCAGAAGCAGGCAGAAAAACGCAGAAGAGAGAAGAGCAAGTGATGGAAAGACGCGGTTGACGAGAAGGCAGAACACACCTCAAGGGCAGGGGGTAGAGGCTCCATTAAATGACATGTCGTGGAGTGCAGCCAATTGGCTTCAGGCCCAATTTGATCGGCGCATTCCCTGGACGCCAGAGGCCACATCCCTCCCAAAATTTGGGGAAACTTCCCTTTCGTCACCTTTTCCACCAGGGCATATTCTTTTTTCCCCGGCTGGTGCTGCTTCTTGCATCCCGTCTCCTGTTCATCCGCTTGTCGCGAACATCACCAGACCGGCGCTTCTCTGTCGCCATCTTCCTGCCGGGTGCCCTCTGCTCACTGCCGTCCGACTTTCTTCTTCCTCGGACATTTGCGACTCATTCCCGTTATCACATCAGGGCATCTTGCCGCCCAGCCCGAAGGTTCCCGCACCACCGAGGATGAGGAGAGCCTAAGGGAGTGGCGCAATTTTTTGGAGCGACGCAAGAGCCAGAGCTTCTTGTACCTTTTCCCTACCTCTCGTCTTTCGTCTCGCCTCGCAGCATCGAGCATCGCGACATCTCGCGATCATCACCAGTCATGCCCGACCACGCTGGGACGGCCGCGGCCGCGCCGCCGCAGAGCGAATCGAACCCCACCCCGCCTAAGGAGCTGTATCCCATGGTGAATTGGAAATACGATCTCTTCCTCTGGGTTCTGGGTGTTCTCGTCGACCTCTTCTTCCGCGAGGTTCACCCTCGCGGCTCCTGGAAGGTCCCCAAGACCGGTCCTATCCTCTTCGTCGCCGCTCCTCACGCGAACCAGGTTCGTCTTCTGCCTCCCTGTCAAAGAGCCCCAGTTTTCGTCCGTCACATGTTAACCCGTTTTCGCTTCGCAGTTCGTCGATGCTCTGATCCTCCAGCGCACCCTCCGTCACGAAGCCGGCCGCCGAGTCTCTCTTCTCATTGCCCAAAAGTCCGTCCATGGCTTCATCGGCTGGGGCTCGCGCCAGGTCGGTTCCGTCCCGGTCGGCCGTGCTCAAGATGCCGCCAAGCCCGGCTCGGGCGTTATCTACCTCCCGGACCCCATCAACGACCCTACACTGATTCGCGGTGTCGGCACCAAGTTCGGCCAGGGCGAGGGTGAAATTCATGGCATGCTGTTTCTGCCGTCTGCCAAGAAGCAGACCGGCGCCAGCGTTGATATTGCGCAAATCATTGGACCCGAGGAAATCCGCATCAAGCGCCCTTTCAAGGGCAAGCTTCCCCTGGAGCAGCTGACCGGCCGCGACGACATCGACGAGAATGGAAACTTCACCGACAAGAACATCAAGGGTTGCAAGGAGGGCTTCGAGGGCACCAAGTACAAGCTGGCTCCCCACATCGATCAGACCAAAGTGTACGAGGCCGTCTTTGACCGTCTCAAGTCGGGCGGTTGCGTCGGTATCTTCCCCGAGGGTGGAAGCCACGACCGCACCGAACTGCTTCCCCTGAAGGCTGGTGTCGCGATCATGGCCCTTGGTGCTCTGGCCGAAGCCCCCGACTGTGGTCTGAAGATTGTGCCCGTCGGCATGAACTACTTCCACGCGCACAAGTTCCGCAGTCGTGCCGTGATCGAGTTTGGTCCGCCCCTCGAGATTCCCCCGGATTTGGTCCGTATGTACAAGAACAACCAGCGAAGAGAGGCCATCGGCCAGCTCCTGGATACCGTCTACCAAGCACTCAGCGCCGTCACTGTCTCTACTCCCGATTACGACACCCTCATGATGCTGCAGGCCGCTCGTCGCCTCTACAACCCCACCGGAAAGAAGCTCCCTCTGCCCGTCGTTGTCGAGCTGAACCGCAGACTGGCCATGGGATACGAGCGCTACAAGGACGACCCGCGGATCAAGGACGTGATGAAGTCGGTCAAGGTGTACAACAAGCAGCTCCGCTACGTCAACCTCCGCGACCACCAGGTTCAGTACGCGAGAATGTCCATTCCCAAGGTCATCTTCACTCTGTTCTATCGCATCGCAAAGCTTCTCGTCCTCCTCGTCGGTGTGCTGCCCGGTTTGATCCTCTTCGCTCCTGTCTTCATCGCATCGAAAGCGATTAGTGTTCGTAAGGCGAAGCAGGCGCTGGCTGCATCGACGGTCAAGATTCAAGGGCGCGACGTCATGGCAACGTGGAAGCTCCTTGTGGCTATTTTCCTCGCGCCAACGTTGTATCACTTTTACTCGGCAATTGTTACCTACAAGGTATGGAAGGACCACCTCTGGGGATACGTCCCTGCGTGGGTTCCGTGGTGGACGACCTACCTCGTCATGTGGCCGTTGATGGTGGGCATCACATTCGCCGCCCTCAGATTTGGCGAGGTCGGCATGGACATCTTCAAGTCCCTGAGACCTCTCGTGCTGTGCTTGAACCCCGCCTCGAGCTACAACATTCAGCAGCTGCGGACGAAGCGCGCAGAGCTCAGTATCCAGGTCACCGACCTCATCAACACCCTCGGACCGGAGATGTTCCCCGATTTCGAGAAGACGCGCTTGGTTGCCGACCCGTACAAGATGGACGGCTACTCCCGGCCGCGCACCCCTCCCGCCCGCCGGGACAGCGACGCGTCGAGCGCGTACGACTCGGCCACGCCGCCCTCCATTTCGAGACGGACCACGACACAATCCAGCCGTGGTCTTCCCCGCAACGAGTCGTACAGCAACATCGGCGGCGTGGGTATCTTCTCCACGCGGCCGCCTTCTCGCTCTAGGAGTCGGAGCAGCAGCAGCGGAGGCGGTCTCAACTCGGGCGGCTTCCCCATCAGCGGCTTCACTACGTTGGACTCGGCTGGCGGCTTTGACGAAGCCAGCAGGAAGATCCGCGAGGCGATGAAGTTGCGCAGGAGGAAGAGCGGCGACCACAAGATGGAGTTGGGCGCCGACGAGAGCGAAGAAGAGGAGTACAACGAGGCTCGCAAGAAGAACACATAAGACGTTTCAACACTGTAGAATTTCAACATCAGAAGGGGGAGAGAGAGAGAGATGCAACTAATACTAAAAGTGGCCAGCGTCAGCTGGATCGGGACGGGAAATGTATAGACAGCGGAGGTACGGACGGTATGGATTCCCATTTTCATTTGCAAATCAGCGATAGTTGAATGACCAAGCTTATTCAAATCAGAGTCTGTTTGGATGTTGCGTGAAACAGTGGGAAGCTCCAATGGCAGCAGTGAAGATGACATCTCGGGTGGTCATGATTTTGATGACGGGGAAGCTGCCATTCTGCGAGCAATCAATCCCGGCGATAAAAAAGAACGCCGAGTAACTCCGCCGTTGGCAGGATCTGATAACTCAAAAAGTTCCTCAAACTCACATACAATCCGAGACGGATGGCTACGCGGCTGGGTGGCTGGCATGACGCTATTTGCGACGGGTCGCACGCGTGGCCGTACCGGCACGGAATGCCGGGCGTAATTGATCTTCATTCTTTTCTCCAAACTGCGTTCCTGTCAGAATTTCCCGACGATATAAGTCCGAGACGGACTCGGTGATACGAGCCCCGTGGGCCATTAATAAGGAACCGCGCGGGACTGACTAGCCAAGCCGGCATACCACGCACACACGCATACACAACAGCCTTACAACTCGGAAGGCTTTGTTAGCAGTTGACCAGCAGGTAGAAAAGCAAGCGACAGCATTGGTTCGGCCCCCGGAGGTCTCTCTGGCGCCGGGTCGAGGAGCCGAGTCCCTGTTTGTCCTTTCTCGATCTCCCCAATCATCCCGCCGCCAATTGTCGCAATTCCCCCTCCACCCCACTTCCCGCCACTTTTCCGAACGAGTGGGCCGACCGAACGCCGTTCCCCGATCCTACACTACGCCACGGCAACTTGCTACGATTCAGCCCTTTCGCAGCAGACTAAAGTAGTGGCTTCTCCCCTTTTGCCCCTCCCTCTCTTCCCACTTGGAGGGGGATCTTGTTTTGGTTTTCTGTTATCAACATCTTTCTGAAGGTCTTCAAGAGAGAGAAAGACAAGCAATCACAATGGTCTTCAAGACGCTCATCTCCGGCGCCAGGAAGCTCGCCCTCGGTGACGGCGGCAACCCCACCGACCTCTTCCCGAAGACGGACCCGGAAGTCGACGGCGACGCCTGCGAGCACGACTGCGAGAGCTGCCACGTCAAGTACCCCAAGGGCTTCAAGATCGACGAGGCGGACGACCTGTACGGCCACATCAAGGGATGGAGCACGCACGCGCTCGTCGCGACGGGGAAGAGCGACTGGGTCAGGGACGTCGCGGACGAGAAGGGCAGCGTGATGGAGGCCATCGGCAAAGCCGCCGCGCCTAGCAATGGGGTATGTGTCCCCTCCACCCACGAGAGGTCGTTGCTAACCGGGACCGCAGAAACTCATGCTCTCCGCCTCCAACATCCCCACGCCCAGCCACTCGAGCGACTACTCCGAACCCACGACCGTCCTCCTCCTCCCGGCCTTCGTCGTCATCGACCACGTAACACCCAAGCGCGTACCGGACCTCATCTCCGAGTTCGTCGACAAGGCGCCCACAAACACCTCCCCGCTCGCGCCCCTCGCCCTCCCGACCACCGTCCCCGTCGCGTCCACAAACGGCACCGAGACAGGCGCAACCGCTGTGTCCATCCCCCCGCAAATGTCCCGCCGCCCGTGCCCGCACAGCGCGCTGATCCTCCTCTGCTCGCAAAAGACGCGCGACGCGCGCTGCGGGCAGTCGGCGCCGCTGCTGCGCAAGGAACTCGAGCGGCACCTCCGCCCGCTGGGCCTGTTCCGCGACATGGACGACGAGAGGCCCGGCGGCGTGGGCATCTACTTCATCTCGCACGTGGGCGGGCACAAGTACAGCGCCAACGTGATGGTGTACCGCCGGCCCGACGCGTTCGGGCTGGACGGGGTGGAGAGGGCCAAGGTGGCCGGGGGGGAGGAGGAGCTGAAGCCGAAGGTCAGGGCGGCGGTGCCGGAGGCGGAGGACGTCGGGGCCGCGCAGTGTATCTGGCTGGCGAGGATCAAGCCGGAGGATTGTGAGAATCTGGTGCGGTATACGATTTTGCAGGGCAAGGTCGTCAAGCCGGAGACGCAGTTGAGGGGCGGGTTTGATCGCGCCAAGGGACTGATGAGTTGGTAAGAGGGACGACGTGGGAACATGGCAGAGGTTGGGGTCCATTTGGTTTATTGGTAGCCTGTCAGCAGAGGCTGAGTACGATGGCATTTGGGAGGAACACGGGGCGCAAATCAGGCCAGGCTGCGGTTGGCGTTGGTGGATATAAATTGCTTCGGCATAGATCCTAGACATGACACGGGACTAGATAATAGTGAAGGCATACAATGCATTGTGGAGGGACAAAGAACTCGACTGATATGTCACTGTCCGATTCGCTGCTTGCAAAACAGAATTCGAGCATTGGTATAACATGTTTGTCGTCATCACCAACAGGACCCTTATGACGTCCGCAGAAGCTACCTAAGCAATTGAGCTGGCGACCCGCAAGCTCCGTACCGCCCCGCTGTGACGCCGACTCGGCCGGCGTGGACCCACTTCCACCGGCCCGCCCCGTACTTTCGGTAAAAAAAAAGAAAAAAAGAAAAAACACCCCAAAATTGCAGTGAACCCCGAAAAAAACTTGGAAGCTGCAGGCGCGTTGCACGGCCGATAAGATAAGACCTACACGGCCCACCCGCGGTCGCCCAGACGACGAAGCTAGGATAAACAATCCCCACGCTCGACGGCTCCTTCGCTGCCCCAAAAGTACCAACCACATGCATAGGTAGTGTTCAGCTCACCGACACGACACGACCAACCCAGCCCAACCCGTCCTCCCCAAAACCAATCCTACCTAACTGTTACTCCCATCTGTTCTTCCAAAAACAGCGCCCCCCGAAACTTTTCTTATTGCAACGACAAACAACAGTAACTTTCGCAACGGGACCAAAGTCTGGCTTTGCGCCTGTCTCCCACCCCCATTCCCGGTTGTGCAGCTTCATCTCTTCCTCCTCTCCCAACAATGGTGTGAGCAGAAAGAGGTCCAGTACCACAGCTGTCCGGGGCACCACCGTCTTCATTCATCAGAATAAAAGCATTGGAGTTACGTTTTGTTTTGTTAAAACACCCCCATCGACTTTTTGGTCCATTTTTCGCTTTAGACCGGCAACAACAGACAAGAATCTTGGCCAGCATTCCAACCGGGCATTGTTTTCATCCAAACCGAACCAGCAGGACCCTGTCTCTCCTCCCCCCGAACCCAAGAAACCCCCCCCATTTCCCACGACAATGGGCTCCGCCGTCGAAGGAGATAACAATGGAGGAGGAGTCGAGAGCGGACGCCGCCCCAGGTCCTCGGTCCTCAAGAGCTTCATCCATCGACGTAACCAGTCCGAGGGCTCCGCGCTCTTCACCTCGCCCCCCTCCGTCCAGATCACCACAACCACCACCACCTCCTCCTCGTCACAACACGTCCAGGCCGCCTACGACCGCCTCGAGGGCAAGATGATGCCGCCGCCGCCCCCCTCGCCTCTCCGCACCGGCTTCGGCTTCGGCGCCCTCGGCGAGCTGAACCAGAACTCCCAGCAGGACCCCGTCCTGCGCTCCCCGAGAAAACAACCAGACGACGACCGACGCGATCGATCACGCTCCCCGACAAAGTCCGCCTTCAGCAACCTGTCCCTCAAGTCCATGGCCAAGGACGCCGCCCGCAAGTCTCGCGACGTGTCACCCGAGAAACCCAAAAAGACCAAGTCGAGCACCAACCTCGCGGGCTTCCTGTCGCGGCCCAAGTCGACGCTGTCCCTCAACAAGACCTCCTCCAAGGACAAGGAGGACGAACGACGCATGGCCAAGGACAAGGAGAACCGCACGCCGCCCAGCTCGACGTCGAGCGCCGACATGTCCGCCAGCGCCGTCGGCGGGCCCGCGCCTCCCATATACGCGCAGTTCTGCAGTCAGGATCTCGGCACGGCACTGCGTGGGAAGGCGTCGTTCGACGCGGGCAGCGGGCGATACGGGAGCGAGGCGTCGTCGAACGACGTGATGAACTCGAAGAAGCAGCGGCCCAAATCGTACCACCCGTCCACGGCGATATCCAAGCACGAATCTACACAAGACCTGCGGAGTAGACCGCCGGCGGGCGGTCGGGAGCCTTCCGCGTCGGAGAGAATCACTAGTAAGGTGCAACGACCGAAGCTATTCACGGCCTTCTCTGCTATTGGCAGCCAGAAGACGACGAAATCGAAGACGTCGGCCGACCCTTCAGAAAGGCAGATCGACCCCAAGGAGATCGATACCCACCTGGAGGCCATGCTTGACCGCCGCAACATCCCCGAGAACCAGCGCTACAAGATGCGCAACCTCGCCGATACGATTAAAATGGAGTTCATTCGCCAAGACTGGGCCGAGATGGCTGCGAAGGAAGCTGCCGGTAACGACGGCGGCGGCGTTGAGCCGACATCCGCTGTCACCATGGGCGGCTCCGATAAGGAGGAGAACCAACAATCCAAGCGTAGCAGGGGCAGGAGTTTTACTCTTTCTAGAAAAAAGGACCAGTCTGCGTCGAACTCCCCGACGAAGAAGTCCAAGGGGGATTCCTCTTCGATCGGTCGTCATTTCAGGAGCAAGTCCACCGAGAGCGTCACGAGCGAACGCCCCATATCTGCCAGCTCCAACACCAGCAACGGCATTCTTTCTAAGATCAAGTTCGGCCAGGGGCCGGGCGACTATGTTTCGTACCTCCGCAAGGTGCAGAAGCCGGAACTCGTCGAAGTCGGGAAGCTGCACAAGTTGCGTCTGCTGCTGCGGAACGAGACGGTCTCCTGGACGGAGGACTTCATCAAGCAGGGCGGTATGGAGGAGATTGTCGGGCTGCTTAACCGTATTCTTGCAGTGGAGTGGAGGTATGTTTCCCCGATCTCATCTCAGCGCATGATGCATAGAGGCTAACGATCTACACAGAGAGGAGCATGAAGATGCCCTCCTTCACGAGAACCTCCTCTGCTTGAAGGCCTTGTGCACCACCGCCCTGGCGCTGCAGTACTTACACTCCATCAATACTGACCTCTTCCCGAAGCTCCTCCACATGCTGTTCGACCCGGAGAAGAAGGGCCCCAGCGAATTTACTACCCGCAACATCATCACGTCAGTCCTATTCACATATATCGAGTCCGCTACCCCCCAAGAACGCATCGTCCGCGCCAAGACGGTGCTTTCGTATCTCCGCAACCCCAAACCCAAGGACGAGGACCGCCCCGTCGGTTTCGTCTTGGACATGCGCAAAGAGCGCCCCTATACCGTCTGGAACAAGGAGGTCGTCAGCGTAACGAAGGAAGTCTTCTGGATCTTCCTTCACCACCTCAACATCATCGCCCTGCCCTCGGAAATGTCCACCAAGGGCGGTGCTCCCCTCGCCGCCATCACCAACGGCAGCACGTACGATCCCTACGCCTACATGCACCGGCACTTCCCCTCGGAACGCCCTCCCGTCCCGGCCGCCCCCTACGTCGGCGGCGTGGAGTGGGACGCGACCAACTACCTCGCCTCCCACCTCGACCTCCTGAACGCCATCGTCGCCTGCACCCCGACCGCGGACCAGCGCAACGCCCTCCGCCACGACCTCCGCATCTCGGGCTGGGAGAAGGTCCTCGGCGGCAGCCTCCGGCTCTGCAAAGAAAAGTTCTACGGCTGCGTGCACGAGGCCCTGCGATGCTGGGTCGCCGCCGCCACCGAGGACGGCTGGGACGCCAGGGACGTCCGCTACGGCCCGCCCCCGGAGTCGCGCAGCTCCAGCCCCGCGAAGAAGAGCCCGGCCAAGAAACCCGCCGAGCCGGCGCCCAAGATCGAGATACCCAAGCTCGACTTCGGACTCGACCGCCAGCCGGGAAGGACGCCCGTCAAGGAGAGGGATGCCTGGCTGTCATAGGAGGAGCTCCAGCTCTCCCCGAAGACGTCGCCCGGCAAGCAGCACCGGCATCATCGCCACCACCAACAACCAACTGTACATCAAATGAACCCGGAGAAAATGAACAAACAGGATGGGGGGACAGCAGGTCGTCGTCCGTCTGCTCCCCTCAGTGTCAGCATCCGCGGGAACGTCGTCAACGCCGGGCCGAGGCCCCTCGTCATCCAGCATTGGAGATGAGGCAAGGCGGAAGTCGCGCGTTCTCGCTGCTCTTTTACTTTTTTATTATTGGGAGGTTATCGGAGGAGTTTTACGTCATGTGTCATTTTTGGTCCTTTTCGGTCTCCTTATCCCGCCCGCCCTTATCCCTCCCTCCCCCCCTTCTTCTCCTGTTGAATCATGTGTGTGTCGTCGTGTGTCGTATTGCATTTGGGGTGTTGGGAAACTTGGGAGAATATTGCAGTTTGGTTTCTCCTTTTTTTTTCTTTTTCTTTCACTATTAAACACACACACACACTGAGAAAGAGAGAGGAAAAGGAAAAGGGTGAGAACTCTCTCACAGACACACACACATCATGCTGCCTAATGCTTCTCATGAAAGGGCAACGTTTATGAATTGATGATCATCATACATAGAAAAGCAAACTCGTGCCGTTCGTTACCTTTCTTTTTTAACAATTGTGGAATTGGTGAAACTCGTGTCGATGTTGCCAGCGTCGGTGAGAATGTTGTCATGATTCTGGGATGCTCAGCAGCAACTGTCTGTCTGGACATTTAACAGAGGTATGTATGGCGAGAGTGTTACTGTTGCCTACGTATATGCGATGCATCGCGGATCTTAGATGACGGACGGATCAGGACCGAGGTACTTATAGCGAGGCAAAAACCCTTATGGGGCCAAGCAACAAAAGGTAGGCAAGGTAAACCACAAGGTGGACAAAAGCAGTACTATACTCAGTACTCATACAAGAAGATTTAACTTCATACTCAGGACCGTCGGGTTCAGAGATACGCCTTTCTTCATCATGATGGGAGAATTGGTCCCGTCTACACTAACAGGGAAATGAAGCGTGACAATAGCTTGGTTGGGCGAACGTCCAACGTACTTGGGTTCAGACCATGTGACTACGCATCCATGCCCGGCCGAACTCTGTCTCCGGGAGACACACACACGTGTGTAGCGGCAAACGAACACCCCCCCCCCCAGCGAGAGGAAACGAGGGAAATTTTGCTCAGTGCGAATCATTCTTCCTACCTACCTACAACGCGAAGGATGAAGTGGAAAACTCTAGAAAATGTGATATCTGACGGAAAACCCTTGCCCGTTGCAACCCGAAAGGACCCAAGGGGCCGGGATGCCGAAGGAACCGGCGGTCGGGGTTGGTTTTCTCTCTTCTGCTTTGGGTTTTTCTTTTTCGGCTTTGGCTTTGGGCTCCTCGACAAAAGAACCAATCCCTCCCCCCTCCACCTGGGAACGGATACAGACAAGATCGGTGCGGTCTTTGGGGGTATGATTCGCGAGGGCCAGGGGTTTTGAGGGTAGGGCTTCGAGCGGTCTTGGCTTTGGGCGGAGACCGGTGACGAGGTGGATTGTTGATTGCAATGTTTGAAGCAGCGCGGCAGGAAGATGTTGCTCGTCGCGTTTCTGCTGCGAAGGCTTCTTGTCTCATTCGCGAGGTCGATGATCACGCGTGATCAGCGATACGGGGCCTTGATGACAGACAGCTGGATGATTAGAGGCGACCGATGGAAAGGAGAGAGATGACTGTTGGTTTTTCAACCACCCGCGGCATGGCACTGGCATTGCCTCGTCGAATGCATAGATGCCAAACAGCGCCATCGAATCATGTATCAAAACAATGATAGAGGTCGCAAGCCGAGAGCGTGGCGTGCTCATAGATTGCTCCGATGAGACTTGAAAGCGTCAAAGACGCTCACGCCCTTCAGCACATCCTCCTTGACCTTATCATCCGCAGCAGTCAGTTTCGGCAGGAGCTCCAACACCTGGTCGATCTTATCTCGAGGAATGACAACAACACCGTTGACCGGGTCAGCAAAGACGAGGTCGCCGGGATTGACGACTGTGCCATCCACGGTAATGGGTACCTGGACTGCCCACGGCGTGCTGTCCGCCCCGGCTCCAACAGTGGACAGGCCTCGCGACCAGATCTGCAGTGTTTTAGCCACCGTTGGATCAAGAAACGACATGAATCAACTCACGGGCAGGCCCGTACTGGTCAGTTCGTCCAGGTCCCTTGCGCGACCCACGACCACCACCGCCTTGGCTTGGCGGACCTTCATCCGGACGGCCATGATACCCCCGCAGACAGCGTTCTTTTGGCCATCGGGCTGCCTAATGATCACGACACTTCCTGGTTGGGTTATGTCTGCCCAGTGGGTGTCTTTGGGGATGTTGGTGGGAGGCGAGTCCAGCTTCTCGCCTTTCCGGGCAAACAGGATTGTGGACGCCGGTGCTATGGTAACGGAAGCGTTTGCAGGGTTTGGTTGGCCCAGAAGCTGGAGGTCGGGTATGAAGCCCCCTCCGGAGACTTTGAGCTTGACGAGGGCATCTGATATGTCACAGGCGGTGAATTTCTGGAGAGCTGCAATGCGGGCATCTTCCGCAGTGGCCATTGTGGCGTAAAGCAGCGAATGGGCGACTTAAGATGACAATTTGAGGCAAGAAGCTGAGGACACGGCAGTTTTGGGCTCAGCTGATTGCACGATGCCAGAATCCTGTGGTCAATTTGGAGAGGGGGATGCAACAGAGGATTCAAGCAACCTCAAGCAACGACGAACGGCGTCGAGGATAAGGTAGACGTTGATTGCGGCCGGGGTCTCGGGGATCCTCGCTCGGGAGCCGCCGAGGCAAAAACCGTCCAATCAGACAACGTCCCAGAAGCAAGTGCGGGCTTGCTGGAATGCAGGCTCGAGGCTTATGTGTGGTGGGGAGCAGGAGCAGCAGAACCAGCAGCGTGAAGGCACATGGAGAAGCGACGTCTTGGAATGCGGTGCGCTCTTGGCGGCTGCGCGGCCTTCAAGGTGCCTTGTGTGCAATTATTCCCTGCAGGCGCGTTGGTCGTTGCAGCAGCGTTGGCTCGTTGAAGGCGGCCGAGAGGGGGCAGCACGCCGAATACTCCATTGATGATGCGAAAGCTGCGATACCGGTCCCCGATGCATTTGAACGTGTGGCAGCCCGTCAACCGGGTCTAAGGAACATGCCGGAACATAGTCCGGAACGGCATACCGTACTATGTAGCTGGACGCGGGCGCAAGGTAAGACCCTGGAGTTGGGGTGCAGTTACGGTGTTCTCGGACTCGAGCCAACAGATATCGCTGTTTCGTTATTGGCGGATTATATCCGAAAAGCAGCATGTCTCGTGTGTTGGGCAGTTGCTGGCGCGGGCGTCGAAAGGTCGGAGAGGATTCATGGTGTAAGTGTGGCGTGGTGGATGTTTTCAATCCGACTATCGCGGATAAGACTTTGAGAGCCACGGCGGGTGGGCGAAAGTTGTTGGAAGAAATCGAATTGGATTTTCTGTGCGCTCGCTTCTCATGCAGGTGGCTGCGCCGCACGAGATTTTGTAGGAAACATGTTGGGACCCGAGTAAGCAAACAGGGAATGAGCCAAGGTCAACGACTCGATGGCTTGGTAGCGTAGGCTTCAAAATGGGCCATTGCAAGCGTCCGTGATGGGGATCATGGATAGGACGTGGATGCGGATGGGGGCACTCGACAAGGACAGTGTCTCCGGGGGGCGCGTTCCTGTTCCTGTTCCTGTTCCTGTTCTTGTGGGTGCCCCGGTGCGTGAATGAGGGCAGACGATCCGGACCGGCGGTCAGAGACGCATAGACGGATGATCCTCCATGATTTGACGAATGGAAGGTTTGGCAGGTCGAGCATGGTATCCGCCGGTTCATGTATCCGTAGTCCGTCCGTACCTGTGAGGTGTTAGAATCATTTTCTAGTTGTAGGTGCCGCTGCGGCTGGATGGAGACGGCGCTGTAGCATACCATACGTGAACATGCATCTACCGTCGCCGACAGGAGTTTGTCGCTTGGTGTGCGAGAGCCGAGCCGAGCTGGAGTTGACGGGAGTTGGTGGTCAGCCCTCAATCTGCTGCCGCTGTTGAATGGTGAATTGGGAGAGATATCCGTACTGTAAGGTAGTTCTTGACATGCAAGGCGAGAGAAGCGAAGGTGACACGAGGATGGGCATGTCCAATTGGAAGGCCCAAGTCATATCGAACCTCACATGATGATGAATCGAGGTAGGAGCAGCTCCACAGAGCACTGCAGGCGAAATCTAAGATGCTGGATGTTGTGACACGGAAGGCGCGACGGGCAGAACTGAGGTGAGGTGAGTGCTTTCCCAGACCGGAGGTGGCTGCATAGAGGCCGGGGCAGGTGCCGGTCACCGAGGAGGCAGGTAGTAAGTATCTTTCTTCTTCGTTCCTTCCTTCTTGCTATTTTCACGTTGCCTTTCCTCAGGCACCAGGTGGAGAGTTAGGCAGGTACTTTTATCTCATTTGGAGGAAGGAAGGAAGGAAGGATGGAAAGAAGCATCGATGCTTCATGGAAGATGGAATGTGCCAGTCGAGGTTCACTGCTACATCAACATGAGGCATCAAGCAGAAAACAAAAAAGAATCTATCCGTGCGCCGCTTGACCGAGATCTCAAATGTGATGCGATGACTGCGACATCAACTCACCGGCCCTGCAATCGAAAAATTCCCCTCTCCCAACGTCCGGTTCGCATCGCTCTCGACTGCTTTCCATCATTGGCAATGCAACACTGGCCTCAAAAACTGGCCGTACCCCTCACCAACCACCACCAATCGCGCATCGACGAGAGATACCGAGTTGGCAGCGACCACAACGACAACGACAAGACAACGACATGGACATGACACGGGTCTCTCATCACTGGCTGGCTCCATTCCCAGTCCATCCATCTCCATCCCCTCCACTCGTCCAGACCCCCAGACTCAGAGATCTCCGTTTATTGCCGGGTTCCAGGCGGGACACGGCCACTTGCCAGGGACATGGGCCAGGGATGTCTCGGACATGGGCCAGGGATGTCTCGGACAGCCATGTCGCCGAACCAAAAAGACCGCCTTGGGCCGTCGACGATGATGGCACGGAATACACACTACAGACTACAGATACGTACAACTGGACAATCACAACACGATGGATCTGTCCCGATGCCATATGTCAAGGAATGTCCCGTCCCGCTGAAGATCATCTCCGTGTCTGACAGCAAAACACTGGACGAAGCTAGCCTGAAGAAAGCCCGCCGATTTTCAAAGCTGAAGACCACTACAAAGTACGGGGATTCGAATTTGCGAGTCATTCCGCAGGACTCCCCGCGGCGCAGTGTATTTCTTCTTCCCAAACACGCAAAATAACTTGACAACTCTTGGATCTGCCCGCTTGAGACACCTCAACGCCACGCCGTCCGTCGATTGGGCCTTTGACTGCCAGAACCTCAGAGCAATGCCCAATATCGGCTTCCTCCTGGCGTCTTGGTCTACGTTCCCTCGCGGCTGAAGCTGCGCTGCCAACCTCTCACCAATACCACAGCTCCCAACGCCTTCAGGCACCAAGACACCACGTCCCTGGATTCATATTCGCGGCCGCAGTCTCGGCGATTCCACAGACATCATGATTCACTGCCATTCTCGGAAACCCGACAAGACAAGCTAGAATGCCGACGTCTTGGCGCGAACCCGGAGGCAACCACACTCAATGTTATCTGTCATTGCTGTCACGGGTCGCAGTCGCAGTCGCGGTGAAGTGCGGCTCACCGAACCAATCCAGTGGCAGTGGCCGTGGCCGTGGCCAGCGGCGACACCAACGCAATGCGATGCGGAGTGCACATGACGGATCCCCCTCGCAGGCTTTGTTTCAAGACGAGGGTTCCTGGCTTGAGTTGGGTGCAAAAAGATCGGCGCGTCCATCCCGAGGTCCCTGGCGCGCAGCGCAGGGCATCGCGCCTATGAGATACTGGATACTCGAAGGCGAGTCTGCCACTGCAGGACGAGTCTTGGAGATCCCGCCTTCACGTCCATGTCCAAGTCAAGTCATGACGCCGTCCTCGGTCCTTAGTCACGACTTATTACCACGGCAGGCAGTCGACATGGACATGGCTCCCCGGGAGAAGGGATGGGGCAACTTGAGCACCTTTTCCATAACTGCGCCGCCTGGCGGGTTGATACGCTCGAATCCAGATCAATTCCAGACCCTGGCCGGCTTCCATTGGCCGGCTGCAGGGACGACGTTGAAGCTCCGCATCCAACTCACCAAATTTGCATTAACGGAGGACGTGGGACGTTCTGGCTATGCGCGCTTTGCATTTGGAGACTTGAAGTTGCAGTTGCGGTTGCATTTGGAGAAGCGCACAGGCGTGCAATCCGTGTGTCTTTTGCTTTTGCATCTGCAGCGGTTGCTGGTCGCACACAACCGACCCAGCGAACCCCGGCCAAGCGCCCGCTCATTCGTCCAGATTATCTGGGCTGCAGCAGTTCTGACCAGCAGGGCCCATGTCGCTGGCACCTCGTCCACACCTGCTGCAGCTGCTGGACGAACGAGAAGGATTCTATTCGCACGGATACCAGGCTCTCCATCATTCTTCATCTGAGGGAAAAGGTTGGGCCCTGGAGGGAACAATTAGCAGTGCATATTTGCCTTGCCGCCACGACGGGAGTTCAGGACACTGGATCACGGAAGAAGGAGCCTCGGACGGACGTACGGGAGAAGCAACAAGCTTGAAGCAAACGAAATCATGAAATAAACATCAAACACATGTTATCAAACAAACAATTGCGCAAACCGTCATCGATCGACGTCGTCGTCCCCTGGCTGAACCGGCCAATAGCCGTCAGAGTCAAACCCAAGAACCGAGAAGCAGAGGCATTAGTTCCAGACAACTGAGCCATCAAGACAAACAGATTCAGCCAGACAAAAGACAGTCATCTCACTAAACGCGCCCTCCGTTCCTATTGGATCCGCTGTTCGACTCTAGTCCGTCACTCCGTCCACGCACCGTACCAGAAGTACCTCACCTGGCTCTTTCTTCTCTCCCTCTCTCTCACCTGGGGAGCCCGTCACCTCACCTTGTCGACCTTATCCGCATACCTCACACGCCCATCTCACCTCAGGTTGATGAACTCCTTCGACTTCCAACTCCAACTGCCTGCGCGCCTCGCCATCCCATCCCACGGTCATCACACCATTGTCGGTACCTCCCCCACCTCTATTACCTACGCATCCGAACTTCCCCAGCCACCGTCGGCTTACTAGCAAGCTCTGGGTTCTGGACTGTTCTCGTCCCGTTGGCCGTTTACACGCACGCTTTTGGGGTACTTGTCGGTACGGATACAGCACTCCTGCTGCGTAGTCGGCCTCGTCCAACTTCAACTCTGACTGGCTCGACGTACCGCGACGACTGCGTACGGCACACGCAACTAACCCTGTCGGTCCTTAACCCTACCATACCTTACTTTTCAACCTTGCCTTGCCTTCTTTATCCGCAGCTACCTTACCTACCTGACGCTATCGACCGGCCTCTGCTTCCTCCCTCCTTTCGATTCCCCCGTCGCCTCGACCAAGAGCTGTATCAGAGACCCAAGGGCCCTTCAACACCATCCATCCGCCAACGCCGCCGACGCCCCTCCGCCGCTGCCCAGAACGCGACAACCACGCCCACTACCTTACCTAGGTACCTCCCCTGTGCCTCAGGGATCCACCCCACCACAAGCATCCAGATCTCCGAAGCTTCTCTGCAAGCCCTGCCGCTACCGACCACGCCCACTCCCACGCAACCCTCAACTCGCTGCTGAGACGAACTAGGAAGCTCTGCGCTGCAGCTGCGAAGGCCGTTCCCTTCAAAATGTCAATAAAGTACGTCCCTCCTGGTTCGAATCTTCTCTATCTGCCTCTGCCTCTGCTTCTGCTTCCCCCTTCAACCTCCCATCATCCCACGCCGTCCTAGCCCCATCACCACGCCGGCATCCCGGTCAGAGTCCGTGGCAGTACCCCGCCGTCGACCACCTTCTCTCCTCGCTCTTCCACCCCACAAGGACCCCGTCCGCCATGACGGACCAGTATCTGCAAGAGCAACATGCCCTTACCATTGCCCGCACCGTCCAGAGAGAACGAGAGCTCGCCCAAGCCCGGCTGGATTCTGACCATGGCGATAGTTGGGTCATGATCACCCAAACGGGTGAAATCAACCCTTTGCCTCAGGAGCATATCAGACACAGGTCCAACGCGAGGGTCGGTCTCGAGCTGTCCGTCCCCAAGTCGTTGCAGCAAGGCCGGACGCCATTCACGCGCAAGAGCGACAGTGGCACGGTATACATAACGACGCAACGAGTACGCGCGGCTCTCCCATCCCAAGACATGGCGCTGGCTGACGATGCTCTCTCCAGGTCATCTACATTCCCGCAAAGCCAACCCCCGAGTTCAAATCGTTTCATGCGCCCATCCTAAGCTGCGTAGACACGTTTGTGGGCACGCCATTCTTCGCCGCGTGGTACTGGCTCGCCACCGTCGTGCCCGTTCCTGGAGGCGGCGTGCCTGCCGACGTTCCGAGGGTCGAACTGAAGCTCACTTTCAAGGAGGGGGGACACAACGAGTTCATGCAGAGATTCGGGGAACTCAAGGAACGGCTGGAGCATGTGCGGCGACTACAGCAGGAGACGGGACAGCTGGTCAACATTCCGGACGAGCCGCTGCCGGCGTACGAGGCAACGGAGGGCGGTGGTGCGGCAGCACCGGCGACCCTCGCTCCGCAAGAGACGATCAGTCGGTCAGCAAGCTCTGGCAGCCAGAACAGACGGCCGGACGAGCCGCCACCGGGTTACGACGAGGCGCAGGCGCAGACACTCAGCATGCGACTGGAAGACCACATCCGCGAGGAATCAGATAGATCATAACGGGGACCAGTCCGTCACGGCTCACGACTAACGCTTTGCATCGATACCTTGCAGCATTTCACTCCCTACACATTTGTACTTTTGATAGCATCTATACCAGCGGCGGCGGACCTGCGTTTCTTAACGAACATCCAAGTAGAGAATGATAAGGATGTTACGACGGAAAGGGTGTTCAAGGTCACCTTGCTGTATGAGTGGTGGAGGACGACCTCCGCGAGCTGCCTTTTACCAGCGGATTTGTACGCAAGCACACGCGACCATACAAGTGACACTTTTGTATTCCACATATAGCGTTGCACGTTATTTTCATGTGATGGTGACGATAGCTTGGAGCTTTGAACTTGCGCCAAACGGGATAGGAAAAAAAAAAAGACGGCGCAATGATGAAGTGCGACAAAGCTGGTGGCAGCTGGCGAATGCGTTGTGGCGGGTGACTTGGACGTGGCTGCGCTCTGCTTAGTCATTCTCGAGCGAGCCATTCCGCCGCAGCCAATCAAAATCGACCAATTGGGAATAACTTACGAGCCGATTCAGACACCCAGTTTTCGTCCTCAACCTGCCGAAAGCTCCCGACCACCTTTTCCATCACCGTATCTACGACGACATCACGTCAAGCAATTGAGTGAGCCACACAACCTCCGCCACAATGGGTTTCTGGGACACGATTACCGACCTGGCTGAGGCCGCCATGCCGTGGGCCACCGTCGAGGCCGAGGCCCCTGCCGCCGAGGACAAGGTGAGAGACGAGCTTTCTGCGCAATTTGTTGCAACGGTCAGAGGTTGCCGGGCGCCTCCCGCGGCGCCGGGTCTCCTCAATGACGGTTTTTCGCAAAATTCCTGGGGCTTCTGGGGCCATCGAGAAGCTGTCGGACATGTGCTAACCAGGTTCCGCAGGAGGAGAGCCCCGCCGAGGAGAGCAAGGAGGAGGAAGAGGAGGAGGAAGAAGAGGAGGAGGAGGAGGAAGACGAGGAAGAGCTCGTCGACCCCAAGGAGAAGCTCGAGGAAGGTCGGTTTTGCCCCCTTCGTCTTTTCGATCGATACATCGCGACACTCGGCCGATGACGCGCACATGAGCAATTTTATATGCGTGCTACGGAGCCGGAGCGGACGTCACCGGACAACCGCGGAAGCGGGAGGACACACGTGAGGATATCGATCAAGTCCATGCTGACGATCTCCCACAGAGTGCAAGGAGTCCAAGGCTTGCGCACCGGCCAAGCACCACTACGACGAGTGCGTCGAGCGCGTCACCGCGGCCGCCGACTCCGAGGAGGGTGCCAAGGAGGACTGCGTCGAGGAGTGTAAGTTGCCAAAACAGCAATCATGTCGGCATCTTGCCGGACAAGATGGGTATAATTATCCTGTCGAGGCCACTGCTGACATCCGCCCAGTCTTCCACCTCGCCCACTGCGCCACCGCGTGCGCCGCCCCTAAGCTCTGGGCCCAGCTCAAGTAAACGTGCCGCCCTCCTCCTCAACCACGATAATACGCGAAGCGTGGGCGGACGGTTTCACCTGTCAATGATATACGACAACGAATCGGAACGGCATCGGCATTAGAATCTTTTTTAGAAAGTTGTGGGGCCGCGCGAAAAGAGAAGAAACGCAATGCCGAGACGAGACGATCCCGTCTAGCAGCAAAGCTCAAACTCGTTGATCCCCCTCTTACCGGGCGGAATCGACACACTTGTACCGCAAATGATGATACGTCAGGCTTGGTCCACGGCTCTGTTACGGGCCTGGCCGGGTTCGACGTGGCATCGACACATTTGTCTTTTGTACCATAGGCATCGCCCGCAATAGATTCCTCTTGATTTACTACGCGGCTGCATCGTTATCGAATGGGCTCGCCGACCAGGAATGGTGCCGAGGCTCGCGTTGAGCCATACGTGCTGGGATGGCAGATCGCAGCTGGAGTTTTGAGAACTGACTGACTTACATAGGCACAGCTAGGACACAGGTTCGCCTCACGAGTCTAATCGCTCCAGGGTCGTCTTAGGGCTGTTCAAAGCAGATCAGCAGTGAACGGAGCTTCGATTGGCCTGTCGTAGGAAACGTCAGAATTCTCTGAGGGACTTGCCAGCGGGAGTCCAAGTGGCGCGATGAAGGGCCAGAGAATGGAGCTGGATGCAGGATATATGCTCCTGTGCGGCGAAGCGACCGACCGCTAGATCCTGCTGGGAAACGAGTTCTTCATCGTCGAGTGCGCAGCAGTCATGAAGCTCAAGAAGGCTCTTTTCCGACAGCACTTTGAACATTCACATTGGCCTTTGGACACCATCAGCAACACCTCCTGCACATCATTTCTCGGTGGCATATCAAGCAACGCTGATCCCGGGCTCGACCAAAAAAGAAGTTCGGATGGGGTTGCCGTTCCCTGTGAATGAGCGGCCGGGTTTAGATTCCCCAATGCGATGCAATCGGCCGAGAGGCGGTCCAATCACGCCTCGGTCACCAGGTGCCCTTTTCGTCCCCGCACGCTGGTCAAGTGGTTTAGACCCGATTAGGTCGAGCAATTCTCGGTTCCAGCCAACAAATGGCCTGCCTTTTCTGCGACACCACACCAGCAAGCAAACTCATCTCCCTCGGCTCTGGATGAGGGTACGGATATCTGCAGGGTCGGAATTGCACGACGTGACATGTGCGCAGGTATTACCTTATCGAGTCCGAAGAAGATTCATGGAAAGAATTGGGTTCGAGGCTCGTTCGTTGGTGTTTATGCGACGGTTCGTTGACCGGCCAGATGGTGTGTGTTCCTCGCATTAACCGGTTCGGTTCCCCTCCGTTCATGTCACCAACTCTAACGCGACATCAGTTGGATTACTAGCGCTGACTGAACTCTCGCTTCGCCCTGGATCTAAGTAAGCATGGAATGAGAAGACGCGAGGTGGATTAACGCTAGGTCCCCTCCCCCTTCGACTGTCCAACATGAAGCACGCGCGGCCGGGGAGCTCAGCCGGAAGAGTGGGCGGGACGAGTGTGGTCTGGTCATCACTCAATTCCCAGCGTCCATCAGTTCCAGACTTTTTCGCTTTTCGTGGGTGGGATTTCCGTTGACCCAGCTACTTTTATACGTAGAGGTATCATACAATTAATGACAAAACACCTCATAAATCTCTCAGTACTTAGAAAGCTATAGCTATATTCCGTCTCGTAAGGTTCGCAATCGCAAGCCATAATAACCTTAATAGCCATAAAGAGATTTCAGATAACCCTGGGAGTCTTGATCATGAGTGGGTAGGATTTCGTTACCATCGGCTAAGGTATGCAGCATTTACCATATCTCCCAATTGTCCAAAAAGAGAATGCAACACCAACAAAAGCACCATGCAACGACAGGGCCTTTCGTCCCCTCCTCACCCTGCCCCCGGTCACGTCCATTCAGCCCTTTGGTATATCACCCGACCCGATCCCCCAAGTCCCTTTCCTTCGTCCTCTTGGCCTTCGGCTTCTCCCATCCCCAAATCGTCGGGACCATCCGTCCCACGACAGACAGACACAACACTACCAGACGGACAGACTCTGAGACGCCCGAGACAAGCAAGCCTTCGCCAGGACTCCCCGCCAAGACAAAGCTAGGATCTCCCGCGCCCGCTAATCCACACGCCCACGCCACCCCTGTCCGTGGTGACCTCTCTCTCAAAAATGCCCTTCTCCCGCCGTCCCAAGACCCCAGAGGTCTCACACGACCTCAGCAACGACAACGACAACACGGCCGCGGCAATCACCACCCACGACAGCAACAACTCCTCGACAGACGCCGCCGCCGAAAAGAAGACGGCCGCCATGCCGTCCCACAACGGCTTCGGCAAGCTCGGCGACGACGAGCACGACCTGCACGCCCGGAACGGCGCGCCCACGGCGGCGCGGGGCGTCGCGGCCGACGGCGAGGACGACGACGACGACAACAACAGCGTCCTCGAGGGCACCGCCACCGAGTACCGCACCTACAAGCGCCGCTGGTTCGGGCTGGCCCAGTTGACGCTGCTCAACATCATCGTGTCGTGGGATGTGAGTTGTTTTCTCTTTTTTCCTGCTGTCTCGGACGGATCGGGACTTCCCTTCGTCAGCAGTGTAATTCGTGTCTCGCTGCAAGCCACATCTACAATCTGCACATCAGGCGACGAATGACATATCACCACCACCACCGCATACATATCTACATACAAAATCACAAGAGAAAGACTGACACTCCCACCAGTGGCTCACCTTCGCCCCCGTAGCCTCGAATGCGGCGACCTACTTCTCCGTCTCCGAGTCCGCCATCAACTGGCTCTCCACGTCCTTCCTCTTCGCCTTCGTCGCCATCTTCCCCCTGACCATCAAGATCCTCCACAAGGGTCCCAAACCCTCCTTCATGACCGCCGCCGCCCTCATCCTCGTCGGCAACTGGGTCCGCTACGCCGGCGCCCACTCCCGGTCCGGCGGCAACTACGGCGTCGTCATGTTCGGCCAGATCCTCACCGGCCTCGCCCAGCCCTTCGTCCTCGCCGCCCCGACACGCTACTCGGACCTCTGGTTCACCAACCGCGGCCGCGTCGCCGCCACCGCCCTCACCTCCCTCGCCAACCCCCTCGGCGCCGCCCTCGGCCAGCTCATCGTCCCCTTCTGGGTCGCCTCCCCGGCCGACGTCTCCTCCGGCGTCCTCTGGGTCTCCGTCATCTCGACCGTCGCCTCCCTCCCGGCCTTCTTCATCCCCGCCCGCCCCCCGTCCCCCGTCGCCCCCTCCTCCCAGACCCTCAAGCTCGGCATCAGGGACTCGTTCCGCCTCATCTCCCGCTCCCTCGAGCTCTGGCTCGTCCTCGTCCCCTACGCCTTCTACGTCGGCTTCTTCAACTCCATCTCCTCCCTCCTCAACCAGATGATGAACCCCTACGGCTTCTCCGACGAGGAGGCCGGCATCGCCGGCGCCCTCCTCATCGTCGTCGGCCTCGTCGCCTCCGCCATCACCTCCCCGATCCTCGACCGCACAAAGGCCTTCCTCCTCGCCATCAAGACCGCCGTCCCCGTCATCGGGATCTGTTACCTCGTCTTCGTCTGGATGCCCGAGACGCGCAACATCGCGGGGCCCTACGTCGTCCTCGCCATCCTCGGCGCGTCCTCCTTCTCCCTCGTCCCCGTCGCCCTCGAGCTGCTCATCGAGCTGAGCCACCCCATCAGCCCGGAAGTCACGAGCACCATTGCCTGGGCCGGCGGCCAGCTCCTCGGCGCCATCTTCATCATCATCTCGGACGCGCTGCAGGCCGGCGACACGGCCGACCCGCCCAGGAACATGAAGAACGCGCTCGTCTTCCAGGCCGTCGTCGCGCTGGTCATCGTGCCGCTGCCGCTGTTCCTGGGCCTGTTCGGCAGGGGTGACAGGGTGAGCCTGCGGCGTGTCAGGTCCGACGAGGCGGGGCAGCGGGCGGCGTAGGTGGTGGAATGTGAATTAGTATTATTACTTGTAATTTCTTAGATACCATTTTTATTTTTTATTCACACCGCAAAACGCCTTCATGCCTTGCCGTTCACGTGCGTCGTGCCCCCGCGAATGTCGAGGAACTCCTCCCACTGCCTCCTCAGCCGCTCCATCTCCGCCCACACTGTGCACCCCAGCTCCTCGAACTCCACGAGCTGGTCCGGCGTGAGGTCCCTCGCCGCCGGGTGCCGGCCCACGGCTTTCCTCAGGACACCCGTCGCCGGGTCCCTCGCGAGGCTCTCCCGGTCCTCGACGGCGCCCTCCCACCCCCACCCCTCGACCTCGGTCTTCTTCACCTCGGCGCGGCCCGTGACGCTGGCCGCGCTGCCCCACTTGATCTTCTCGGCGTCCAGCTCCTTGAGCGTCTCGTCGTCCTGCAGGGTGATCCACACGGGGGCGACGGCGCCGCCGTACCAGGTGACGGGGTGCCAGGGGGAGCCGAGCCAGCGGGCGAGGTAGAGCGCGAACTTGTAAGCCCAGAAGAGGATGAAGGGGAAGGGGACGGGGAAGAGGTTCGACGCGACGACGCCGGGGTGGGTCAAGTAGAAAGAGGGACGAACTGGGAGTCTGCGCGCCGTGTCCTCCTCCTCGGGCGTGAAGTAGCTCTGGGAGATGCGCTGCGTGCTGGGGAGGTGGGAGGTCAGGGCCAGGATGTCCGTGAGCCGCTTGGAGCTCTCGTACGGGCCCTCCGTCTCGACGCCCTGGAAATCATCCAGGCGGAAGTGCCGGGCCAGCGGCTCGATGCTGCTCGTCCAGACGACCCTGCCCGGGGTCTCATCCGGCGAGGCTCTGCTCAACAGGGGAAGTAGCTCGTGTGCAAAAACATAGTGGCCAAAGACGTTCGCGCAAAAGACTTCCCCGAGGACGGGGCTGGAAGGCTTGGTATCGTAAGCGGAGGCGTGGGCTAGGGGGTTATCGGGGGATTCGTTAGGTACCAGGTCGGAGCGGACGGGTCGCTGGTTCAGGACGGCGCCGGGTCGGGCGAGCTTGAAGCTGGGCCACGTGAGGACGGGGAGGAGGCCCTTTGTGAAGAGGGAGGTGAAGAGGCCGGCCCAGTCGAGGCCGGTCCAGCCGCCGAAGCCGGCGTTGAAGATGATGCTGTCGAGGCGGGGGATTCGGCGGGGGTACGCGTTCGGGTCGGTCGGGTCGGTGATGTGGCCCGCGACGAGGGTGGTGGCGCAGGCGTAGATGGAGGGGAGGTCGCAGAGGTCGAGCTGGAGGGAGAGGAGGTGGACGCGGGAGGTGGTGTCGTCGGGGTGGTAGTCGGGCCCGGCGCGGGAGCGGAGGGAGGTGGATGTCGTCGCCGTGCGGTCGAGGTGGAGTTTGAGGGAGGAGATTGTTTCGCGGGACTTGCGGACGGAGCGGGTTGTCGGGATGAGGATCAGGTGGGAGGTTAGGGAGCGTGTGGAGAGGAAGTCGTCGATGAGGCGTTCGCAGATTCCGAGGCCGACGCCGCTGTAGTCCTGTTAGCTGTGATAATTACGAGGAAGAACAGAAGCAGACGATACCTGTTTGCGCCGGTGACGAGCACGAAGAGCTGGTCGCGGGGAGGGACCCTGTCCCAAGGAGCGGCGATCATGATGGTCTCACTGGTTCAATTGGCGATGGCTTGCTGGAAACGAGTGGGGAAAATGCCTGTCAGAGTCAAAGAACGGGAGGAGAAGAAGAAGAAGGAGGGAGTGTAGGAGAATGGTGAACCGTGGACGTCACGGTGCGTCGTGGGGTGTTTGGCGGTGAGACTGGTCTTATCACAGACCCGACGCTTCACAATAAATTTCGGACGGGGCCCCTAGGGGAGGAGCTACCTCAGGAGCAAGCACTTTAAGGTTGCTACCCTTTTAGGAAATCGCGGCGACGGCCAATGCGGACCCGCGGAAACCTCCGCCCCATCCCCGGTCCACGTCTTTTGACATCCGCGAGAACCGGCGTTCCGCGTATGGATGTTTGTCAAACGGCGAGCCGGGTGAGACGACTTCCGCGTGGTTCGAGGGGGCGCAGTACCTTAGTACAACACCAACGCCGCTCGGGACAGTGGCTTCCACATGGTGTCATCTGTTGGTGAAGGATTCTGGGCTCCTGGGTTAGCTGAAAGACATGATGGAATTCGGTTTTAGGCGAATCGGTACCTGTCAGATTACGTGCAGATCGATCGACGGCAGGATTTGATTGGTTAATTGAGCGTCAAATCGGGTCCGAAAGAGCCGAATACTAAGAGGGACCCGAATACGGATTCGAGACGCGACGGTTTGGTGGTGGTAACCAGGTATCTTAAGTTGTCTAGAGATAGAGCAGCAAATGAAATTTTGTTCTGGTCACGTTGCGAGCTTTGGGCCATGACACCAAACGGTGTGAATTGATTATTCGAGTCAAATCCCCGCGTCAGGTCCACCAAGGACCTGAATTTCAGACTGAAGAGGTCAAAACTAGCTTTGAATTTGGATTCCAATATGGTTACACTCACTCCCGCGCCTCCCTACCTACGAACACAATATTTCAACGGAATGGAGGAAAGGCCTGCCAATGGCTCCTACGCTTTTCGTCGATACTCTAAGTTGTCCGGTATGCAAACCCGTCTTTCCAGTACTCATACAGAGATTTCGCATAAGTACCCAGTCCTCGCGCATCGCGGCCTTATAAATGTCCTGCTCTAGGTTGGTCTTTTCCACCAAATAAAACTTGAAATTCGCGTTTAGACCAGTCCAGCAAAACATGATAAAGTGATCGGCTTTGCCCAATAGATGGGGTTTCTTAAATTCGACGAAGGCCGCGAAGTCATAGAGTTTCATACTACTGAGCCCGTAGCTCACAGCATTCCACTCTTCCATGGGCATAGCCTTAACGAGGTCAACACCACATCCCAATTTGAACTCAATTGTAAGAGGGCGCCTCAGACCAACCGCCTGGGATGTGTGAGTGGCGTCGACATGTTTCTTGATGAAGTATGATTTCTTGATTTTCTTCGGCATCGAAATTCTGTCAGACAATTCTTCCCTCGCCATTCTGGCAGTCGATTTCCATAGCTCGTTGCTGCTCATAAGACTGGTCGTGTATCCTCTGGCGAACACACACTCCTCGTGGGTACCAGAATATGGTACGAGAATGATTCCGAGGTCATCTTGAGAAGCCTGTTCGACTTGGCGGCACCCAAGGCTCAAGAAATAGCAGTGCAGCGTCGCAAAGCGAGTGTGAGTCCTCAGCTGGATGCTCTCGGCGGTTATTCGGAGTCCCTTGTTCGTCATGACAAACTTGAAGCTACTGTTAACTTCGCTGACATATTGCAAGACAAGTTCTCCGCGCATATAATGCCTACTCAACGTACCTCGGGGTTCGTATCTATGCCTCGGCTCCATTTTAGATCTTTTGAGTTCTTGAACTCATCCGGTGAAGTGGCCAAAATTCCTCGGTGTTGGGGGGCATCTAGCGCATGATCGAAGGGGGCGCCTGTGTCATATGTCCAAGCAAACAAGGTGAGATCGTTCGTCTCTTTGACGATTTCCTCCTGGAGACGTATGAAGGCACGATCTCCTTCCCCGTAAAGCAAAGGCATATTTACCCCGAATAGACCCAGAAGACTGTAGGAACGATCCTCGTCTCTAGTCGTTTCCCGTGCAGATGCCCAAGACATGCGAACCGCCACGGGGAATTCATCGAGTTGTTGTCGAATTCCAAAGCCGTCTGGAAACAAATGACTAAGAACTTTTTCGCTAATCCCAGTCCGTCGATGTATAACCTTGGAAAAGCTTGCGCGCGATCCGATTCGATTCCAGCTGGAGTTGAAGAACCATACTTGAACCGGGGCAATGAGCTCCTGCAGTGTCCAACCTCGAGTGAACCACAAAGATCTCTCTAGGGGGGCACTATCGTCCACATCGGATAGATAGGCATAGCAGACGTCAGACCTGGCGTACCAGTTGAACATGGAGTTGATCGCCTCAGTCAACTCGCTAAAGTCCTGTTTATTGATACAGCAGGTGTCGACCCAGACATATTCAAGCCTTTGGACAAGTGCGAGCTCGCACGTCTTGCGGATCTTGGCCCAGCCGCGCTTTTGCGACCTGACCTCTTCGTCGAGAAGGTCTTGGTAGGTGACTTCTTCTTCCTCCCATCTGTGCGATAGAATGGCATATTTTGGGATTTTGGAACCGAAGAATTCCTCGATTTTGAGGGTTTTGGCATTGAGGAGCTTCATTCTGGCAACGACGGGCAGGGGTGATGGTTGGAGTTATGCTGAGGCGAAGGTTTTAAGACGATGGTGAGAACGAGTAAGCAGAATGATTGAAGCTATGCTGAAGCGATGTGTTTCGGACGAGGGCGGATGCGAGAATACTTCTACACAAGAAGCATTTGAGGCCAGATGGATTTCCGCGGGGTTTATGTCGAGGGGAAGTCAGCCTGATCCCAGATCGAATGAGCGAGAAAGCTGAAAATCGTTGCTGACACAAGGCAGCATTCAGGCTCGCGTCGTCGGCCTATGGGGGCGCGGCTTTCACAAGTCATCCAGCATGTGTTGGGCCAATGATGTAGCGCTACGCGACACCCATACGCAGGCGATGATCTAGACTCTACATGTTGCTTTTGGTACAAATACCTGATAACAATGGTGTTGGGTCCAATGTCAAAGTGCGAATTGCCTTGAGTGAGAAACTTGAAGTGGTATTATATAATTATGAAACGCTACGTTAAGTAAGTACTGCCTCTCCTCAACCCCTCAAGACCATCTACGCGGCCTTGCAAAGACGACCATCGCTCTTGACAGTCCAGTCATCGCTGCCAACACCCGTGAGGGCGTAGAAAGTGCTGCAAGGGTCGTAGATCTTCTTGATGGCCTTGAGCTTGGCGTAGTTGCCGCCGTAGAAGACGCTCTGCCAGTCGGCCTCGTTGCGGTCGGCCTCGTTGAGGTACGCGCCGCCGCCGGGGTTGAGCTTCTCCAGGATGGGGATGATGGTGTTGGTGACGGTGGTCTGGCCGGAGGTGAGGGTGGAGAAGTCGGCGCGGTCGTAGGGACTAAGGGTTAGTTAGTGAGTGGTCTTATGGAACAGATGTGTTGTTTGAGGGGCAAGACTCACGTTCCGACGACGGCGGAGAAGAGGGCCGTACGCCAGTCGGGGTTCACGGCGTTGGGAATGGCACCGGAGGGGCGGGCGACGTTGATGGTGAGACCGGAGACGATACCGCCGGCGCTGAGGATGGATGCAAGGCCGTCGACGAGAGCGGTAGCGGAGGCATCATCGGCAACAAGAGTGCGGGGCATGAGACGGCCACCGACGTTGAACTCCGTGACGGCGGGCTCGGGGTTCATGTCGTTGTAGCTGTCCAGGTACGTGGCGTACTGGCCGATGTGGTAGTCTATTCGCGTTAGTTCATCCTGTCTCAAGCACATGTGATAACAAACTCACCATAAGTAATACCAGCAGCATCGAGGGCATCAAGAGTGGGCTGGAGCAGAGCCTGGAGCTCCTCCTTCTTCAATCCAGGGGCAGTGGTGGGCTGCATCAGGAAGACACCAGGGCTCATGAGCCAGATGCTGACAGCGCCGGCATCAACAATGCTGGGAAGAGTCTTGAGGTAGCTCTTGACAGCGCCGTAGAAGACCTCATCGGTGACACCGGTGTTGGTGAAAGTGAGGTTGGCGGAGGAGGTGATCATGTCAGGGTAGGCCTTGACAGTCATGGACAGAACAGCGGCGTAGACACCACCACCGCCACCGGACAGAGCCCAGTAGAGGTCGGAGTAGGCAGTGGGAGTCGCAACGATGGTCTGGCCTCCAGAAGTAACAACCTCCCACTCCAGGACCTGGTCGGCACCAAGACCGTACTTGGAGACCAAAGGTCCGTGGCCACCACCCTGGGTGTAGCCTCCCGCGAGTCCAACAGTCGGGCTGTTACCGCCGACGACGACGAGTCCCTGGGCGTGAGCAGCAGCCTGGGCCTCGCCGGCTTGCACACCGGCACCGACCTTGACCGCCTTTCCGGTGTAAGCGGCAGACTTGTAGTCAAGGACCTTAATGTCCTTGAGGTGGTGAGTCCACAGCGCCAGAGCACCCGCGCCGGTGGACTTGCCAAGGTAGTCGTGGCCGGTGTTGCGGATAACCAGACGGATGTTGTTCTCCTGGGCGAACTTGATAGTGGCGCTGTAGTCGGCGGCGCTGGCGGCCTTGACGGCGTACTGGACGTAGGTTCCGATGATGCAGCGGTCCGAGGGCTGGAGGAAGGGGTCGCAGCTCTGGTTGGCGAAGAAGGCGGCCATGACGGACGACGAGGTCTGGATGTGCGTCTCGGAGCTGGCCCAGGCGGACTTGAGCGCGGTGCACTTGGCCTCGTCGTAGGCGCCGAAGGAGCTGTCGTGGCAGACGGCGCCGATCGGGACGGTGGCGACGAGGCGGCCGCCGACGGTCGAGTTGAAGGCGTCCCACTCCGCGGCCGTGGGCCAGCAGTCTTCGCCGGGGAAGCAGCGGCAGGTCGAGTCCCTCTCGGCGAGGTCGTTGCCGAAGGAGCCGCCGGGCTTTCCGACGGAGACGGCGGAGACGATCGCCGGAGCGAGGGTGAGGAGGTTAAGGAATGACACCATCTTGACTTGACTGGGAGAACCGCCGGGAGAAGGGGAAGGGTAGCGAGAGACTGAGGCGAGGGAGGTGAGGAAGGGAAAACTTCACGATGCAACTCTAGGCTTCACGCTGCATATTTAAGAAGGCACCTCCGACGAACTTCGCATGCCAACTGGAAATGAGATCCCGACCTGACCGGGAGACTCAGACGATGGTTTGATTAGCACCCATGCCAATATTGACTGGCAGTGTAGTTATGGCCCACGACTCCAACGCACTCTCGATGGTTTTGTGGAAAGAAACTTTTAAGCTATTGGAAAGAAAGGGTCCAACCCGGCATTCTCCTGACTCTTCACCCTGCGAACTCGTACGAAATATTGGCCGCAACGGGGCCGAAAGCCGCGTGGCATTGCTGGATGCCAGCCAAGTTGTAAGTGATCGGTCGGTCGGCAGCGCGTTGACCTTCTCCCATGGCCGAGGAGAGGAAGAAGTGGACGAGGGGGGAGTATTCCAACCTGCAATCTGCCGTATGGGAAAGCCGGCGCGGGATTCTGCCTAGATGCGGAGACTCACGGACGGTGCGTGTACTATGCAGGTGAAGACGGTCCCCAAGAGCTCATGTGAGCTAATATAGGCAGGTAACATCGCAGCAACCCTCTTTAGGGATCGTCCCTGACACGCGTGTTGTGGGAGATGCAAGGATGGCTACGTTACCCGTCGAGTTGACGACGGAGACACTAACATGGTTGGTGGGCTGCCAAGGTCCTCAGCTGTAGGCCGGCCCTGCTCTCACAAATGATAGAATGCTTGTCAACGGTTCATCCAAAAGCAAGTGTGTGTGTGCGATTGTGTGGGTGGTTGTTTGGAGGTATCCGTAGACATGGTTGTCTGCAGTTCTGGTGCAGCTGGTGCAGTTGGGACCGGTGTGGCACCGCATGGAAGGTTGACCCCGGCCGCTCCGGATTAGCGGACGGAAGCCGAGTCCGGTCGGAGGTCCAATGAGCCGGCGGCGCTAGGCCCCGTGTGCCGTGTGTTGTGTCAGCATTTCAACTTCAACACCATCTTCTTTTTGTTTTCTCCCGACACTAAAACACCTCACGAGCCAAGTGATCCTCCCGTCAAACTACGGTTTGCGCTAAGAAAAGTGAGTGAATTTCTACAGGAATCTGATCGGTAGGTTCCCTCCGGTGAATCTCGAATTAAGTCAAATAACGCCCCTGGCGCCGCGCTTGAGGAATCCTGGCTTCCCGCGGGCCGCTCCCTGCGACTGCTTGACTCGTGATCCCTGTTCGACAACAGATCACGCACGTCAACTATTCGATAACAACCCTTCCCCCTCAATCAACTTCACCCGATTCTTACCCGGTGTCGTTATCTCTCATGACTCGTAAGTGTCTTGTGCCAAACCGTTCCAACCAACTCCTTCCTCTTCAACTCAACCGTCCAACACGTGCGATATCCTATCCTTTCCCGTTGTCCGTCCGCGTCCCGTCCGTCACTTCTCACTCACACGTGCCCAGACGACACGAAACCGTCACCGACGAGCGGCAGGGAATACAGACACACCGTCCACAGGCACCACAGCCTCCACGCCCGGGCATCCGTTTCCGGCGTCCTGGTCCGGAGGACTCCGACCACCACCAGGGCGCCAGAGACCACCGGCGGCAGCACACCCCACGACGCCATGCGCCAGAAGTAGACGCACACGCAGGACCACAGGGGCACCAGCACCGCCAGCGACGCGCGAGACGCCCCGTCCCCGAAGAATAGGGGCATCGTCTCGCGCCCGCGCCCTGCGTCCCCGGCCTGGTCCTTCAGGTCCTGCACCTGCATCGTCGTGAGGATCACGGCGCTGATGATGCCCGCCCAGACGTAGCCCTCCCGCGTGATGCCGACGGCGCTGCTGCTGCTGCTGCTGCTGCCGCCGTCGGTGCCTTCCCCGATGGCGATCTTGAGCGAGGCCGTGTTGAAGAGGAAGTAGGCCACGGCGATGATGGCGTCCCGGAGGAGCGTGTCGCCGCCTTGGAGGTCGTTGTACAGCCACGTCAGGATGAGGATGAAGACGCCCTCCCTCCACACCCCGAGGACGTAGTTGAAGACGAGCACCGCGGGGATGGCCACGAGCATCGACCTGCGCGTCTGCTCCTGCGTCACCTTGCCCGCCGGTATGGGACGCCACGGCTTGTTGGCGAGGTCCTCGGCCACGGACTCGGAGCTTCTCTGGTTGGCCAGGTCGAAGATGAGCACGCTGTACCAGTTGAAGGCGACCACCAAGGGGAACCTCTGCAGCACGGCGAGCGCCGTCGCCTGTCCCGAGGTCAGGGGCTGGCCGGTCAGGCCGCCCAGGACGCCGAAGGCTGTGTTGGGCACGACAAAGGTGGAAAAGTTGCTCTCGGTAAAGTCCCAGATCAGACGAGGGACTCTGAGGAACGTCTTGATGCTGCTCCTGCTGCTGCTGGTCGACGAAGGCTTGCTGGGTGCCGCGTCGTCCTCAAACGAGGAGCGTTTGAACGTGAGGGGAGAGTGTTCCCCAATACCCGGTTGTGACATGATGGTCCCGTTCTTTGCGTCTGCTCTGTTCAAGGGGATAGATGAGATGTGGATGAGAGTGTTCCGGCAGTCTGGTTCGACCGACGACAACAGCGTGGATGGAGCGACGGATGTGGTTCTCATATGCCTTTCAAGAAGAAGTCTTCCGAGGGCTCTAGTTAAAGGGACGACCCTCGAGGTCCAAGTCCCAGAAACCTCATGCTCCATCGCCGACGCCCGGGACCGTGGCAAAACGTCCTCCGCTTCATCACCCACCGAAGCTCATGACCGTGTCATGAAGAACCGGATATCCCAAGACGACGTCGATGTTAAATTGTTAAGAGGTACATCTGGCTGCCTCCCCGGTCCCGACGACGACGCTGCGTGAGGGCATCACAACCGCCTGCTGCTGTGGGTGACATCTCTGCGGCAGGCACTATGCAATATGCGGAAACCCCTGGACGATGATACATACCCCCATTGTAAACGAAGTGAGGCAAATAACTTGCAATTCAATATAGAGACGTTGTGTGCCATGGAAGCGCAGCACGCGGTTCGGTTTAAACATGGGACCCCTTTGGGAAACGTTCCTTGAAGCGGTTTCCGTTTAAGAGTCGTCACATTTGACGCGGATGGGCAGTCTGGGAATGCATTCCCAAAGTCTAATAACCGCGGTCTTGGTTTTCTTGGTTCTGGACAATTGTGGATTTCGGGTCTTGTTTGTGGACATGGTCTTTAAACACCGTCTCTCTGTGTCTACCTTACATGGTGGACGCGTCTCTCACCGGTGGTGTTACCACACCGTCGCAACTAGCTCGATGGACCTTGGCCCCAGCCCATCGAAAACTCGCATGTTTGTTAGATAACACGATCCATAGATTGCAAAAGTCTATTAAAGAGGCAGGTACCGAATTGTGGGGGTTTTTATCACAGGGCGACGTTGGACGGGGGCGGGTGGTTCTCTATCTCGCAAGGTCTTCGCAAACGGGCTGGTGTGTCTTGGTGAAATGGCAACTCATCGTGAGGGTTGTTCCTCGGATTTGGCTCTCCTCACACCGTCTATCCGAGACTGCGCGCACGTGTACCCGAACGGATGCGACCGTAGCTCCCTCTCCGCCAGGCTCTTTGACTAAGCGGATCGAGTTTCCTGACGAACCGTCAGTCATGCCGAAGGGATATCCCAAGGTGTTACCTCAGTAGAGGGGCTGGGTGTGGTCCCCGCCATGGTTTTGGGTCTGGATCGTCCCATTTTCGGATGGCATGGGAGACCATGTTCCTGGGGAACTGAGAACCCCTCTGGACCACAGACGACAGAGTCGGGCTGCCGTTCTCCGAGCGATGATCGACAGGACCGTGTGCGCTTGTGCTCCGAGGCGAGCTTTCGAATGTGGGCGTGGGAAAGTCTATTGGTAAATCTCCCGGAAGTCTTTTACGCGATGTTGGCGAGGTCTAGACGCAAGCAATTTGGGACCCTGGTGTGAATCATTGTGTGTGTTGTTATTTTTGAAGAATAGAGTACACGAGTGTTGGGTACAGAAGATAGAGAACAAACAGAAACATTAACAAAGCAGATAGAAAAAAAGGCCCAGAATGGCAGTGTATACAACATGTCTCGTATCAAAACCTCATATCCCTCGTGAAACCAGCTCTCACTTCTTCTTTCTCGTCATTGTCTCCGCTCCCACGAGTCCTGCGACGTGGTGATGTCCTGCTGGACGTAAATCACCGGCCGGCTGTCTCTCGGCGCCTCGCCGCCGGGGGCGTACTGGCACTTCGTCGTGACGGCGTGCTCGCCGGCAGCCACCTTGCCGCCGCCGCGCTCCAGGTCGACGTACGAAACGTTGTCGCCGAGCTTGTCGTAGTTCCTGCGGGTGCCGTGCCTGCTGCTCTGCACGCTGGAGAGGTCCTTGAGGTTGATGTTGCCGCGGTCGGTGGACGGGTTGGTCAGCTTGGAGCCGATCTTGGCGACGGCCGGCTTGACGTAGGTCTTGAGCAGGGGGCCGAGGGTGGGCAGGCAGGCGATGACGATGCCGATCCACAGCTCCAGGAGGCTGATGAGGCCGATGTCGTGCAGGTTGTAGACGAAGTCGGTGTCACCAATGGTGGTGACGGTATTAATGAGACGCCAGATCATGATCGCGATGGTCCTATTGCTATTAGTAAAAGTCGCTATCTAAGCAGCACGAAGTTCTGTACTTACAAGAATCCCATGCCGAACATGGCGCTGACGGCAATCTTGTTCCGCAGGGGCATCTGAAGACCCCAGAGCGCCGGCATCGGGAGGACGGTCATGGCCACGTCAACGATGATGTTGATGGTGACGGAGACGATCTGGTCGATGGTGATGTCACGGCAGTGGCCGCCCTCGACGGGAGCCCACTGCTGCGACATGGGCGTGCAACGGCTCATGAAGAGGATGAGGAAGGCGACGCCGTAGGCGCCCACGACGCCCATCAGGATGCGCGACCATCGCTTGAACTGCGCCGTGGCGAAGATGCGGGTGTACATCCACAAGATGGCGAACTTGATGAAGATGGTTCCCAGCAGCCAAGTGACGCCACTAGCTAGAATGAGCTGTACGAATGGTGTAAGCCAATTATGTGACGCGGGAGAGGTAGATCATGAAGGAGCAGGATCGTGGAGGAATAGGATTTTGGGGGCGTAGGATCTCATACCTTGAACTGAACCGCATACTCGGGAAGCGTGAGCTCAATGGTATGTTTGCCCAAACCATTGTAAATAGCCCAAATAACCACGCCTTCTAACGCAACGATGTTCGCCTATGTCCAAGTCAGTCAAGTATAAGTCAGTGTGAGAGATCAAAGACTTACAAAAGCGAACCCAATCATGGCATCGTCCCAGTAGAACCCTCTCCTCATCATCCGCGCTGCCCAGAAGCGCAAGCATAGGACCACGGCATCAAACACCGTAAAGACAACGATCCATACCAACAGGGCAATGCCCCTCGAACCAGCGCCGGGCATGGCGGGCAACAGCAAGCAAGCAGTAGCAAGAGGCTGAAATTCGAACCAACAGGAAGAGGAAGCGCGCTTGTTGGAAGGCGTCGGGATGTCAAGAAGCCTGTTGGTGCAAGTTCAAACCTTGAAAAAGGATCCAACAACTACCGCCGAGGCGCAGGCCTAGATCGCGGGGGGTCGAATCAATCTTATGTGAGAGAAGGTCCAGTTCTCGTCTCTGGCTTGTCTAATTCCGAACTCAGTCGAAATCCATATCACATTCAGTCTAAGAGAAATCCCTCCCTCCACACACTCATAATACACACCATCAGCAGGTCACTCTTTCGAAACGTGGACTCCCGACTATCAATCACATATCGGCAGGAGAATTGCAGAAAAAAGAGTGGACGAGGGCCGGTCGATGAGACACAAGTCGATGTGACCCTATTCGCGGTGGTTCCCAGCTTCGGTCATCTGAGCCAAGGTTTGACCCAAGTCTCCAAGTCCCCTTGCCATATTGCTGTGCCGCCGTGCCTTGCAGTAAGGTACTTTACTCTTGCCGTGGTGTGTGCGTGTGTGTGCCATAGTTTCTTTTCCCGCGTCAACCCATCTCCATTCCAATATCCAAAGGGTACCGGCGAGGCCACCTTAATCGGATCGCGTCTCCTCTCTTCACCCTCTCTCATCCGATCGGAGAGAGACTAGTGTATAAGAAAGATGGGATGACACGAATCAGTATCTGTGAAGCTAAGGTAAGAAGGGAGCCGGCATAAACTGCACCTGCATGACACTGCAGAGGTCATGATCCATCTCTCCACACACTCAAACTTGCAGCTGCAGCAGCAACCTCGAACGCAATACTAGGTAATTATCTCGTTCGTCTTTTGGGACCAACCAGCCGCCTGGTGTTGCTGCACGTGTGGGTATCCGTCGATGGTTTTGCCACTTTTTTCTTGTCGATGGTGACAACTTTCCCAGGACGTCCCCTCTTTCTCTGAGATGTGATCGGAATTCAGTGTAAGTCGATGGTCCTGGCCGGAGCAGAATCATCCTGACTCCGCAACTCTCTCTCTCTCAAGTTTACTTCCAACCCCCAGCCACTCCAGGGTTGTGACTTGCAAGGTCCCTTGTCTCTTCCGTCAACGGTGAGGTTCCCGCTTTTGCTGTGTATTCTTGCAGGGATTCAAAGACCAGCCCACCCCCGAAGTTGGAAATGCTCTGTCTTCAGGTTTCGAGGTGTGGGGGGGAGTTTCGAAGTGGAGTTGCTGCAAGTAGTTGATATATCAAAGTTTCTTGATCCTTGTCCGACTTCCACTCACACACAACGTTGACCGAGATCCACACCCCGGTTCCCTCATGTGAAAGACAGGGCGTCAACTCTGCATGGCATGGTGTTCTCTCTCTCTCTCCATGTCTTCAGCACCGCCGCAGCTGCAGCTGCAGCTGTAATGTAGCAGCACCGTCGCCGCGCGGCGCGGCTGTTGTGCCTTTCACGGCGCACCATCCCTCTCCCATGGTCTTGCCTACCGCGGTTGGCCTTCTAATCAAATGCCGCGCCGCGCCTTGCCTTGCTCTACCTTGCTGCAGCTCTGCGGTTGCGGTGCCTCTCCGGTAATTATGCAAGGCACATGTTGTCACTTCTGACGGGTTTCACCAGCGACGTTCCCTCCCCTTCGGCCTGCCTCGTTGGTATTGGTGTCGGTGGAGAAGCGTTGTCGTCGTCTTGGGTGTTGGTGACCATCCAGTCCATATCGCGACAAACCAACGCTTGCTACGCCGTACGGCCAACGATACTCCTGTTGGGCTGTGTTTTTGCTTAGCACTGTTACCTGCGCTCGAAGGAGTTCCGCTGCTTAAATCCGTCGCCGTCGGGTTCGGACGTGGGGCCGCAACAACACCGTTTTCCCAGGGATAAAAGACGTGGCCGGACTCGCGATAGTCGACCGCATCCGATATAGCACCACGCAACGCTTCTCTCAGTCTCTTGAACCTCGAAATCTTTCGCCACCCCCAATATCCATCCGGACAGCTTCTTCTTTCGTCTTTGACGTCAAACCAATTTCAGTCCAAAATGCAACCCCCTCTGCCCTCCGCCACCGCTACATGGCGCAACGACACCTACGATGCTATCTCCCCTTCTCGCCCGGAGCTGAGCGCGGCGGGGAAGACCGTCATCGTGGCAGGTGCGGTATGTACTACCCTTCCCAATAACCCCGGCCATGTTCCTCCCGATAGAGCAAAGCTGGAGATAGCCATCCCCGCCTCGCATCTGTATATCGTCAACTCTATTATTCGTAGCTCTCGTTGACAATCCCAAAGGGTAGTGGAATTGGCCGAGAGACTGCCCTAGCGTTCGCCGCTGCCGGGGCGGCCCGAGTCATTCTCCTCGGTCGCTCAGAGGGTGCCCTCCGCGCCACCGCAGCCTCGCTGCCGTCGTCTGTCCCCTCCGAGGTCTTCGTGGCCGACATCACGAGCGAGGAGACGTTGGTCAAGGTCGCGGCGGCGATCGGCAGGTGGGACGTCCTCGTCCTGGCCTCTGGCTACACCTCGCCCCCGTCGCCCATCGCGGGGTCCTCCACCGACGAATGGTGGCAGAACTTCGAGGTCAGTCGCCTTTTCTTCTCTCCACGTCAGTTGCGACTCTCCATGTATGTGTGCTCACATGTGACAAAAAAGACAAACACCAAGGGCACGTACCTCGTGACCAAGTCGTTCCTGTCCACGACGAACCCCTCGCACGCCGCCGTCGTCGCTTTGACGAGCGGAACCACCGCGCTGCCGGTGTCGATGTTGCCCGGTCTGTCCCCTTACATGGCCTCCAAGCTGGCGCAGACCAAAATCATCGAGTTCCTCGCCGCGGAGAACCCGAACCTGTTCGCGGTTACGCTGCACCCGGGCATGGTCGAGACGGACATCTTCAAGAAGAGCGGTGCCAAGGCCGAAGCCCTGCCCATGGATAAAGGTGCGTGGCGTCCCTGTCAAAGTTGTCCATATCAAGAAGACGACGACGACGATCCGGGTCCCCTTTTCGACTCGTCAACTCCGCTGTGGGCCGACCAGGTGCTAACGTCCGTGCCATCGTGAAGTTCAACTCCCCGCCCACTTCACCGTGTGGTTGACCAGTTCGGAAGCAGCCTTCCTCAACGGACGCTCGGTATGGGCCAACTGGGACGTAGAGGAGCTCAAGAAGAGCGCCGAGACCATCCAATCGGGCACGCTGTACACCAGCGGGATTAACGGATTTCCCTTCTCTCCTCCGGCTTGAGTGCCGGCTTGGGATCCAGCTAGAAGTTTATAGTTTCAATATTCCATGCGCGTTATGTTTGAATGAATGCAGGACAAATACATCAAAAGAATGTCATTGAATGCAACGCCAGCTTGTTGATCGTCCCGGAGTGCTATCTGAGGCCACCGGGGCAGTACTCAACTGTGATTTAGACCGTTGCTGCAGCTTCTGCTGTCGTCGGAAGCACTCTTGTCAAAACAGCAGTGCCTAAAGTTGTAATGGAAACAATAACAGCTGAGAGAAGTTTGATGCGAAACAGTCCTTTTGGAGCGCTATCTAAGCCGCCTGTAAGTGCATTATGAGGCTGTGTTGGCCAAGGCCCATATCTAAACATAGTCCGTTCACCTCAATTCGAAACAAAGAGACAAGGGACCCGGGTTGGATGTAAACTGATCCCGGATTTCGTCAAAGACTCGAGTGCCCGTCTCGCCTGGAGCAAGGCGAATGTGATATTTCTTGACGAGCCTTGCGACGACGAACCTCATAGAGTCCGTTGCAAGAAAACGACCAAGACAGCTGTGGTGACCTGCAGGCGCACGGATTAGTTTCCAGTCCCATGAGCAGGGGGAGTGAGGGCCCATACCTGTCCCGAAAGGTGCGAATGCTGATGCATTTCGGACCATCTCCGGTCGAGTGCTCCATCTTTCGGGAATAAACTCGTTCGGGCGTTCGAAGCAATCCTCTCCTGAAAATGATAGTTAGTTGCGAAGGTCTGAGCGCGAATGCGAACACGTCGGACTCACTTCTGGATATGACATGCCGAGGCGCAATGATGGTCGTGTTGGGCGGAATGAAGGTGCCGCCAATGTTGGCCCCGTTTTCCGTCGTCTTCCGGGCTCCGCCGGTGAGCAGGGCCGGGTAGAGGCGGAGGCCTTCGTTGATGACCGCGTTGAGGTGCGGCAGACTCGTGAGGGTTTTGAGGTCCGTCACGTCAACGTCCTTCAACTCTTCGTAGATCTTGTCAACGTGCTCTGGGTGTTTTGCCATCTCGCAGAAGATGCCAATCAGGGCGGCGGCGGTAGGTTCGCTATGTGTGTAAGTATTCGACACCTCGATGATGTTGGGCTGTACTTACCTTCCGGCCACAATGGCAAGCAGGCTGTCTCCGAAGAGCCACGTCAATCGATCCTTCATCTCGGTCTGGCCATCATCAAGCTCCATCAGGTAGTGGGCAAGGTCAGGAACCGACGGCTTGGGAGATGCATCGTCTAGTCTTGTCCGCATCTGCCGTTCGCACCAAGCGACCATATCGAACCAGTCCTTGAGAACACCCACTCGCGGAGCGAGCTTGAAGCCGACTTGAATCAGCCAAGGAGTCGGGCTGAAGGGCCCCAGCAGGGAGAGAGCACGCTGCAACCGCACAATGATGTGGTGCCACTGCTGCTGATGCAGCATGTCAAAAGACTTGCTAAACACAAAGTCTCCCATGACATCGAAACCGAACCAGAAGAAGAGGTCCCGCACTTCCGAGGGTTTCTTCGCTTTGGCGTTGGCTTCAATGCATTGGTCCAGTTGCTCAATATACTTGAGAATCTTTGACTCGTGCTGGACAAGGGCTGTAGGGCGGCACGGCTCGTCAGATAAGCTCACGATGCGGAAGATCACTGGGGACATACCTTGAGCCGAAAATCCACGGTTCCATTCGCGGCGTCTTGCAGCATGAATGGGCTTGACGCGGGTTGTGACGAGAGCTCGGTCCGGATGCAGGATATCATACCATTCGGCCTTGATGCACTCCGATCGAGGGCCGTCCACAGCCATGAAGACCCCTGGGTGGAAGACGGTGATCTCACTGGGTCCTTTCAAACAGTCAGCTTAGAAACAGTTTGGCATGCAGGACTCCTCACCTGTCCTGACGAAGTCTCCGTATTGCTCGTGCAGCTTCTCCAAGACCAGATGGTTCTTGCAGTCCCGGCATGCCCATACGTGCCAGAGTTTGGTGATGCGGGCATACCACGGACCACGGAAGCCAGCCAGTCGATGGAAGAAGAGTCTGTACAGAGCAATACTGGCTAGGAGACCAGGAAGATAGCCAGCGTACAGCACCAGAAGAGATTGAGAAAGCTCCCCAATGGCTGTGCCTTTGTAATAGATGCTCGACGCGACGAAACAGATGAAAAACCAAAAGTGTCCCAGAACAATCTGGGGCGCTTGAACATGCCACTCTCCATGAATGAAAAGGCCATAGTGAACGGCGAAGCCGCAAAGAAGCCCAAGTCCATAGACGAAGACGCCTTGGTAGTCGGAGCTGTAGAGAACACTCATCATGAAGTCTGCGTCGTTGATGCAACTGTCCAAGTCCGACTGGCAACAGGAGATCGCTCAAAGACCTTCTTTCATGTCTGCCCTCGAGCTGGCTAACATGACCATTCTACCGTGATAGAACCCGGCATGGCTCTTGTGATGGGTCTAGCCTGATCCGTACCATCTTTCGCCGGTTACAGAAAGCGCGCAAACTGACTAGCGTCCAATGGCCGAATTGCAAATCAACACGATTCTTGCAACACCCATCATACCATCGAGAGTTTGTACTGCTCGATGTAAAGTACATACTTGCATCGCTTCGTGGTGATCCATGGGTCATCCCGATAACCTTGATATCCGGGTACCTGCTGGGTCTGCCCCTGTCCGTGATACACGACTCATGGACTGGGGCTCCCGGGGAAGTGGATGGGTCCGCGTCCATATTGACTAAATATGTCAGGTCGATGGTGCAGAAACGCAGTCGTACGGATGTGACTCTGTGGTGGAACCTGATTCAACGGTACCCAAAGCGGTTGGCTGGCGCAGCGTTCCGAATTGATGCGATACCGTCGACGCGGGGGAGATGCCGGAAGAGCTTCTCGTTGCGAAGTGACATGAGATGAACAACACGCTGTGCCGCTCGCCTGAGGCGTTATGCACACGTAGCGGTTCCTTCGGGACGGGGAATTGGTTTCTTGGAACTGGTTGATTTAACAGCCCGTTGCCATTCCACTGTCACAATCCCCGACGGAGAATTGATTGATTTAACAGTGACCGAATTCCACTGTCACAACCCCCCATTCAACTGCACTTCTTCGTTGCTTAAGATCAAGCCCTCATTAAAATGTCTGCAAAATACGATTTCGTTGTCGTCGGCGGCGGCGTTGCCGGCTTGGTAATTGCATCTCGGTTGTCCGAGAACCCCGATATTCAGGTGTTGGTGCTCGAAGCGGGCGAAGACCAAACGGCAGACCCGAGGGTCAATATTCCCGCACTTGGACCCAGTCTGGTCAAGACACCTTCTGACTGGCAATTCAAGACGGTGCCGCAGGTGAGTCTGTTCGAGGTGCGGTGAAATGAACTGCTTGCTGACTCTCAACTATAGAGCGGCTTGGGTGGTCGTGAGATTGGTGTGCCTCAAGGCCGCCTCCTCGGTGGTTCCGGTGCTCTTAACGGCCTGTCATTCACCGTTACGACTCGGTCCAATGTTGAGGCGTGGGCCAGTCTCGGCAATGACGGTTGGGACTGGCCGTCGTTCAGCGCCGCTCAGAAGAAGGCGTACTCCATTGCATCTGATGAGACGCAGAACGGCCCTCTCAAGCTGTCTCTGCCCGACAACGCAGAGTCTTTCTGGCCGAAAGTCTGGCAAGACACCATCCGCGAGCTGGGCTTTCCCAGCGTCTGCGACCCGTTGAGTGGTCAGGGTGTTGGAAGCAGCATCACTCCCGACACCGTGGACCCAGCGACGAAGACGAGAAGCTACGCTGGGAGTGCGTATCTCCAGGCTGCCAAGTCTAGGTCAAATCTGACCGTTGAGACGCAAGCGCTCGTGGAGAAGGTTCTCTTCAAGTCGGACGCTGGGGAGATCGTCGCCGAGGGTGTGCAGTACACAAAGGACGGCGAGAAGAAGATTGTAACAGCACAAAAGGAAGTCATTCTCAGTGCTGGCACCCTCAACTCCCCACGAATTCTGGAGCTTTCAGGCGTCGGAAACGGCGAGCTGCTTCGGGGTCTTGGCATTGACGTTGTGCTTGACAACCCGCATGTTGGAGAAAACCTGCAAAACCACACCATGGTTGGGGCGGCGTTCGAGGTGCTCCCGGAGCATGAGACGATGGACGGCATCGTCCGCCAGGACCCTGCGGCCGTCGGCGCCGCTATGGAAGCGTACGGCAAGGGAGCGGGTCCTTTCTCCAGGAGTGGAACATCGGCGACGGCAAACCTCCCGCTGCCGGCTACCGAAGATGCCGGGGAACTGTTCGATAAGCTCAAAGCATCGGCCCCCAAGACGACGGCGACGGCCGGGTTCACAGAAAAGATGGAGTCGTTTGTCCGCTCGGTCCTCACTTCGTCATCGGAGCCATCCGGTTACTACCTCTCATTTCCGGGGTACGCCTTGTTTAACCCGGACGGAACGATGGCGCCGCCACCTCCCGGCGACGAGAAGTTCTTTGCATTCGGTTTGCTCCTCGCCCACCCTCTATCGCGCGGTTCGAGTCACATCACGTCGGCTTCTTTGGAGTCGCCAGCCGTGGCGATTGACCCCGGGTATCTGACGCATCCACTCGACGTTGAGATCCTGGCCAGGCACGTCCAACTTATCGAGAAGATTGTGGAGACTGAGCCACTCCGCAGCCAGTTGAAGCCAGGAGGCAAGCGGGTTCCGGCTAGCAAGTTGGAGGATGTCGAGCAGGCCAAGGAGTTCGTGCGGCAGACTGCGGTCGGCGCTCACCACTTCACGGGAACCTGCTCAATGATGCCTCGCGAACTGGGCGGCGTTGTTGACGAGAAGCTGCGTGTCCATGGAATTCGCAACCTGAGGGTGGCTGATGCAAGCATTGTGCCCATCACGGTTCGTGCCAATCCGCAGGCGACTGTCTATGCGGTTGCTGAGAAGGCCGCGGACCTGATCAAGTCGAGTCTCTGAAGGGTCGGAATGGTCTCAATCGGGTGAGGTCATGGCCGAGTATGAAGAATGAAGAAAGCATGATGCCGGAATCCGATAATGATTGGCGGCTTCAATATCAAGAGGAAGCGAAATGTAGGAGGAAGAAACACAGGGTAATTGATGTAGTCATCCGTAGTTGCAATAAGGTAGCTTCTTATCTCGATAGAAGTGGTGGCAGCTGCCAGTGCCGATAGCGTCAGTGAAAGCTGCCCGTTTTAATGGCCACGCGGGACGCGAACTTTCCTCAAGGGTCACATGATGTACAGGGACTTTCGCGTTGGTGGGGAAGTCACCGCGCTGGAAGTCCAAAGTACTTACCCTTGCAAATGCCAGGACGCGTCGTTTGGCCCAAAAACCGCGTCCAGGAATAAATCGCCTCTTGCAGCCAACCGAACTACCAACACCTCGTCTCCAACACGATCGCTTTTCCCAGAGCTACCAAACACTACCCACCAAACCTCGAACCCATACACCGCATGCCTTGACTTCGACTTCAAGCCTGCCCACCGGCTCTCAAACCACCACCAACTGCCAGCTCCGAACTGCTTTCACCATGGCTGACCCGAAAGGGCTCTTTGCAGAATGCGCCTTCGCCTTCGTGCCTTCTGCGTACCTCGCACCCAAGGAGATTGGCGATCTCACCGAGATTGTCATAGGACGCGGCGGCGAGGTCCTCGATCCGCGACGCGACGGCTCCATTCGACTGGAACAGGTCACCCACATCATCGCGAACACGATCGACTTTCCTCAGTTCACCGAGACCCAAGCCTTCATGATCCCGGTCGTTAACTCTAACTGGATCAAGGCCTCGATTCAAAGGAATAAGCAGGCTCAGGTCCGCCCTTACTCGCCCGATCCGCGCATGTTCTTCTCCAAAATCAACCTGACCTGCGCCGACCTCCCCGAAATTGACAAGGAGACAATCATCGGCGCAACGCTCGCTATGGGCGGTATGGAGAGCGTCGACGTCACCCGACAGACCACACATATCTGCGCCCTCGACATGAACAATGCTAAGTGCACCACTGCTGTGGAAAAGGGCCTCAAATGCAAGATTGTTCTGCCTCATTGGTAAGCTCCACTGCCCTGTCCTAAGGAACGCCGCCACCTAGCTGACCTCTCTCAGGTTCGAAGACTGCTTCAAGCTCGGCAAGCGAATCGACGAAGGGCCTTACATGTTGCCCGATCCCGAAATCTTGAGGAACCCCGATGCGCAAACAGATGTGCAGGTTCGCGAAAACGAACATCTCAACGGAGCCACGTCCACTGTACCTGACTATGTTATTGAAACTACGCGCAATACGGCCACCATCTTCCAGGGCAAGAGTGTCATGCTGTCGACAGACCTCTCTATCAGCCCCCGATCGCTGGATATCATCAAATCACTTGTCATCAATGGAGGCGGTAAAGTGGTGGAAGATGTCGACGAATGTGACTACTTCATCTGCCAGTATCGCGATGGTGAGGACTACGTGAAGGCAGCCCAGTCAGGCAAAGACGTCGGCAATCTTGCCTGGCTCTACCACCTGATCACGCACAACCAATGGACCTCGCCACTGCGCCGCTTGCTTCACTACCCCGTTCCAAAAGACGGCATAGAGGGTTTCAAGGGCCTGAAGATCTGCCTTTCCAATTACGGCGGTGATGCTCGCATTTACCTCGAAAACCTAATCAGGGCAACTGGAGCCACCTACACAAAGACTATGAAGAGCGAGAACACGCATCTGATTACCGCCCGGAGCAGCAGCGAAAAGTATGAGGCAGCTAAGGACTGGAACATCGAGACGGTCAATCATTTGTGGATTGAAGAGAGTTACGCAAGATCTGAAAAACAGCGCGTCTCTGTGGCCAAGTACTCCCACTTCCCTGTTCGCACAAATCTCGGCGAAGTTGTCGGCCAGACCTTCTTCGATGAGGCCAAGTTGCGAGAAATCTACTATCCGGGCGGAGAGGAGAATATGTCCCCGAGTGCCAAGCGGAAGCGTCAGATCCTTGAAGCTGCCCACGACAACTCGTACCGAAATGGTCCTGCCGAGGGTGTCGTTATTGGCATGCATGAAGGGAACAGTGAGGATGCCGTCGACGACAGTTTCATGACGCCTGTCCGCCCTAAGAAAGGCGGTCGCGGAAAGGAGAACGACACCCCCTCTGGCATGTCGACAGGAAGTCGGAGCGCAAAGAGCAAGGCCCTTACCAATCTTCAACGCATCGCGCCGGATATTGCACTATACGAGAAGGAGAAGAAGCGCAGTACCAAGGATGGACACGGTCCTTGGGGCGGTAAGCGTGCCGCGGACCAGATCGACAGAGAGCGAGGACGCACCTCCAGCCCAGCGCAGGTTGCTGATGATGACGTTGAGGACGAGGATAAGCGTCCAGCCAAGAAGCGAAAATCTTCACGTCCGGACATCGAAATTATGAGAGTTGTCCTGACTGGATTCTCGAGATGGGTCAACAACAAGACGAAGGAGGACCAGGAAAGGGTGAGTAGTCTGCGCAGCTCTTGTATTCAATCACTAACGATGCGCAGAGGAATCTCCGCGACATGGGCATTCTCATCGTCCAAGACGACAAGCCGTGCGACTACCTTGCCGCTCCGCATATGGTGCGAACCGTCAAATTTCTCAAGACACTCGCCAAAGGTTGCAGCATCCTGTCGTCCAAGTTCATCGATGAAGCCCTCGACAAGGGAGAAGTACCTGATCCCGAAGATTTCCTTCTCGTCGATAAGGAAAGCGAGCAAAAGTTCGGCGTCGAACTCGTAACGGCTGTCTCTCGCGCAAGAGCCAACCTCGGCAAGCTTCTTTGGACCGTCCCCATCTACTGCACCGAGCAAATCAAGAATGGGCCCGACTGCTTCAAGGCCATCGCCGAGGCCAACGGCGCCATGTTCAAGCTGTACCGCGCTCGCAGTGGCACGACGATTAAGCCCACGACTGCCGAGGAGGACGGTGGTGCCCCGCCAGAGCCCGTGTACCTGCTCAGCTCCAACAGCCTCCAGGAACGGGCACTCTGGCCCAAATTCGAGGAAATGGCACGCAAGGGCCACATGGAGCCTCGCATCGTCGCGGCCGACTGGCTGCTCGACATGGCCATGAGGCAGCAGCTGTCGTTTGACGAGAAATACCTCGTCAAGAACTTCTTCAACGAGGCCTAGAATGCCCGTTCGCAAACGTTGCCAGCCCGCTCGCAGACGTTGTCGGTCCGTTCACAGACAATGTCAGTGGGGTCGTCATTTCCGTAGGCATTGTTCTGGTCGCCGCTGTCGCTATTACTGGTGTTGTTGGAGTTGTCGGTAATCCATCATCGTTACCTGATTTTACACCTGTACATAATATCCACGCGTGCATGGGGAGCATCGGAGAAAGGAGGGACATCGATCTTTGTCATCGGTATCGTTGCAGCTGAGAGGTATAATGTTATGAACGCCGTTACGTCTAGAATCGCAAAAAGAATAGCATCGTCATCATGTCGTCGTATCGTCGATGGACAATCAAAAGAACTTGACACCCTGCGAGTCCTCTTGTCCGAAGATCTGTGCCTTGCCGCGCTTGACCAGCACCTGCAGCGCCTTTTGCAGCAGATCGGGGTCCAAGCCGTGGATATCTGTCGCGGCGAAATCATGTCAGCCAAACACACAAAGCGGTGCCCAGTGAACGCAATGTGTCTTACCGGTCCCCCGCGTGCCCTCGCCCTCGGTGAGCTCATACAACGTCAACACGACCCCCTTCTGCGCCGTCTCGTCGATCCACGCCTCGATGCTCGCTGCCCACTCGTCCGGCGTGCGCCAGTAGACCCAGAACACGTCCGTCGAGGCCGGCAGCGCCTCGGCCCGGCCGTCCTTCCTCATGAACTCGAGGACCTCGCGCGCGTCCGCCAGCGACAGCCTCTTGTTCAGCGTCTTGTTGTGGAAGAGCTCCTCGGGGCCGGCGGCGGACGAGGAGGCGGCGGTCGCGGGGTCGAAGGTCGTCGCGGTGGGTATCGTGCTGGTGTTCGTGGCGCTGGTGTTGGGGAGCGCGTGAGGCAGGGCGGAGGGGGCGGTCGGGATGGCGGTGCCGAGGGAGAGCTTGAAGATGCGGTTGTGGCGGCAGTAGGCGAGGATCAGGTCGGACCATTTCACGAGCTGGGCGTGGTGCGTTGTGAGGTTCGTTTGGCGGGTGAAGAAGGGCGGGAAGGAGTATTCCCGTGGGAAGGGGAAGGGAGCGGCGGTCGTTGCCATTGTGCGTGGGTTGTTTGTGGTGGTTTGAGGTTGGAAGAGGGTTTAGAATGTCAAGGTGGTGCTGATCTACATCGGCACCAGGAGCTCGGATGGAGGGGTTAGTGGGGCGGAATCTCGGTCGGTTTCGGTGTGGTCGGTATGTAACGAATGGGCTCCCGCATTAAGCTGGTTTTGAGGTTCGAACGTAGACTTCCAGCTCGTCCGATGCCCAAAAACAGTCAAAGATGCCGGGTGACATGGCTAAAGGTACCAGCTGCTCAACAACCACTTCAAGGCTATCATCGCAGCTGAGGACGATTACAACATCTCATTGTAGCAGCCTCACCCACAAGCAGAGTTCGTTTTTCTCCAAGCAATACTCGCCCTCGCCAAAGTCTGATGATTGTCTTTTTAGGCAATTCTCAATTTATGACTTGGGAAATATTGACATCCAAAGTGTAGATTTTCAAAACAAAGGAGCATATGACTCAACACGACGAAACATTGCATAACGTGGAGTGCCTTCATGTTCCAAGATAGAGGAAACCTATCACGCACAACCCCATTCCAGCATCTAGAACCAACCCTAACCCTATCTTGATAACGCTCCACCGTTCTTCACTGCGTCCCACTAGCATCACTCCGTAGTTCACGGTGTGATGATGCGCAATAACTGCAACGTGATAAATTATATGGGTAGAATCGGTAAAGTGTAGAAGCGGTAAAATGTTCGACACAATGGTAAGATATCGAACCAAGGGTAAGATGTCGAATCAAGGTAAGGTGTCGAGTCAAGGTAAGAGTCGCAACGTTGGAAGCCGGTGACGAGAGCATCTAGAATCGTGAGAATGAAAATATCGTTACAAACCAATTTGCTATCAGTCGCTTTAACAGCGGAAAAGTGTTACGGGAGATTGTGCTCCCGTTCTTGTACCAGACGGTCAGGTGATATTTCAAGTCGGAGATCGTTGTTGATGTGGCGTTAGGTTGAGGGAAGTGCCGAGCACATGTCGCGGTGCCTAACCCAATTTGCAGCGACAGAATCGATGGCCGATGCGACTGACCGAGAGCGTGAGCAAGATGCTCCAAGGAAATATATGGAGCAAGGTCGCAAGGATGCTGTCCCCAGATAGCTCTTCGTAGATCACACCAGTAGTGACTCCTACGGCAAGTGCCACGTCCTGATATTTGTCCTCGCGATTGATTTGGTACAGAGTTGACGTCGCAACCCCGTACACAATCATTGCCATGAAGAGTATCATTGGCGAGGGTTCCCAAAATCCCTAAACCATATGTCAAAAGTCAGCGGTCTTGCGGTAGTCCTTTGGGGTAGACATCCCACCTCTCCGGTGGCTCCCTGAATATGAGTTCCCGGTGAAGACTCGGAAGATGATTCTTTGAAAAGATCAAATGCTCGGCCCTTCACCTTGTAGCTGCCCATGACGAGTGAGCTTATCAAGGCGCAAAAGATGGCCGCAACTTCCACCATGGCAAATCTTCCCGTCACTTTCTTCTTTGTGTAGTCATGGCGAACGTTATCGCCCATGACGTTCGCTATGAATGGATTATCTGCCAGTTCGCATCGAATTTTCGCTCTATTAGTCCGCATTAGTGTGAGTTTGATCTTTTTCTTGGATAGGAACAATTACTTTTCTTCATCTAGATCTTGGTCTGAGGTCTGCAGTCGGCATGGCCAGCGGCCTACAATCTTCGCGAGAGTAAGCAGCCTTGCCATGATGCCGAGGACGTTGGAGTCAGTTCTTGCAACGATGCGATCAACCCTCAGTAGGATGCGAGTGTCAAAAGAAAAAGAATTCCGGGTTTGCGAGGGAACTTGCGTGAGACGTCTCAAGCGCTGGGCTTTCCCTCATATGTGACTAGTTTTGCAGTGTCGACGGTCCACGGGCTATGCCAGCCTGATTACGCTGTTTTACCGCAGCAGAAGGAAACACTATTGGCCGCACGCAAGAGGCCTCCTGTACACTTGATGCGGGGTATCTGACGTGGTGCTCTCACGTTGCTAGGAAGTCAGCATGCACCGCCTCTCGCCTTGGAAGCCTCGAGTAAACTGTGACCTCCCTCCTTTACCGCGACATCCCCCAGGCCACTTTTGGAGGGGCTCCAAAAGTTGCTTGTTAACTTTTTCACCATCCTCTGCGTTACCTTTGACCTCAGGATGGCAGAGTTTGAACCCTCGCCCCACGAGCAAGCTTCCCGAGCTCCGGGACTGTTGTCTCGCCATCCCGATCAAGTGTACTCCAGACGTTGGTAAGAAAAGCTTCTCATAAGATTGTTCGAAGTCTCGTGGCTGATAAAAGTTTCAAATTGCAGTTGCCAGTGCGGACAAGTAGTCATTGTGCTCTGCCGCAACCACTCTCTCTCGATTCTACGATCGATCCTGATGATATTCGCCATGGCGGCGTCTATCCTGGTATATGATATGGTGCTACGCGACCTTGGCGGTTTTCGAGATAAGCTATGGGTTAGGTTCGTAGTTTATCAAGGGAGGCTTGTGAGATACGTCCTGACATTATTGACGTAGTATTTGGTGCTTCTCCATGGTCTCGAACATCCTTCTCAGCATCGTCTGGTCCATCAAGTCGAAGCAACCCTACGCGTACGTTAATTCTATCCCAAGCTAGATCAAGTCCTATACCATTGACTTCTGAACAGCTTCTATCTTCTGGCCATCATGATCGGAGTATCAGTTCTGGCCAAGCTGCCCACGAAATCAGGACTGTTCCTGGAGGCAGTCCTTCCGTCACTTCCTCTGGCATCTAATTCTGGCGTCTGTCTAGCCCAGCTCTATCTGAAAGCCCATGCCTCTATGTTTAATGGCCGTTCCAATCAGACTGGAGAAACGGAGCTTGAAGATATGACCGACGGGCTCGTGCCAATGCCGGCACGAGACTAGGCTGATACCCATCAGCCTGAGAGGGCACCGAAGAACGAATGCCCTCAAAATTTATCCGGGCAGTAGTTTTACTGTTTGGTGAAGAATTGGTATCACTATGACGTTGATAGAAAATCAAAGTCCTTGTCGAAGTTACTTATGACGCAAGTTGTAAGTCGACGTCGAAGCAACTAACAACAAAGGCCGACTAAACAGGCACCATCAAACTCAATTGAAAATGCTTTTCGTAAGGAAGTTTTGTCCATATTGTTTCTTAGTGCGTCGACGCAACTGTAATAAAAAGGCAATATTTGGGTCATGCTTTTGCCCGCCGCGAGACGCTTCGGTGTCATGCGTGCACAACTATAAGCGTACTATAGCCATACATTAGCTTAAGGTCCTTAAGGATCCATAATACCTTGCCAATCAAACGCAAATCGAATGTGACTGAGAACGATGGCATTGAATGTGGTTAAATTGGCTGGTAAATATTTTCACAACTCAAGGTCATTGCCCACTGGTACCAAGATGACCCTAATTATCTGCAAACAGGGCAACAGGTATATAACACCAACCCAAACACACCAAAGCCTCCAGACAACCTCATCATCCCCCAACGTCCTCCTCCGAAGCGTCCCAACACACATCGCCAGCCCAAGTCCAACAGTCGGCACATACCCAACCCACCCAAGTCCCCAAAACGCAGGAACACCAAAAGACCACCCCAAAACCCCAACCGCCAAACTCGCCCTCGCAATCCCGTCCCCATACACAAGCGGAATCGTCTTCCTCCCCCTCGCACAATCTCCTACGACGTCAGGAAAGTCCTGCGCGTGAATCGTCGTACAGACAACCAAGCCGGTGACAAAAATCCAGACAACCGCCCTCTCAGGGGGAGAGTACTCCAACCCCCCGCTCGCAACGACCGTCGCTCCAGCGGACAAGGCCGCGAGCCCCAGCCCGTTCGTCACGTTGCGCCAATATATACTCGTGTCGGCGGCGTCCAGGTCGTTATACATCCAGACAAAGGCGACGAAGGCCGCCGTCTCCCGAAACACACCGCTCCACCCCCCGAAAACCATCAGCGCGGGCACGAGATACAGCGCCGCCCGGCGGGCCTCGTCGGGCGTTATCCGGCCGGCCGGCACGGGGCGCCAGGGCTTGTTGAAGGCGTCTTCTGCCACGGATCCCGGGAGGCGCTGGTTAGCAAGGTCTTCCAGGAGGAGGCTGGCGTAGAGCCATGATACGGCGTGGAGGAGCGGGCGGAGCAAGGTAGTTGCGGTGAGCTGGGGCGGGGCATCGATGGTACGGAACCCGTTGGTGAGGATGCTGGAGATTGTGAAGAGAGTCTGTGGTATCATGACACATTTGATGTCGCTTTTTGTGAAGAGGTGGACGGTTTTGAGGTGATAGGCCAGGGAGCGAGAAGAATGTACCTGGCGACCATCGATGCAAGTCAGTCACCTGAGAGAGTGTGTATAGGCCCTGACAGTTACCTCAAGCTCGTGCCTTCGAGCCTTTTCTTGTATCATGGTTGTCTTCTGAGTCGCGGCCAATTGGCGACCTATTTCATGAATATATGTCTACGAACCTGCTGATGAAGCATATCACAGGGGACCACATGCTTGGAAGTGCCATTTTATATCTCTCTCAAGTTCCGGGACCAACAATAAGGCTGAAAGATATTCTAAACTTAGGCCCATTGTTAAAACCCACAATGGTAATAATCATAATGCCAGGACTCTCACTGCAACCACTTCAGAAGAGTTCGACTTACACCAGACAGGGTTCATAACCAATGAACCGGAGTGCCGAGGATTCTGGTCTCACCGGGTCTCATCAGTATTTTCCTCGTTGGGAAGGTGGGAGTATTTCCATGTGCATTTCATTTGGGATCAAGGAGGGTCAGATCGAACCATCACTGCGGAAGTGCTTACTCTGCGCCGCAGTCAAGAGCCTCAAATAGTAGTCGCGTAGCGGTACAAGTGGGGGGAGATGTAAGCCGCCCACCGTGAGATCAATATCGCCAGCCAGTCAACTTCATGTTTTGCCTCAATTGTTTGTTGGTATCTGTTTTACCAAGCAGTGGATCGTATCTGGAGATGTCATCTCGGCTGAGGGGCTTACGTGTGGCGGCCTCCAGACTCTCAATGAAGTTATGCTGGAATTCGGTGATGCCAGGCTGTGTAACTTCAAGTATTTCACATCGACGAGAATCAAAGTGAGAGCCTTCCACGCAATGGTCGCTTGCCATGAGTGACATTGTCTTGGGAAGACGCTTGAGAAGAGCCACGGTGCCTAGCATGTGGTAAGGCAAATCTTACTCATCTCAACCAGTCGCCAAAAACACATCAAACGGCAAAGATCGGAGGAGCACTCAGCCAGTCTATTGTTATCATCGAGTAAGTAGCCATTACTATGATTGATGCTGTTGTAGTCCTTGTCCTCGTCATCATTATCGTCGTCGTTGTTCCAATTTGTGTTTTCCCAAGTATTTCGTAGGTGTTCTCGTGCGTTTTTGTTAAAGTTTTCGTCGTTATTTGAGTACATTATAACAACGCCGAGGAAAAGTAACATCACTCGAATTGCCGTTATTGTTACTGCTGGTTTGTATAACCGCGACCGGCTTATTCAGTTGAGCATACCAACTGGTTGGATACAGCTTGATTTTGTATACAGCATATCGGTAAGAGGCCATGCAGTGCCGCTTTCACTATGAAAAGAGTTGAATTACATCATTATTCCCGTCAAATCAATGTAGATTAAATATGGTCGTTTCATAGAAGATAGAGGATGCCCCTTGTTTTCAAATTCCTGTCGAAAGATTCGACGCGGATTGAAGTCAAAGATGGCTAGCTCAACGAAACGAATTCGGGAATCGTCATAGTAGGCACCTGATGACAATCATGGTTCATGGGCAAATCTCCCTAGTATGGGTACAAAATACTACTCAGGGAAGTGCGCCATCAGCTTTATTCACCAATGGCAAAACATACGCCGAATCCAAGAACACCTGCTAGCTAGAAGCCAAATATCGCTAGACTATGACCCTTCCAACCCAACGCACATAATCAAAGACGCCGAGCACCACTTCACGCCCCTACTTCTTCGCCCTCCGCTTGCCCTTCTTCTCAGGCACACTCACGCTCCCCTCCGCGATCTCCCCGGCCTCGACCTTCCCCTCGTTCTCCAGCTCCCTGAGCTTCTCCTGGCCCGAGATGAACATGGTCAAGTCGCGGTTCATCTCCTCCAGCTCGGCGATCTGGGCCTTGTGCTCCCCGTCCTTGCGCCTCAGCGCCTCGACCTCGGCGTTGTTGTGCTCCACGCGCTTCATCAGCCCCTGCGTGACCTCCTTCTCCTCTTGCAGGGCCTTGCCGAGGTTCCGCGCGAGCTCCTGCGACTTGGCGGCCTTATTACGGTCCCGTTCCGCGTCGCGCTCGAGTTGGGGGAGGACTTGCGTCTTGAGCCGCGTGAGCTCCGCCTTGAGAGTCGCGTTCTCTTCCAGCGCGGTGGAGGCCTGCGCCGATGCGGATTCTGCTGTGGCGGCGGCTTTAGAGGCCTTGTCCGCTACTTTGCTCAGCATCTCCTCAAAGTACACTCTCTGCGACTCAAGCTGGCTAGTCAGGAGATGCGTGTACTCCAGGCCGATATTGTCCAGCTTCGCTCGTGGGACTACGTCCTCATACCCGCCCTCCGGACGGTCATGCTGTCCGTTACTGCCTGGGAGCTCAACGACCTTACCGTCGCCCTTGTCGCGGATGAGGCGATGGACCCAGGTATCGCCAGCGTAGTCCCACACATGCTGCGTCTCGAGCTCGAGGGCGAAGCTGTGTGCCGTCTCCTTCCAGTGATCTTTTGCGTGACCACCTTTGTACCTGCCGCAGCCAACGTTTCCGCAGATGAGACAGATCCAGAGGTCGTCGGTGGAGTCGCACACGCTGCAGAGGTTCGACGCAGAGGAGCCGAAGGGTTGGGTATATGGATTCGAGGGGTCGTACGCAGTTTCTGGGTTCGTATGCCTGCAGACTGGACACCCTGAGCCCTTCCAGTTCTGGAGGCAGGTGCAGTGGAAGACGTGTTGGCAGGGGATCGTCATTAGGCCGGTGGTATCGTCCATGCGCTCCAGACACACTGGACAAGTGGGTAGTTCGACGAGGTTCGGTGTGGGCGGGGGGAAGGGTTTTAGACTGCTCGACGCGGCGACGGAGGAGGAGGACGGTGTGAACGGATCGTGGTTGAGGTCGGGAAACGTTCGGTTTTCTCTCGTCGGGGACTCAAAGGTGATAGATTTCACGAACACGACGTGACAAACCTGGGCCTGCGAGAAATGATTAGTACCACCGCCACGTTGGTTGTCATTGTGACTACTCACCTCCATGCTGTTGAAGACCTTGCCATCATACTCCCGCTGCCACTTCCGTGCGCCCTCGCTGTTTCGGAACTTGAGGAGCACAAGGTATCTATTCATCCTAGCCGTCATGACCATTCTGTAGTGACTGATGTCGTCCCTCCATTTCTCGCCCACATATCCAAGAAAGTCGCCTGGCGTGAGGTAGCTGGGCACTGCGGGTATACACAGAGTTGTGCAGTCTTCGTCTTTGACGCCGTCATCTGCTGAAGGCTCGAGACCCAGTTCCGGAGTCTCCTCCTCCTCGCGATAGAAATGTACCACGCCCCAGCCAATTTCGGTATTCTTCGTTTCGAGCGGGATGTATTTCGCCTTTGTCGATGTACCGGCGAAGATGGGGCCCACGCCGAGCGCCGCGGACGAGCTCGCTCCTTCCGTTGCCATTTCACCTCTCTGGCCGTCGCCCTCGAGGTCGATGCTTTGTATGCTCAACTGACCGAACCGCCAGTCCCGTACGGCAGTTTCAGGCCGGATCGCCGCGTATGAGGATGGGGGAGGAAAGCTTTGTGTGCGCGCGCGCCACTGCCTCTCCGTGAGCCTCTCGATGTTTCCGCCGCTCTTCTCTTTGACCGGTGCTCTCGACGGGCCACAGTCAATCAGACCAGTGTTTCCCGGCGTATTTGGAGCTCGTACGTCGTCCGATCGGTAGGTATCCGCAGGAGATGGCGTGTCGTATTGCAGCGGCGAGGGCTGTGGTCGGTAGATGTCGGTTTTCTTTGCAGATTTCCTAGAATGCGCCGGAAGCTCGTCGAAGATGTCGGTGCCTTTCGGCGGAAGCCAAACTCCTTTAGCAGAAGAAGAAGCCTGCGCTTTCCCTTTTGTCGAGTCGCCGGTCGCTGGATTTGAGGTCGGGTAGAGCTCAAACTTCAAGTGATAGAAGAAGGACCGCATAGCCTTTCTCAGCCTCGCAGGCTGGCGCGGGTCGATCGAGCTTTGGTTGGTAGTCGATGGAGGCCAGTTTTAGTCTGTCGGCCAACGTAAGTACTATGGTGGCAAAAGAACGTGTATTTCCAGATGTTTTCGTAGAATTCGTGAGCCGCTCATAGCAACAAAACGAAGGGCACAACGGTGGTGGGATGTTTTTCGGAGAAAGATAATTTAGGTAGGTGCAAGGTTTAGCATGCTGTGGAAGACCTCCGCAACCCCACTACAGGTGCCGCAGGCACAGATCCACTGGATACGTCACTGCCAAGGCATCCGCGTTTCGCGGTTGAAACATCGCACGATAACATGTCACCAAGTGAACGACAGGAACAAGAAGTTTGAGACTTCAATAGAGTCTGTATTGTCACGCTCTCTCTAGAGAGCGGACTGCCCAGCTAATTACTAGGGACTAAGATATCATATGCCAAATCCCCCATGATCATGATTCCCGTGAACGCCAAAAGACAACAAGACACCCTTACTGACCGCCACGCAGACGGAGGACCAAGTGGAGAGTGGATTCCTTCTGGATGTTGTAGTCGCTCAGGGTACGTCCATCTTCCAACTGCTTACCAGCGAAAATAAGACGCTGCTGGTCGGGAGGGATACCCTCCTTATCTTGGATCTTGGACTTGACGTTGTCGATGGTGTCGGATGATTCGACTTCCAAAGTGATTGTCTTTCCAGTGAGAGTCTTGACGAAGATCTGCATACCACCACGCAGGCGAAGGACGAGATGCAGGGTGCTCTCCTTCTGGATGTTGTAGTCAGACAGGGTGCGGCCATCTTCCAATTGCTTTCCGGCGAAAATCAGGCGCTGCTGGTCGGGCGGGATACCCTCCTTGTCTTGAATCTTGGACTTGACGTTGTCGATCGTGTCTGATGATTCGACTTCGAGCGTAATAGTCTTGCCGGTCAGGGTCTTGACGAAGATCTGCATACCACCACGGAGGCGGAGAACCAAGTGAAGAGTGGACTCCTTCTGGATGTTGTAGTCAGAAAGAGTGCGGCCGTCCTCAAGCTGCTTGCCGGCGAAGATCAAGCGCTGCTGGTCAGGAGGAATGCCCTCCTTATCCTGGATCTTGGACTTGACATTGTCGATGGTGTCGCTGGACTCGACCTCAAGGGTAATGGTCTTGCCGGTGAGGGTCTTGACGACTAAATGGAGGTTAGGAACTGTCTGGGGCGCGGTTGGAGGCGACGAGGCAACTTACAAATCTGCATACCACCACGAAGGCGGAGAACCAGGTGGAGGGTCGACTCCTTCTGGATGTTGTAATCGGAGAGAGTACGACCGTCCTCAAGCTGCTTGCCAGCAAAGATAAGACGTTGCTGATCGGGGGGAATGCCCTCCTTGTCCTGAATCTTGGACTTCACGTTATCGATGGTATCGCTGGACTCGACCTCGAGAGTGATGGTCTTGCCGGTGACTGCAGGAGGAGATGTCAGTAGGTGATGGGAGATGGTGCGAGGCAGTGATGTAACTTACGGGTCTTGACGAAGATCTGCATGTTGGGCGACTTCGCTGATGCGGTGTGATTGTTCGTATGTGTTGTTGATGATGCTTGTGAGTGACTGTGTCTCTTGTGGACCAGTGTAGCGAGAGTTGCTGATGGATGTAGATGGATGGATGTGAGAATCGGAGATGGAGAGGAAGAGGCGAGGTAGTAGTGTTTAAATACAGAGACAGAGAGGTTGCGGCGGGGAGGTCTGTTCGAGAGGGAAGGTACCAGTTTGGGTGATGACTGACTGACCGCGGCGAACGGAAGGCAAGGGAAGGCACCTAGGCACCTCACTGGGGAGGCGCAGGCGCGAGTGGGGACACGGATTATGCAGAGTGCCTTGTGTCCTTGTGTCCTTGTCTGGCTTGTCTGGGGGAATGGCGAATGGCGAATGGCGAATGATTCATCAGCAACTTGGACCACTGGGAGGAAAGGAAAGCGCGCTAACGCAGGCAGGAGCAAGCCGGAACCCTCCAGAACGAGGTGGAGCCGACAGTGATCCAGAGGTAGCCGGTACTTTCTGGAATGCAGTGATTAGGTGAGCCGGGCAGGTACTTCTCACTTCTTATCACCTCTCTCCCGCCGACTTGGGAAGGCTGGAACCCAGTTCTGCTGTGCCTGATGTCTCAGTTCAGTTCGACCGACTGAGTTGAGTCCTGAGTCCTGAGTCCTGACAAGAACGTTGGGTTGGCCACTCGCCCCCGCCGCTTTCCTTTGATCAGATGGCCTCGCTCATGCCGCCTTAGCTCCGAAACGCCATTCGACGAGGGGCTTCCGAAGAATCAAAGATTTTCTTTTTTGCTTTGATATCATTTTTCCGATGGGAAATCTGTCAACGGAGGCAAACGACAACTTGAGGAGGGAGCCACTGTTTACTGTTTCCCCGGAGCCTTAGGCAGTCTGTCACTGGTGGGTCAGCCCACCACCGACCCCTGTCACTGCTCCGCCTCTGCTCGTCCATATCGGACTCTGTTCCATCATCATCAAGCAATCGTCATCGCCTACGACGGATTCATGGCTGAGGCGTGGCCGAGAACATTCACTGCTTCGCAGTTCGCAGTGCACAAACTGGAATGTTTTCCCACGCGAACCACCAACCTTCCCGACTAAGAAGGCCGGCGGTAAAAGAACTGGCTGTCTTCGTTCGACACCGGGCCTGGAATTGGGTGTCTTACCCAACCGCACCGAGAACACCACCCTGACGACGGGATTACCTGCAAACTATGCACAAAACTCAGCCAAACTCACAGACGCCAGACCGACTCGAGGCCTCACACGGGCGACCGACAATGCAGAATCCCGCCCCACCCGCCACCCGGATATCGGCCATTTTCAGAAACACGGCGACGCCTGACCTGACTTGACCTCCTAGTCTCTTGAGTCGGGTCTTGCACAAACCAACAGAATCGCCACCTCCAGAGCCTCCCAGTCAATCTTTGCCTCGTCCGAAGATTCGCCTGCCAATCCTGCTGACCCTAAAGCTTTTCTCGACTTCAAAGCAGACAACCTTCACCCATCGTCGTTTTCTCCCCATCGTGCCCGCGTCGGCCTCACTCAGGATGCCTTCATTTCCACACATCGGCTCACCCGCCGTCGCCGAACAGTCACGAGAGAATACACCCCGACAGCGCACCCCGGTATCGCTGTCGATGGACCCCCGCACTTTTTGGCGCAGGATGACGCCAGACGTCATTCCTCCCAACCACTCCGGCCCCCCGACCCTGATTTTACCGCCGTTCGAGACCGGCCTGCGAACCTGCAAAGGTGCAAGCAACCTCTTTGGCTTTTTGCCCAACAATGTACTCGACTTGGAAATTATCCGGGAGGAATGGGTGGGTTGAAGAAAACTGTCTCTCTCGGTCGCTCTGTTTCGGGAGGGAACAGCCACATGGCTCATGAGGGAGACGAGAGCAGTTGAATCCTCCATTCCGATGACGCATTCGTCCGCCGAAGAAATGAGGGATTGCGACATCGCCCGTACGCTCGGATCCCGTCACGACAGAGCTCGGAGAGCACATCGTCAGCCGAACGTGGCCAGCGTGGCAGTTCATGTCTGCAGCTCACGAACACCACCAACACTACCATTTCCAGCCGGCCGCCATCTAATTGGTTTGGCCTCAGTATGCCAAAAGCTGATTCGCTGATAAGCTCCCTGGGCCGATTCCACGCCGCAGGGGTTCGCTAGCTTTGGCGGTCAGGAGGACACCCATCGCCGCATCTTGCGATAACCCAGAGAATGTCGCACGCATGACAAGACTTGCTCACGGTAGTATCTACGCTCGTGAGAATGTCTCCGTGGTCAGGAACAACAATTTCATGCCCATTGATTGAATGACTTGACACAGTCCTCACGGTGCGACGGGCTTCGTCGGAATTAGACTGATGGGCACACGATGCCACTTGCCGCATTGCCCGCATCGACTCAAGCCTTCAGACGAACTTCCAGACCTCATGCTAGTATGCAATATTGTTTCGTATGAATCCAACGCAGAGACCCTGATGACAATAGCCACAATAGCAATGACACTAGCAACAGAAATGGTAGGGATAGTAATACGGTGACGACAACGTGGTATCGGTGTGATCGAGCCTACCTTGCTCTGATTCTCTGCACACTGGACCCAGACATATTTAAGACCTCAGGCAATTCTGAATCTGACTCTGTCCATTTAATCGATACCGTTCTCCTATCTGTACACATATAAACCATTGACGAGACATCGTATGGTGCTTCAGATCATGATTGTGTTTGGCAAAAGAAACTCCATCCCTGCCCCCATCTCCAACCACCCACTCTGTCGCGCTTCGAGACCTGGAGCAACGGGTTGAATCAATTGTTGAAAGTCAAATCGGCAGTCGTCGACCCTTCGCAGTTCCACTGATACTCAATGGAGCACTGCTTGGGGGCCGTTCTACTCGACATCGACGATACCAAGCCAAGATAAAGCCCAAAAATGCCACGTAGTCTCTTCAAGCATTATGAGACGCAATGGGCGACATGGAGACAAACGTCACGTGAAGAGCCTTAGAATCGTAATTGTTGGAGGGCAAGAAACAAGCAATCTTTTTTCGATATATCGAAATTTTGGCCTAACTACAACGGACATAAAATGCCGAAAACCCTGGCCAAACGAGCCTCTCCAAACTCTCTAGAAGGTTGTTTTGTATGAACGGGTCCCTTCCGAAAAACCCAACAAAAAACAAAAAATGCATATCGTGATCGTCTATGCTATGCTCTGTCATTTCCGTTTCTGTCGTGCCGACATGATACGTCTCCGTAAAAAAAATAATAACAACAATAAAAGATGTCTTGAGCACGCGTTTGTCGCGTCTCTCTTTGCCGCAGCGTGGCCGTCTAGCCGACGCGCGACTCCAGACCTCCAATCCAACTGAAAGCTTCAAGTCATACATTCGTAAATGTGAATCGTGAAAAAGGGTCGTAACACATCGCGATGATTCGTGGTGAGGTGACCAGCCGCAGGAGAAGTGAAGTCAGAGGTTGTGGGGGTGAAGATCGTGTGTGTGAGTGTGTGTGTGTGTGGTGTCTCGTTCAACGCCGTCGCTGTGACTCAAAATAACATAGGAAACATTTGCCCACCCGGGGGCTTTTAAATGACCACCGTTTCGAGAAAAGGACTATATCGCAAATTATAGCACAAACATGTCTAGTTGGCGCGGATGACCAGCTTCGACAGGAACTTGTTGGACAAGCAGTCAAAGTCGTTGCGGTCAAACGTGGCATCTGGGCGAGTGCGCAGGTACGACTCTGTTAGGACGTTAGCTGATGTTCATTTGTGGCGCAAGTGATGAATGAGACTTACCGTGCTTGATGACGTGGTCGCGGACCTCAGTCATGGCCTCGCAGACGGCGACGTTGTTGTTCAGGAGGTGACCGTGCTTGGAGGTGTCCCAGTCCATGAAGGCAGGAAGCTTCTGGGAGATGGCGTGGAAGAGACCGACAATGACACCGACCGGGGTCGTCTCCATGTCGCTGCAGAACTTGTTGACGGCGGCGGGGTCGGGCACGCGGTAGTGGCAGTCGAACTGCATCTCCTCCCAGACGGCCAACAAGATGGAAGCCAGCATGAAGATGGTGGGCCAGTTCTTGAGGCGCTCGCCGCTGTACACACTGGAGTACAGGGAGGAGAGCTCCTCGAGGATCTCCTTCTGCAGCTCACGCCACATGTCGGCCATGGCGCACTTGATCTGGAAGTTGATCATGACGGGAGCAACGGTCCGGCCGTAGTACTTGGAGTCCTCGTCGTCGATCTGGCCATCGATGCTGACCTCGTCGCCCTGGTTCTCCACCAGAGTGATGTGCAGGGTGAGGTTGTAGGCCAGGACAAGCTTGAGGGCCTTGCGGATGACGGGCATGCGCTCCTTGACGTAGAAGCGGTGAGCGGTCTTGAGGATCTCAGTGATGAAGGGGGTACCCTCGAAGTGGTCCTCAATGAAGTCCTCAAAGCCGCCGTCAATGTGCTTGTCGAGGTAGTCAGACAAAGCCTCGACGGACACACCCTTGGCACCGACGTCGAGGTTGCCGGTGCGCAGCTCGAAGTCGATAGGCTCCTGGTCGGTCAAGCAAGACTCGACCCAGTCAGCCTGGAAGCAGCTCTCGTCGGCGACGAAGACCTCGCGGACGTAAACGGGGAGAGCAAAGCCGTAGCCGTGAGTGATCCACATCAGCGTCTCGTTCTGGGCGAAGCCCTTGACGTTGTAGACGGAGACGCCGCGGCCGAGATGACGCTCGTAGTCGGCCTTCCAGTCCTTCATGAAGTAGCCAATGTCCTTGATGTCGATGCGGGTGCAAGGAACCTGCCACAGACGGGCGTGAGAAGGCTGGCAACCAGCACAAGGCTCACCCTTGTCACAGGTCTTCTTGAGGAACTTGCAGCGCAGGCAAGCACGGAGCTTCCTGATCTCGCTGGCCTGCTTACGCTGCTCGGGCAGGAGGGGACCCTTTCTGCGGCCGACCTTCTTGACCTCGGTGCCGTCCTTCTTGCCGGTGGAGGTGCGGCGGATGACGGACTTGGTGGACTTGGCGGTGACCGGGCTCCGTCTCTGGCCCGAGTTCCTCCGGGCGCTGACAATGG